GGCTGGTGATAAGGTGGACAGAAAGTCGATTACCGGTTATGTTTACATGTTAGGAAATACTGCAATAACATGGAAATCCACGAAACAGCAGACGGTGGCGCTATCATCTACTGAGGCAGAGTATATGGCACTGGGTGACGCAGTTAAAGAATTACTATGGTTAACACAACTGTTGAAACACATTGGACTTAAAATGAACAAAGTCCCCTGCATCTTTGAAGACAACGAAGGGTGCAGGATGTTATCAACGCATCCGGTCCATCACCAGAGAACCAAACACATTGATATTAAACATCATTTTGTTAGACATCATATTTCAGAAGGAAACTGTGAAATAGTTTCAATCAACACTGAAAATATGGTTGCGGATATGTTGACTAAAAGTTTAGCCAAGATTAAATTCAATAAGTTTGTTGGTCTAGCTGGAATGTCGAACATATCTACAAGTGTTTAGATTATGGTGGGGTGTTGAGATAAGATGCCGAAGCCAATCATGATCGAGTGATAAGAGATAAGAGTCTTATCATGATAAGGCATCTTAAGTAATCTAAAACTGGAAAGTTAGCCGCCATGATAAATGAATAATGGCAAGTTTAACCGAAGGTGTAAGTGTATAAATACAAGAGGTTTGTCCCTTGTATTTATGTTTGAGAATATTAGTTTGTAGGCTAGTTATATTAGTTATAAATTAATAAGCAACAAACATAAGAAAAAGTGAACATATACAATGGATATTCATAATAGAATAGCTAGATTACAACACAAGGCATTAGAAAAGAGCCTTGTAATGACAAGGCATCAAGTAATCTAAAACTGGAAAGATTAGCCGACGTCATGAGTGTATAAATAGGAGAGGTTTTGTCTCCTATCTGTGTTTAGAATCATTAGTTATTAAGAGTTGTATAAGTTGTTTTTAACTAAGTAACAAACATAAGAAAACGTGTACATATACAATGGATATTCATAATAGAATAGCTAGATTACAACACTTTATTTAATTTCTTACTATTCACTAGATAATCAGAGCGTTCTCATTGAGCACGCAAAAAATCTGACTAGCACAGATAGTATTTTCAACATTTTCAGCTTATTAATGTTAACACTTATCCAGTAATGACACTTATCTCTGAATTTGTTGAATCCAAATACTTACGTTATCAAAATACTTTTTACCTTTAAAACCAGTGCCATCTATCCCATCTGTTTCTTTCCAGCTTGTTGAAATTTCTAATAAGGAGCTTTGATTACTGGAGTGGTAAGCGGCTTCCATTGCGCCGTTGAAACTGAAAGTGACAAATGACCTTGTGATGAAATTGGAATACTCCACTTCCACACAAACATTTTCTTGTATTTCTTGATAGTATAGGCATTCCTGGTTTACTTTTATCTTACCCAAGCTGGTGAAAATTAAACTTGAATCCACCGAATCCTCGTGAATGTTTGCAATACGTAAATCGAAAGTTTTACTTTCGTGCTTCTTCATTGGGCTATCAAGTCTTACTTTTTTTAGACACCAACTTTTAGAGTGACTTCTGATCTGTCCATACGAAGAACCCAGCTTATTGTCGTCTAGTATATCACACCAATAACGTAATAGTCGAATTTGTGACTCAATTTTGACACCGACATCATATATCGCTCTTCTTTGTACGAAAACCAAAGTAGCTTCTGCCAAAGAGACACTATAAAGTAAAGTGATCAACGCAGAAACTAGTGTCCCTGTTCTTCCTTTCCCATGCTTACAGTGGATGAATACTACTTTAGATTTATCCTGCATGAACCTTGCAATATAATAAATCAAGCTGACAAATTCACTGAATGCTAAAGCATGATGATCAGTCCAGTGAATCCATCTAGTAATTACGGAACCAGCGTATTGCTCATCAACGTGATAAGGTTCTTTTTCAGCTACCAAGTTGATTACAAGTGTTTTTTCGTAAGTTTCGGTTAAGAATTTGAGAATCTTATTCAACGAACTCTCGTTTGAGGATCTGCCTATCGAAATTTTCTCTGACGGATAAGAACCCACCAATAATGTCGGAAGAATGTAAAACAGATCGATTCCGTGCAATGGTTGAGGCACTTTAATTTCTGGCACAGTAGTCATTGCAGTTGGGCTTTTCAGTAGAACAAGGTGTAAAAGAGCATTAATAAAGATGAAACTAGATCTGCTGAGCCTCGCCTGTTAATACCATTGAAGATGTGCCCTCTTGGTTGAGCGGTGGAAAAAAGACAATCCACTGCAATTGGTCCAAAAACATTGTTGCTCTGACTGTTTCCATGTATTAGCCCATGCAGTCTACACAAAATTGGTTTTATTGGTTATTAGTTTTTATTTGTCGTTAGGTGATGCAATTGTTGCCACATCCAGCCTAAACTCTGAATTGTCATATCATACTTTAAAGGATTTTTTGGCTGTCTAATCAAGACAGCCATGTCTCAGATTATTGACTGGAAGCAGCAGGTAGAATTTAGCTCATATGGGCTGCAGTACAGGGGCTCAAGAAAAGGTAAAATATGAATAAGAGTACTACTACAGATATGCACATATTTTAAACATTAAGGGGAAAAATCTCGTCACAGAATAAGGTTTTCACATCTGTCAGAGAATCAACAAGGTGCAATTTAACTCAAAGAGGAAAGCTTCTCATTTAAATGGAGACGACATGTTAGACATCTCAGATACCCATTATCCATTAACCGAAAGTCCCCTTATATAAAATCTCAACAATTTCCCGATTTGGGCGGCAACGCAACTCTCATCAAACACAATGCAACGAACCAAAGGCGGTCCTGTCAGTGTGAGGCGGGAACGACACAGCTCACATGACGGCAGGGGAGTTCATCATAAGCTATAAATGTCTGGTGGGATTTTTGAAAACTCATGGTTTCCGCTTTGGGAGGGCAAAGGGTATGATCGAAACTCTGAGGTTATTAAACGTGGTGATGTTGTTAGGCCAGCTGCTTTCTACTGGATGCAAACGATGTAACTGCTCTTTTGTTTCACAAATAGAACCGCCAACTTGGTCTGAAGTTTTACTCTTGAATTTCGGAAACTCATCATATTTAAAGAAGTGGAATCCTGGTTCAGAAAATACAAACGAAATAACCTCAGAATGATGATTGATCTTCTCTGTATAACTTCAATTATTCACCAAACAACAATCGCTCTTCTCATCTAATCATCCACATCACTAGATAAAGATGAAACTCATTTATTCAAGCCTAATCTCTTGCTTCCTAGCTGTTGCCATTGCTGCTCCTATTGCGCATCCTGCTCCCGATGCAATTGCATCCCCTGAAGCTGCTGCCGAAGCCGAAGCCGATGCATGGAGATGGCACAGCTGGGTTAGAAACCAAGCAATCTATAAGAGAGAGGCAGATGCAGATGCTAATCCCGAAGCCGAAGCTGAAGCCGATGCATGGAGATGGCACAGCTGGGTTAGAAACCAAGCAATCTATAAGAGAGAGGCAGATGCAGATGCTAATCCCGAAGCTGAAGCCGAAGCTGAAGCCGATGCATGGAGATGGCACAGCTGGGTTAGAAACCAAGCAATTTACAAGAGAGAAGATCCACAAGATTTTACTTATGAGGAGTCAGAACCAAATGAAGAGCCCCTTGGCTTCATTTACGCTTTTGAAAGTCGTGATAGCTCCGAACCTTCTGCTTACCACCCTATTTTCTTTAAGGATATCGAGGACGAAATCTATGAACATTTTAATCTTTCCAGCTCAAAGCTTCCGTCGAAAATTATCAAAGGAGCACTTTTCAAAAGAGAGGCAGAGGCAGAGGCAGAGGCAGAGGCAGAGGCAGAGGCAGAGGCAGAGGCAGAGGCAGAGGCAGAGGCAGAGGCAGAGGCAGAGGCAGAGGCAGATGCCGAAGCTGGTGCCGATGCTGGCGCATGGAGATGGCATAGTTGGGTTAGAAACCAAGCAATCTATAAGAGAGAGGCAGATGCAGATGCTAATCCCGAAGCCGAAGCCGAAGCCGAAGCATGGAGATGGCACAGCTGGGTTAGAAATCAAGCAATCTATAAGAGAGAAGCCGATGCAGAAGCAGAAGCAGAAGCCGATGCTAATGCTAATGCTGACGCGGACGCCAGTGCCTGGAGATGGCATAGTTGGGTTAGAAATCAGGCAATTTATTAAATCAACTGGTTATTGATTTAATAATTTGACCAAACAGTTACTTTCATAATGGCTATTTATATATTTTTTTCGTTTCTTTATAATACTTTAATACATTGTTGATTTACATTCATCAGAAAGCTTTCAGTGCTAGTTGAGAAAAAGACCCGATCATCAGCTAAAAGATGTAAAAACTTTTTCTACTTATGCCAACAAATGCTCAAGCGATTCTCCCATGAGTTCCTCCATAATCTTAGCCAAACCCTCACGGACGGCAGCTTGGACATCGTCATCATCGTCTTCCAATAACTCGGCAACAATAGGAACGAGTTGAGGTAGCAAACTCAACCAAGCTTCGCCAACACGTTTATAGATAGTTGTAAGTGCTTTGATGGACCAGTACTTTTCTCTGGCTGATGGTTCAACATCACCGATTACACGCATATGTGAAATTATGAGTTCATTCAAACGTTTATTGTGATCATCTGATGACGAAATATCCTGAGCTAATGCGCATAAACATTTGACAAGATGTTTACCTATTGGATCTTCAATATTGGAGAGTTGGGAGGTAAGCGCCTCTGAAATTGCATCAAATCTTGATCCAACTTGCCAGTATTCAGTTTGATCATATTTGAAAGATGAGGTGAGTGATATCAACACCAACCTCCGTAATGAAATACTTATCACTTCACCACTGGCTAATCTTTCAAGGAGAGCAACAGTCGAATCAATGATGTAGTTGAAATAAGTAGTGACAATGGCCTTGAGATTTTCTTGAAGCTTGTTGAAAAGTTTGTAGAAAGATTCAAGTCTTTCGACTTCTCCAATGTTAGAGATTGTGCCTTCACCATCAAAAGCCCACCTCACTATCATGGCCAACAATGGTCTGAAGCTCTTGTCGTTCAATTTCATAACGTAAACAATACAACAATTGTGAATCATTGATTCCACTCTTCCAATTGTGTTAGCATCAAAAGTAGAAGTTGCACGGTATTCCAAAGCATTGGTTAAGAATCTAAAGAACATAGTGGACTCAGAAATAGCAGTGGTTTTGTTCATCTTTTCGACTGTGTTTTCCATGGTACCGATAAATAACCCAACAGCTGTCACGTTTAGTTCAGAGACAAATGTCCATAAAGAGCATAAAGAGGAAAGCAATATTTTTGAATCGATGTATTCTACCACAACATCAAGAACGTTAGATCTGATGGAGTCTGAGACAGCATGGGCTTTGAAAAGAGTTTTCAGAATATCTTTGATGTTCGGTGTTAAAAAGTTAGGTATTTTTTTAACCAAAGTTGAGAAAAAAACGATGATGGAAATTTGAATTAATTTAGAGGATTCTTGCTTATTTTCAACATACTTGTCAAAAATTTTGAAAATCGGAGGTACAATCTTAGGAAACAAACCAATCATTTTGACACCCACAATAACAACAATACTTGTAATACAATTTATTGAGGAAATAGTGAGTTCCGGAGAGTCTTCATTGACCAAACCACACTTACCACTGATAACGCTCAAGAATTTGATCAATGACGATGATTCGATATGGCTACCAAAGCGATGGAAAATTGAAGCCATTGTGTCTAAGCTTGCTTGGGATAATTCAAGGTCAGCTTGTAATGTGATTTTTTCGAGTATTGTTGGCATCAACGATGTGATACTTTCATGTGCGTAAGGATTTTCTGTGTGCTCCAAATTGAACTTGAACGCTGTCAAAGTGACAAGATTCTTTGCAGTTTGTAACGACACTTCTGGTGACTTTAAAATCTCATTAACCGATTGGGAGTAGTATTGTATTGGTAATAAATTCAAAACATCTCCTAATAGCTTATACATTTTGTTCATTATTTCATCATCCTCATGATTTCTACTCAACATATCTACAACATCTAGTAGATATTTAATTGTTTCCGAAAAACTGGATAACAAATCGTTGGTGTTTCTGTCTTCTAAAATTTGAGATGCAATTTTCAGTCTGAGTTTTGGAACTCCATTCGTTCCTTGAGAATCGGTCAATGCATGTCTAATAAATGAAACAAGTCCTTTTCTCCAATGATATAATTCACTCTTGGACATAGATACAATTGAAGGACCAAAAATGACCTTTGAGGAAAGCTCTTTGAAAGTTGGGGAATCTTTCTCAATTGGTTCCATTGGAATACATTTCCACAAATCTAAAAATCTTCTAGTGGCATCCAATTCCTCTTTAGCAGAGAAAACTTGGAGGAAAACAGTGGCAAAATCAACCAAGGCAGAACAGTCTCCCATTCTATGTTTCATGTAAGCATTCACATACTGCTGGCCGCATAAAAATAAAATCAGATGAATAGAGAGATCTCCTCCAAGGGTACGAGCTAATGTGGTAAAGAGCCTGACACGCCTATGTCTTGGAACATGCAAGAATGCACTTACAAAAGATGCAAGCAAGAACTCAATTTCATCAATTTTTCCATATTGGGCGGCATTTGCTAGAGCAGGAACGACACAAATAATGGTTTGCTCTACCACATGCCCTGAAAACTCATCATCTTGTCTTATGGTGTGAGCACCCATGAAAGTAAATATTGGCATGACAGAATGCAAAACAAGTTCAGGTGATAGCGAGGCAAGAGCTGCAATAACAAGTAACAACTTATTTTGGACTTGTGGAGAATCTGAAGCTCTGATAGCGGAAACGACAACATCTGCACGGATTGATGAGGCGTCCTTAATTGGTACACCCATTTCTTTGAGTTTTTCTATGATGTTCTTTAAACAAGAGGCGATTGTTTCTTGTGCATATAATATTGGTAGTTTACCATCTTTTCCTAATGTTTCTAAATCATCCAACACAACAAAAATTAGTTTAAGAAGTTCAAATGAAGGCTCGAATTCGCATTGCTTACTGAAATAGTCCAATACTTCAAGAAGCATTGTGACTTTCTTCAAATGAGAAGTGGCCATGTTTGAAACCTCGTCATCTTTGAGTGCCTGCCTTGTTGATTGTGATGATCTTCTTCTTCTTTTAGGAGGATTTGATTGAGCCTGTGAGTTAGTAGTGTTCAGTGCTGAGTTTTTCAGTAGTTCAGTGAAAATTTCATTTGTCATATTGATCGACTCTAAGACATCTATCGGATCATATGTTACAAAATTGTCGGTCAAGTGCTCTTCAAGAATATAGTTAACTATTTTTATTTGGAAATCAAATTTAAGGGTTGAAAATATTTCGATGATACGAGTTTGAGCCAAATTGGACAATTGCTCGGAAGGAGATGCCAATGCATTTTCCAAAAATGTAATAGCAGAATCGTTTTTCTCTTTGGGTGAAACGAGAGACACAATGTTTGACTCAAAGGCATGCGAGTCACAGTTTGTTTGAGAACATTTGAGGATCCAATCATCTCTGTTGCTTACATATGAGCTTAAAATGTCTTGGAATAACGAAGATGGAGCTGCAGCCCCTCTGACATTACTTGCACTTTTGACAGAAATCTTGATTAAATTCATTTTGATGACCGGAATATCGACATATAATGCGTGAGTAGTGAAAAATGCTAGATACAATTTACCCAATTTCTTGTTTGTCAATAAAGTTTCCAAACATGAAAAGAGTGCAGTACTGTCAACAATGAAATTTGGAATATTGGCTTCTAGCGTTTCCAATAATAGCTTTGCATCCTTTGGTGAAATGACTGCAATGTCAGAGGACTTGTCACCATACAAATTATCATTCAGTAAAATTGTTTTTGGAGACAACTCTTTTTTAACCTTATCGTTCAAGGATGAGATTAATTCGCTCGCTCTTCTTCTAATTTGTGCCACATTATCTACCAATAAAGTAATAACGACAGGCAAAATTGGCCCAACAAAAACATCTGGATCTAGATTGTTTATGGCTTCAATCAATCTTGTAATAGCTTGAATCCTTGCCTTTAAAGGGCAGTACGAGGTAGCAACACGTAATAAGAATGAAATAATAAGTGAAGGTTTGACCAAGCATATTTCAAGAAATGATGCTGTTGAATTATCGAGCATACTTTTCAAATACAGGTTTTCGTAAAAATCGTAACTTTTTCCAACTTCAGAGTCGTTAGATAAGAATGAAGCCACCAAAGCCTGGTGCTTCTCATACGTTTGAATAACATTCTCATCAACACCCTTACTGTGGGTGTTTTTGATATTGATTGTCTCATCATCGGTTTCCAAGCTAGCTTCTGTGGTCTGATCTACTAATGTACTCTGGACCATCATCTCCAAATTGGTAAGAGCCAGCTTTTTTGTTTTCAAAATGTCGAAAAACAAAGTTCGATTTTTCCTAATCAAAAACTTCAAAAGATCGATGTAGCTCGAAGAGTTTTTGCTTTCAACAGATTTTAAGACTTCGACAGCAATCAAAGTAAACTGTTGGTTTGATAATTCAATATTTGCAGTTTCAAGATTCTTTAGCACTGCAGAATCGACACTCACATTGTTTATAATGAGGGATCTAAAGTATGCGCAGATGAACTTGCCACTATTTTTGGTTGTACTCAAAAAGTCGAGGTATGGGATCGAAGTGTCAGATAGTAATCCCTCAGGCAACAAGTCCACGATTTTCTTAGGTAAAGGTTCCAACCCCTGATCTTGTACCGACTGCAAGAGCTTCAATGCACAGTTGAAGGCGCTTTCTTTAGCAGATTGTGGTGCGGACAACAAGACTGTTTCCACGGAAGCTAGCACGATTTCTCTACTCAATGGAACTGCAGCCGATATGACCACCAAGATGGTATATGCACTAATTTTTGATTCCTCATTTGATGAAGCCAACAAAGAACTCACACATTCTAAAGCAAAAGGAACAAAAACTTTGAGCTTGTCAGAGCCCGTGGATGATAATGTTGCTAGTGCAGATATCGAGGTGGAAACATAAAACAGTAGTAGCTTTCTGTACTGGTTTTTATGGCGTAACTCATCCTGCAAAAACTTAGAATACAAGTTGAAAAACTCAACTTCTGTAAATGCTTTGACAAGTGTGTTTCTAGAAGGGTTGTTACCTGACTTCTTGAAGTTGACCAACCAGGAGAACAGTTTAGGTAAGTCGGAGATGACGTACAAAACGTGGGGGAAGATTGGCTGATCAAAGTAAGCTAGAGTAGAGAGTAACAAGTGTTCTGAATTGAAGATGTTCAGCTGGAATCTTCTTAATGGCCATTCCACCGCTCTTACAGCAATTGCAAGGTTCCAATAAGGAGAAAGTAATGAGAGAAATGCGTCGATGGTTTTGTTTAAATCGTCGTTCTCCTCCTTGCTCTGAACCTGTCTATCAATCTGTATGGAGGTTTCACTGAAGATGGAATTTTCGAATCTGGCGAAACGTCGGTCTAGCGACTCCAAACGCTGCAAAGCGTCCAAAGCATCATAGTAGATCGATTCGTAGTCCTGTGTGGCAGCAAACTTCGGATCATGAAGAAAAGAAACCGAGTGGATCTTGGTTCTTCTTTTTCTATCCAAAGCCACAGCCTTGCTTTCTTGGGCAATCCCTGCTAACTGCTCGGCTAAAGAGGTCATTGCTGGCTATGTGTGTATAGAGGCGATGGATGAAAGAATAGAAGAAAAGTGCTGGATCAACCTGAAACCAAAGAGACTTTAGCAAAACCAACTTGTATCAGTGTTTCTACAGAGAAGTGAAAAAAAATTAAAAAATGCAGATAAAATGAAAAATAGAGCAAAAAAATTTTTGTGAGAAGTGGTAAATTTTAGAGAACGGAAAACACGCTGGTCCTGATCGACGCGTCGGCCAAAGGCTACTGGGCCCGCTTGAACACGACGGTCCCGACGCAGGGCTGCAGCTCGGGGTACCCGCTGGGGATCCTGCCCACCAGCATTATGTCGGGCTCGTCCCTGCTGTGTTTCAGGAGCTCGGTGAACTGCATGACAAGCTCGATCTGGCGCCTGCGGGCCTCCGGGTCAGCCATGTCGTCGAGGTCTTTCCATGCGTCCTGCGCGTCGAGCTCGGGAATGCCCGTCTTCGACATCTTGACGAAGTCGATCCGGTACTCGCCCGTCTCCTCCACCTTGTACAGACTCACCTTATGCAGCCGTCTGTCCTTGTCGACGTGCAGAGGCAGCGCGCTGGTCGGGTCGATGCTTTCGTCGAGCAGAAAGTCGTCCTTCGAGTTGTAGTGGATCTCTGCGTCCGTGAGTTCCACCGCAGACGTGCTGTACACCGCGCCGACTCCAAAGAACGGCGTGCCCGTGATGTGTATCATCAGCATCGTGAACCCTGAGGGAGTGTTGCCGATCGTCAGCGTGCAGTCGTTCACATAGTTGAACGTCTTCTCCGTAGCGTACGCTGCCGCCGGCACGACGCCTACGTCCACGCCGAGCCCCGGATAGCCCACCGCTGCCGTAACCCCCGGATGCTGCATCTGCGGCTGGCTGGCGCTGCTTCCCTGGTAGCTTACTCTCATGCCTTGCATGTCGTCCACCAGCGGCATGCTCCCCGTACCTCCGTACAGGTCACCGTGTCCGTCCTTAGTTGCACCATGTGCATTTTCTCTATCCATTGCTGTTCTACCGCTTCCCCGCAGGCTCTGCACCGGTCGCCACCGGCTCCGGAGTCCTCTTCAGGCTCATCTCCAGCTCTATCTCCGTATCTGCTGAACCCCCTATTATCCGACCAGCGCTCTTCCACGAGCCTCTTGCCACATCCCCGCCACCAGTGCACCGACATCCTCTCGGCTCGGCGCACCGGTTGCACCGCCACTGGGAATAGCACCGCCACGGCTCGCTTGCACCTTCCTGTTGCGGGCCACACTCTCGAGAAGGGGTTTCTCGTTGAATAAGACCATCTTACGGAGCTCACTGGTAACATGCTCGTACATGTTTCTCTGCTTAAGACTGCTGTTCATCCAGTGGGCGGGAGCGTACTTGTTGCCCCTGCTGGCGGAGCTCGGAGCAGCCGTAGAGGCCGAGGAGGCAGACGAGAGGTGGGAGTGGACCTTTCCGGTGTAATTGGCTGGGTCCATCCACTCCTGGCCGATTGGAAGGTTGTCGGTGTCGGCGGCTCCGTCCAGCTCGTGCTTGATGGCAAGCTTCCTCTGCTGGGTTCTTGTCGGAAGAAACGGCTCGTCGGCGTCATAGGGAACTTCGTGCAGGGTGGCGCTGTGTAGGGTGACGTCCGACTTCCCGTCGTCCGCAAACGGCTCGTCGAGGCCGTCCATGTCCACGGTACTGACGTCGTCGTCGCTGGCGACGGTGTTGTCCACCTTGGGATCTTCGAAGATCGAGTTGCGGCCGCTGTGGGGGTCCTCTCCGTTCTCCCAGCCCTGCACGCCGGCGGGGTTGGCAACGTTGTCGGTGCTTCGGCCGTTGAAGCGGGGGCTTCTGAAAAAATGGGGGGTGTGGTGGCCGGCAGGGTCGTGCGGGACGAATGCAGCCTGTGCCGGTTGTCGGTTGTATCTCCCGCCGTTGCTGATGTCAACCGAGGCTATCCTCCTCCGCTGCTGCATCGCCTCGTCCACGTATTCGTACTGTCTCTGCTGCAGCATCTGCCTCTCAAAAGCGTAGTTCCGACACCCTGCAACAGTAGTCTCAAACACAGTGCTGTCGTTGTACACGTTCAGGCCGTGCTTGCCGCTGACCACGTTGGCACTCGAGGACCTGGCCAAGTTGCCGACGTCAGCTATACTGTGCCGCTTGAACTGCGCAAGATTTGCCGTTGGGGCTAAGCTGGATGCGCCAGGTCCCGTACTCTTGACCCGTTGCAGCGTCGAAAAGCCCAAACGACTCCCCTGGCTCCCCTGGCTCCCAATACTGCCCTCCCTTGCGGTGGGCCCGGGGAACAACGGGCTCCGGGGCGACTTTGCCTCCTCTACCCTGATCCTGCTTAGTAGCAACTGCTGGTTGTGCTGCGAGGACGTGCGTTGAGGAATGTTCTTTTGGAACTCGTACCTTTTTGGTATCTGGTTCTGTCTTCCTCTGGCAATCAAGTTGTGACTCTTGTATTGCTGTGACGGATGCACCTGAAATGGTTGCTGCTGCTGTGATTGCTGCTGCTGTGGGTAGTGGGACCCATATTTGCTGTCCATGGCTAGTGTTGGATAAGTATTTCTAACCTACTGTGTATGTTGATACGATTCGACAAGACTCTTTTCTTGGCGTGAGAAGGATACCAATAACGTTTCAAAAGCTTGACAGATGTGTTCTTGACGTCTCTGTCCACTCATGCACCTTTGCTTTGCACTACTCACGTCTGTAAGATCTACCCAGAATCCCACAACTTTAACTTGGCTATGCCTGCCCTGGACGGGGGCCTTGCAGATTTGTGGGCATCGCATCGACGACGATAAGCACCTCGACTCTCCGAGGCCCTTATCGGGGTGCCCAATGCCGTTTTCGCACATGCTTGGCTGTGCACCGCTGTAGAATGGGCGTATAAAAATACTGCTCGCCATATCAAATATTTAATCTATGATTCGGTTACTTTTGTACAATTTATTCAGTATTGCACATCATATGTAAAGCTTATTATACCTTGAGGTGAGATATATCTTATATTGGTAATAAATGTATAGAGACAATTATGATTTTATGTTCTTTTATTTCACTTTCTCCTAAACAAAAATTGTCAATCGTTTATAGAAAACAGCACTTACACTCTTTCTCTCGCTTGTTTCTCCAATTTCTACAACCACTTATCGCTGGCTCGGGTCGAGGCAGCATAAACGCTTACTTTTCGTACTTTACAAGCTAAACAAATATGCTCTGGAGAGCCTAATTGTAGATCTGGATCGGAGGGATTTTGTCCGCCTTGTAGAACCAGTTCGAGCCCTCCACTTCCTTCTTTAGCCACTTCGTCGGGAACATCACGACGTGTCCCCTGACCATCCGCATCAGCCGCAAACTCGTCGGGTAGTCGTAGACAGCACCTCTTCCGTAGCCACTGGCGCCTGGAAGAGTCGTCCCAACTGGCCCACTGGTCCGCTGGAACCTCTCAAGTTCTGCGAGCTTGAAGCTACGCTCCAAGCGGCGACGATGTTCCACAACATCATCATCTAGCGGATGGCCCATGCTGCCACGGCTCTCTCTGTCAAAACCTTCTTGCTGGGCTTCCTCTCCTCCAAATACATTGTTTCCTTCACCGTTGATAACGCCATCTCTGTAAATTCTTTGGTATGTTTCGAATGCGTTCTTCAACTCCTCGAAATCTTTGTAGTCTTTCCATGTCTGTACCAAATCGTCAGGCTGAACATGAAAAACCATTTGGAAGAGCAAGGTATTTCTAATTGCTTGGGTCATCCATGTACCCTCATAGAAACTGATATCAAGTGGATCCTCAAAAGCATATGGGTCAAGGAAATCGAAATCGAGTTGAGGCAACATATTTTTGTTGATATCATTGATATCATTGTTTTTCAATTTGATCAATGGTATATCAGGTAAACGTAACTTCTTTGCACTCGTGTTATTAGTCTTCCCTTCAGCTGGTGTAGAAGTCAATCTATTTGTGTCTCCACCGTTCATGTGAGATCTGTTTGCAGTTGAAGATGCTGTGTCTAGAGGATGGGAGGCAGACTTAGAGGTATCGGATCCCGCAATGGCATCCCCATTGCTATCGTTGCTAAGGTGGACATCTGCATTTTTGAAGGAAGATTTTAACATTTCAGGATTGGTATTACTTCTGGACCTGACGTAGCTGTCTTCTGCATCTTCAAAGATCTCACTAGAACTTTTATTTTCACGATGAGCATTTGCTGCCAGTTTGCAGTAAAGTTTCTTCATATAATACAACCTTTTAACCATGGTCCACCTATCTGTATTAATTGCGTTTTGTTCTCCAGAGCTTGCATTTTGAACAATATGCTGGGAAAGAACATCAACAATATCTTCAAAAACAGGTAAAGGATAGTGCTTATCATGTGCCTCTCGCTTCTCAATGTCCACTGACTGTGCACACTGGTTGACACGCTGGGCAAGAAACTTTTTCATTTGAGCTTTAGCTTCCTCGTAATATTTAGAGTTGAATCCATCAACATCACCCCTGACCTCATTTCTGTGGTTTTCAGTCGTGACTCTTGTGTCAGATGACAAGGTTTTATCACTTCTAATACCGGCATTCTCATTACCAGCTCTATGGTTAAAAGAAAATGAAAACTCAATATCATCCACAGAGTCGGTATTCTCCTGTTCTGTTTTGATGCATGTGAAGGTTTTTATCATTTCTTCAGTAAGCTTCTCTCCAAATTTATGGTTCTTCTCGCCATATCTCTTGCAAAAACCAGGTGTACCACCATTCAAACCCAATAAATACCGTGTACCCATTTCAACCATCGCACTTAATGAAGTTTTACCTTCATTAGCTTTTAGAACAGATGCATTGTTACCAAGTTCCGTGTTACAGAATTTCTCAATCTCAGCAAACCTGCGCTCAACCAAATCCATCAAATCAACATCAACTCCTAGATGCTCACGCATCAATCTTATTCTTAAACTGTGTGAAAATTTCCCAACGTGATAAGCTTTTCCGTCCATCTTAGATTCAATCAAATCTTTATCACGAACAATTGCACAAACTTCTGAGTCTCTAGTACCACGCATAGATCTTTCATTGACATTTGCTGACCCAATAATTGCAATTCTATCATCAACAACCATGGTTTTCGCATGAATGTACAACTGTTCGGTGGTAAGCAACTTCTTTTCACTAATTAATCCCCATTTTCTCAAAGAGTAAAAATTGATGTAATCTTCAGGCTTGATTCCTACTCGGCGCAATCTTGCAAAAATTGAGGTTTCGCCCATCGAAATGGACATATACTGACATTGCATAATCAAACGGACACTACCACCCTCTTTGGTATCAACATCAGCCTCAAATCCAGGCATCAAAGGAATGACAATGACTGCCTTCCATACCTCGCCATTTTTGTGGGCTGTAATAATCCTGTCCACCAATGCATCACCAATTTGATTTTTGACAACACAACTTTCAACAGTACAACTGGTAACAAAAAATTGATTTTCCATATAGACAAAGTGCTCACTTTGCTCAATACATTTAATATATGCATTTTGGATACTTTGCTCGTGTTCCTCAAGTCCAAGTGACCAGTCACCACTTGATCTCAATAGTTGGACTTCACAATTACCTTTTAAATTCAATTTGGATAACTCTTCATCTGTAAAAGGTCTAGGTGGAACAAGCAAAGGAGTTGGCCGAGAAGGTCTCTTTTGTCTGAGAAGGTAGTTCCATCTTTGAATGAAATGACGAGACAAATCTCGAGCTACCTGTCCACCAGTGACCATATGAACATCATGCCACGGCATACGAGGAACAGTCTGTCGATCGTACATATCTTCATGAGGAGATGTCAATTCAAAAAAGTCTTTCTTACGTGGATTAGAGTAATCTTTTCCGGGAAAAACTTGGAATTGCTCCTGGAAATCATATTCTGCACTCCATTTAGAGTCTGTTAAGTTTGAATCAGCAAGGTGATGTTCCAAACTTGTACTGTCAGTGACACCAGATTCTGGAGTTTTTGATGAGGATCTGTTCCGTTTCGTGTTAGGGGTAGAGGATGTGTTTGCTGTAAGTGAAGAGGAAAGGTTGCCATTCATCGACTCGACCTTAAACGCATATTTACTATCATCCACCAAAACATGGTCAGGAGTATCATATCTTCCAAAACATAAATCAATTCCACCTAAGAAGCAAACAGAATGATCAATAATCAATAACTTTTCATGATGAGCCCAAAAGAAAACGTTCTGCATGATTTGGTTGGGTGATCTTAGCACGTAAATGTTCTCATGTAAATCTAACAATGAATGTTTTGTATACATGGAATCTGTGACAACCGTATTACCGACATTTCTGTAAATAATGACAAAAATTTTAACACCTTGTTTCGCCTTTTTCTCGAGTAATCTGTCTATTCTCCAATTTTGGTTACCATTTGCTGGACGTCTCAAATATAATTCCGGCGATAACCACCAGTCATGAATATAGATTACATCTTTTGCCATCTCAATGGCAGATGAAGCCGCATACCAATAATCCCTTGCATCGACAAACCATTGTGCAAAGGCATGGTGTCTAACAGGAGCAAATGATCCAAATCTATGAGGTTTGGCCCATTCAGTTTCACTGATTATTGATCTTATACATGAGGCCCATTGTCTAGTAATCCTTGGATTTTTAGCAACCAGTTGAATTGAGCGCTCGGAATTGGTCAATTTAATTGTTGGATAAGACTTAGCGCTCTTCAAAACAGACTTCGAATTAGCAAAATAATAATCGTCCACATCATCATTTTCATTTTCATTTTCATTCTCATTTTCGTTCTCGTTAATATTATCATTTATGTTGTAGTTGTAGTAGTTTTCGGAATCAGAATCAGAATCCTCTGTACCTCCGTAGTTGTTTTTCTTTTCTGAAAACCCCTTCACCGACATCTGAATTTTAGGATCAAGTAAAAATACCTCTTCCGGAGTAGTTGATGAAATGTCTGAAGTATATATTAGAAAAGAATCACCAAGAATGCACCATTTACTTGTATGACGTTTGATCATTTCACTCAAGTCATGAAACTTGAAATGCCCCACCCTCCAACCCTGTTTACTCGCCGAAGAGACAATAAACATGTAGCCTTCCTTTCTTTTCCTGTAAATCTCATTAGAAAGCAAAAGACTAAAGGGTGATAGCTCAAAGAACTGTAAAACTTTATTGGACTGTTCTTTAAAAGAGACGTTCTCCAATAACGAGTCAAAATAGAGTTGCATATCATTTCTGTACTTTTGGTTTAAGCGTGTTCTCTCTTGAAGTGCTATTAAATGTCTTTCTCTTTCTTTATTTTTCTCTTTCTCTTTCTCTCTTTCCTTTTGCCGTTCCTTATCCTTCTCTTTGTCTTTGTCTTTGTCTACCTTTTCCTTATCCTTATCTCTATTTCTTTCATGTGGTTTGTTGTAAGAACGAAGGTTTGCAAAAGCTGCTGTTGAGAATCTACTCAATGTATTTGATAAAGAATGTAAAGATTCTTCACGAGAGTTCTGCGAAGATGCCGAGTTAAGACGCTGTAAGGGAGGTGTACGGACAGATTGGGAAGAGCCTATTTGGTTGTCTATTGTTGGAGCTCTGTCAACATTCGAATGTTCACTTTTGGAGCTAGAATTTTTCTCCTTTGGGTTGTAACCTTTTGCGATACTTGTTTTATTACTGTGAACGTTTCGATAAGAAGCTCCTTCACTATTCAAAGATTTCTTTTTCTCTGATTTATTATCATTAGCAATCAAGATCTCCCTATCACCTTTGAACAAACCTCTGAATTTGGCAAAATGGCTGGGTAACACGGGAAACCTTGGTATCTCTGCTTCTTTGGTTTTCACTTTGTCTAATCTTTCTTTTGTCCTGCGCAGTAATTTTTTGTGTAAAACGACAAGAGCCTTGGTATCCTTTTCCATGTCCCAACGTAAGACATGGTCACCTACACCATATTCTAAATGTAGTCTGAAGATTCTATTTTTGGTAAACGTAGCAAGTTTCAAAAGATCTTCTTTATTGAGAGAAGAGGTGATATGATTATCGTGGTTCAGATTGATTTTTCTTGATAAGAAGACTTCGACAGTAATATCGGTCAAATATAGACTAAGCAAAGGGATCATCAAGGGTCCTTTTCTAATACCATTTTCATCTTTAAAAAATGAAGATGTCAAATACAACATGTCGGCATAACCTAAAAGGAAGGCATCAACCATTAAGGCAGTTTTCTTATCATTTTTGGCATCAAGGATATATTTAGGATCATTTGATAAGTCATGTGGTTTTATGGCGTTTCTCAAATTTGCTGTGGTGTCTTCGACTGTTAGGTTTTGATTGGGGCTTTCTTCAAGAGAAGAATTTTCTGAGCGTATCAATCTCAACTTCGAATTTTCAAGGTATTGCTCGTGATTACTATGCTGCCAAGTATTATTTCTATTGGGCAAAGTAATTGGTTCTGTGCTATGTTGAACATCCCTAATAATTCTATTTTCCTTTTCTTTTTCCAAACTTTTCCTAACTATATCAGGACTAATAGTCCCATCAGGACCCACTAGCTCATCAATATCCGGCTGGCCGGTATTCTTATCGTTATCTTCAAGCTGATGGATTTTCCTTTCAATACTAGCCATTCGTTCTTTGTCTTGAGATTCTTTAGTACCGCTGTCATCAAGCATCATATGGCGTCTATGCAGCATATTCTTGATACCGGAAGCAACAACCTGAACCTCTTCCCCAAGTGTCCTTGAGCCGTCCAGATAGGCGAAAGGGGCCTGTAGAGGGTTAAGGTTGGATTTGTTTCCGACAACCTCACTCTCCTTGATTCGTTTGGCCATGACGAAATCACGGGTATCCTGGCTGTTCGATGGCACACTCTGCAGAGCGTCTGTGTACTGAGAGGACACATTTGACGCCGATGAGTTTGTTCTCGTTGCCATTTTCATGGACGACGTGTCGGTATGGTTAGAAGGTATTCGTTTAGAATTGGCGGAGCCGGAAGACGTGATTTTAGACAGAACTGGGGTCGTCATCGGGGGCAGTGCGTCAATGCTGCGTTTCGAGTGGTTTGTAGCTTTTGCGTGTGGGTCAATCTCAGAAAAGAGGAGATGGTCTGTGAGCGTGTAGAAAAACTGCTTGTTTTAAGGTTTTGTCGGTTTTGTTTTTGTTTATTTTTTATGTCAGAAGATTCGAACAAAGACAGGGGAGAAAAAGGGGTATGATAAAAACACAAGAAGAAAACCAGACGGCGACTATTTCAATGAGAAGATAATTGTAGTCCCGCAAGATCTGTTTCCAGGGTGCAGCGGCAGAATAGTGGTAGGGGAAACAAGGAAGGAGCTGTTGAAGGTGTGAAAAACGGGGAGGGTATCAGCATCGCTGCATGAGATAATTACTGCTAGTGTTATTTTCAATATGCCATTTTATCGCACTGCCTCGTCAGAGGTAGTGTTTTATCCGATATCCCAGAATGACGCAATGGTAGGAAGAGAGGGAGAGGGGTTGGAGAGGAATCATCGATGTGCTCTTACTAAGAGTTGACGGAGAGTAATGTATTGGAGTGGGGGTGTCTACAGCGACGCCGGGTCTATTATATATGGGCCAGTATGCTAGTATGTACTATATACAGGTTGAACGGAGGGAGAGGGGGAGCAAGGTTCTGCATTAGAACTTCTGGGCTAGGAGCTCCTTCACTGCCAGGGTGTGGTCGCCCTTGATCCTGAGGCTGCCGCTGATGGTGTGGCAGTTGAAGTTGGAACGGTCCACGTGCGGGAGCAGCTGCTGGAGGTCGTTTCTGAGCTGCACCACGTTCCCCTGGACCCGCTTGATGTCTGTGTAGACGGCTTGCGAGCGGTAGGTCTTGTAGACGGGGAGGTTGCCGAGGTGGGTACGTGGCACGTGGTAGGAGGCGAGCTTGGGCTTGATGGTGAGCTGGGCCGCCGATATGGAGTCGAGGGCTGGCAGGGCTCTTGCGAGACGGGCGGCGGCAGCTGCGGAGACAGAGGCAGCAGCAGACATGTGTGTGTGTGTGTGTGTGTGTGTGTGTGTGTGTGTGTGTGTGTGTGTGTGTATGTGTGGCTCTGATTGGGGTCGTTGCGGAGCCGGGGTCCAGAATGGGACTGCCTGGTTCCTCCATCTTGTACATGTGGTGCAGATGCCCTGTCCAGGAAGAGCGAAACGAAAAGTTTGCCCAACTGCGCTGACAAGGCGTGCGGTGCACAGGTGCGCTGTCCCGCGGCCTGCGGCGAGCATGTCGCTGTGGCTAGCAAATGGAGTCGGCCCTACATAAGCAGACACCGGAGCTGCGAGAACGAGAGGGCCCGGGTTGGCCCAGGGCCGCTGGAAGAGACAGGACAACACTAGACTAGACTAGACAAGACAAGACAAGACAAGACACAGACCTACCGAGAGGAGCACGACGCAATGGGAAGACCAAGAGTACGTACCTGCACGGGCGGCGGCGTGGCCGCAGCCAGCGCCCCGGCCCTGCTCGGGAGCCCTCGAGCACCCTTCTTTGCGACACCGACCGGAGATACTAACAGACGGCGACGCCTCGACCCAGGCGGGCCCCGCTGGGACAGCTCATACTGTTGATCCGCCACGGCGAGTCCGAGGGCAACTGCGACAAGTCCGTGAACTGCTACACGCCGAACCACAAGATCCCCTTGACGGCGGCAGGCCGGGAGCAGGCGTTTGCTGCCGGCGTCAAGCTCCACGACTACGTGCACGAGGGCGAGTCGGTCTGCTTCTTCACGTCGCCGTACCAGCGCACGAGGGAGACGCTGCAGGGGATCCTCCGGGGCCTGGAGAGCGTCGACGCCGCCAACGGCGTCGACGACCGCAACCACAACGACGGCGACGCGGCCGGCGACGGCGACGCCGCTGAGCCCGCCGGCGCTGAGCCGGCCAGCGCTGAGCCGGCCGCCACCCCCGCCGCCGCCGCGAGGTCGTCATCCACGAGGAGCCCCGCATGCGGGAGCAGGACTTCGGCAACTTCCAAGGCACGCCGCAGGAGATGAGGCAGATCTGGCTGGAGCGGGCCAAGTACGGCCACTTCTTCTACCGAATTCCGCACGGCGAGAGCGCCGCCGACGTCTACGACCGATGCTCCTCTTTCAACGACACCCTTTTCCGCCAGTTCAAGAAGGACGCGTTCCCCGGCGTGCTTGTTCTCGTCACCCACGGAATCTGGGCCCGCGTTTTTCTCCAGCGCTGGTTCCGCTGGAGCGTCGAGTACTTCGAGGACCTCCAGAACATCCCGCACTGCCGCTGGATCTGCCTCCACCAGCAGCCCCACCATGCTCCCCAGCTGGAGGGCGAGTGCACCTACGTGCTCGAGACGCCCCTTGACCGCTGGTCCGACGCCCCTGGTGCCGCCGACCTGCTTGTGTACCCCTACGGCTGAGGCGGCGGCTCGGCCCCACCCCTGCGCGACACCTCCGGGGCGACGGGTCGACGGGACGACGGGGCTCCGCGGCCCCGCATCGCCGTGACGCCCGGGCTCCGGGGTGGGCCCCCCCGGGGTGGCGGCGGGAGAGACGGGCGCGGGAGTGGGGAGAGGCGGCAGCGGCAGGGGCAGGACAGGCCACAGGGCCTGGGACCAGGGCCTCCTGCTGAGCATTCTCCTGCTGAGCATTCTCCTTTTTCTAAAGCGCTGAGCCAGGCAAGCCATGCACAGGGCACAGCACAGCACCGCAAGACAGACCGGCTGGCCGTACACAAGCACACACTGCAAACCTACATTCCCACACACACACACACACACACACACACACACAATGGCTAGAACTTTTTTCGTCGGAGGTAACTTCAAGATGAACGGCTCGAAGGAGTCCATCAAGACTATCGTGGAGAACCTCAACTCCAGCAAGCTCCCTGCAAACGTCGAGGTGGTGCTCTGTCCACCAGCCCCTTACTTGGCGTACACCGCAGAGCTCAACAAGCAGAAGACGGTCCAGGTGGGTGCGCAGAACAGCTACACCAAGGAGTCCGGGGCGTACACGGGAGAGATCTCGCCTGTCGAGGTGAAGGACTGTGGCGCGGAGTGGGTCATTCTCGGACACAGCGAGCGCAGAGGCATCTTCCACGAGTCGGACGAGTTTGTCGCCGACAAGGTGGCGTTTGCCATCGAGAAGGGCCTCAAGGTGATTCTCTGCATCGGCGAGTCCATCGACGAGAAGAAGGCCGGCAGCACCCTCGACGTGTGCGAGAGAGAGCTTGCCGCAGTGGTCAAGGCGGTGAAGAAGGACGACTGGCAGCACATTGTCGTTGCGTACGAGCCGATCTGGGCAATCGGCACCGGCTTGGCGGCCACAGCCGCCGACGCGCAGGACATCCACAGCAAGATCAGAGACTACCTCAAGTCCGAGCTCGGCGAGCTCGCCGACTCCGTCCGGATCTTGTACGGCGGCAGCGCCAACGGCAAGAACGCCCCCGACTTCAGAGACAAGCCCGACGTCGACGGCTTCCTCGTCGGCGGCGCCTCCTTGAAGCCCGAGTTTGTCTCCATCATCACCTCCAGAGAGTAGGGATATCCGCACCCGACTAGATAGAATCTGCTCCGTAGCGCATCGTATTTACACACAATCATACTTCCTTATTTAGCAAAGCACCGGCACCCGCTGGCACACTCACAACTCGTCGTCCTCTGCGCCGGCCCCCCGCAAGTTCTCCAACATCGCCTCCGCCATGTCCACCTCCGCCTCCGTACCCCCAGCCCGCCTCAGCTCCCGGATCACCCGCCGGTTCCGCGTGATCGCCCGCTTCTCGCATTTGCTGATACTCCCACTCACTCCCACCGACTCCCAGATCACGTCACGACCCTCCACCGTCTGCACAAAGAACATCGCCGCCAGCACCCGCTCCACCGCGTCCCTGTGCACCCGCAGAATCCCTGTCGACGTCTTGTTCGAGAAGTACTTCACCACAAACGACGTCAGCGTGTCTGCAAGCGCCTCGTCCCCGAAGTTCTTCGTCATCGACAACCTCAACGTTGACGCCAACGTCCGTGCAGAAAGCGTGCTCGTGGACTCCGTCGGAACGTCGCACGGCAGTCCTCTGCCGCCCACTCCTGTTTCGTCCACCTCCTGCGGATACCGCAGCTGGAACAATATGTACCGTGTTTTTAGTCTGACCATCCCTGTTTCTCACCGTCTTCCCTGACTCCTGGCGCCCAACGCAAACCCGTCATTTGGAGCCTCTTCAACACCTGCAAAAGAAGGTGAAAAATCCGTTGCTGCCCCCCCTCCGCCCTTTGCCGACGCGTCGTCTCCGTCTTCGTCCCCGTTTTCCTAGCTGGCGCTGCCTCTCCATTTTTCTTCATGATTTTCTTCCGGTGCCTCTTCACTGGATCGTGAGGGTGCTGATGCTCTTTTCTTTTCTCTGCTCTGTTCACGGCGTCTATTCTTTCGCCTCTGCTGTTTCTAAGCTGTATCCTGGTCTCTTTTCGCCCCACCCTTTAGCACAGTGAAACGTCTCTGGTGGTACGCAGAATCAACCGGTTCCCTTTTCTACTTATCTCGCCGCCCCCGCTGCCCTGCTGTGTCCCGCCCCAGGCTATTATATGCACGCACTGCGCAGTCTACAACTATCTTCGATCGCATCGCTAAAGCCTGTTTCTCTCCGTGCAGACTTCCCTCAAGCCAGCCGTGCCTTTTCCTCCACAATGTCTATATACACAAACCCAGCAACAAACCCTAAGGTTCAGGAGTGGCCTGCCTCCAAGGTCAGAGACACGTTCTTGGACTTTTTCAAGCAAAAACAGCACACGTTTGTCCCATCGTCCTCGGTCATCCCGCACGATGACCCAACCTTACTTTTTGCCAACGCAGGTATGAACCAGTACAAGCCTATCTTTTTGGGAACCGTCGATCCTTCCTCTTCCTTTTCTACGTTGAAGAGAGCAGTGAACTCCCAGAAATGTATCCGTGCCGGGGGTAAGCACAACGATTTGGAAGATGTTGGTAGAGACTCCTACCACCATACCTTCTTCGAAATGTTGGGGAACTGGTCTTTCGGCGATTACTTCAAAAAGGAGGCTATCCAATACTCCTGGGAACTTTTGACCAAGGTTTATGGCATTCCAGCAGACAGACTTTATGTTACCTATTTCGAAGGTGACGAGAAAGCAGGTCTCGAACCAGATATTGAAGCAAAGGAATTATGGTCTGCCATCGGTGTCCCTGATGACCACATCTTACCAGGTAACGCCAAAGACAACTTCTGGGAAATGGGTGACCAAGGTCCATGTGGTCCATGCTCTGAAATCCACTACGACAGAATCGGTGGCAGAAACGCCGCTTCTTTAGTCAATGAAGATGATCCTGATGTTCTTGAAATCTGGAACAACGTCTTTATTCAGTTCAACAGAGAACCGGATGGATCGTTGAAGCCTTTGCCTGCAAAGCACATCGATACCGGTTTGGGTTTCGAGAGATTGGTCTCTCTTTTACAAGATGTTAGATCCAACTACGACACAGATGTCTTTGAGCCTCTATTTCTGAAAATCCAGGAAATCACCGGTGTCAGACCTTACTCCGGTAAATTCGGTAAGGACGACGTCGATGGTATTGATACTGCATACCGTGTTCTAGCAGATCACGTCCGTACCTTGACATTTGCTTTGGCAGATGGCGGTGTCCCAAATAACGAAGGAAGGGGCTACGTCTTGAGAAGAATCTTAAGAAGAGGTGCAAGATACACTAGAAAATACATGAACTACCCAATCGGCACCTTTTTCTCCCAATTAGCCCCAACCTTGATCGAACAAGATAAACACATCTTCCCTGAATTGGCTAAGGATCCATCCTCCATCTTCGAAATCTTGGATGAGGAAGAAGCCTCTTTTGCTCGTACTTTAGACAGAGGTGAAAAATTATTTGAGCAGTATGCATTGATCGCTTCCAAGACCCCCGAACAAACCCTTTCAGGTAAAGACGTTTGGAGACTTTATGATACATATGGTTTCCCTGTCGATCTTACTCGTTTGATGGCAGAAGAAGCCGGGTTAAAGATTGATGAAGAAGGTTTCGAAAAGGCAAGACTCGCCTCCAAGGAAGCTTCCAAAGGAGGGGCAAGCAAGTCGGCCAAGGCTCTCTTGAAGCTTGATGTTCACGCATTGGCCTTATTGGGCGAGCAAAAGGTTCCAACAACAGACGATTCAGCTAAATATGATACAAAAGATATTAATTCTCAAGTCTTGGCTATTTACACTGATGGCGGATTTGTTGATTCAGTCACCGCTGACTCATTCAAAGATAAGCAAATTGGAATTTTGTTGGACAAGACCCCATTCTATGCTGAACAAGGTGGCCAGGAATACGATACAGGTAGAATCGTCATTGATGGTAAATCTGAGTTCCATGTCGAAAATGTCCAAGTTTACGCAGGTTATGTTTTACATACTGGTTTCATTGATGAAGGTGAATTGAAAGTCAACGACATCGTTATTTCAGGTTATGACGAACTTAGAAGATGGCCCTTACGGAACAACCACACGGGTACTCACATTTTGAATTTTGCCCTTCGTGATGTCATTGGTGACGGTGTTGAACAAAAGGGTTCTTTGGTTGCGTCTGAAAAACTTCGTTTCGATTTCTCTCATAAGAAGTCCGTCGAGCTAAAGGAACTAGACCAAGTGGAACAAATTGTCAACCAGATTATTAAGGAGAACCTGAAGGTTTATGCAAAGCCTGTTGCTCTGGAAACTGCCAAGAGCATCAACGGTTTACGTGCTGTTTTTGGTGAATCTTATCCTGACCCTGTGCGTGTTGTCTCTGTCGGCATTCCAGTTGAAGATCTTCTTGCTGATCCATCCAACGAAAAATGGAAAAAATACTCCATTGAATTCTGTGGTGGTACTCACGTCGCAAAGACCGATGATATTAAAGAATTCGTCATCATTGAAGAATCAGGTATTGCAAAGGGTATCCGTCGTATTGTTGCTGTGTCAGGCTCTGAAGCTCGTGAGGTGCAGAGAAAGGCTGCAGAATTTTCCAAGATTTTGGACGATGTCAGCAAGCTGCCATATGGTGAGACCAAGGAGCGTAGAGTTAAAGATCTTGGTACAGAATTGGGTAAATTGTCAATAAGTGTGGTCGAAAAAGCCGCATTAAAGGCTAAATTTACTGCAATCGAAAAGAGCGTTAAAGATGAAACCAAACTTCGTGTCAAGCAAGATACAACTAAAGTCATGGATGCTGTCAAATCATTTTTTGCTGCACCAGACCATAAGTCAGTTTGTGCAGTACATGTTTCTGCTGGCCCTAACGCTAAGATCATCTCTGAAGCAATTAACTATATGAAGAAAGAACAGAAAGATAGCTGTCTTTATATTGTTCTTGCTGAGGTTGAAGGTAAAGCGGCACAAGGTGTCTATTTGAGCCCTGCAGTCCAAGAAAAGTTACCAGCTGTAGAAGTTGCCACCAAGGGTGCAGCTTTCATCGGTGGTAGAGCAGGTGGTAAAGGTAACACCTGTCAAGGTATGGGCGATAAAGCTGAAGGTGCAGATGCTGCTGTTGAAGAGGTCAAAACTTTGCTAGAAAAGTTGGCTATCTAATTGTTTACTTTCAGTTTTACTTTTATACAATCTATATATCATTTTCTCAATGACTTAATTCACATATGATAAAACCTAAAAATTACAATTACGTAACACCTTATGCCATACTATTCTTAGCTTTTTTATCTTGACCGGTGATAGTCGAGGAGTTTATACACTTTTTTCTTCTGCAGGAAAACTTCAGATGGGGTCAAAATACAATACTCTGGTGGACAAAAGTTTAGGCACTATCAGTTTTGTGGTATACCAAAAAATTCAGAGTACGCATGCTTTGAAACAAAAATGGCGTTGCTTTACCGAATATCAAACATCAAACCTATAAGTTTACAATTTTATCTCTTATCAATTCTCCTCATCTTAACAAGTCGGGCATGGGCTGTGGAGCTTATGGACATCGATGCAACATTTGAAATAGCAAGCACCTTTCATCATTTTGATGATGATCCTGATGATCCACCAATTGTGGAACCTGAACCACATGAACTGTCTGATCCTATAGAATTTGAGAACATGACCAATCTTGCCGAATCTATACCTGTCAGGGATTCAGTTAATTACAGCACGCTAGTGGCTTACAAATTTGAGCCAGATCTTGACTCAGAATGGACACACTCCTATCAAATTTTCGTATACATTTCCGCCTCTTTGTGTGGCTTACCTGACACGTGGGATACAGATCTCTCAGAAAATGGTCTTTCTTTATATTATACATTCAATGAAACAGTAGCAAAAAGCACAGACACGGACGAAATGACAGCTATTAGATTTAGGAATGGATACGCTGAAGGGTTGGCCCAGATGCAAATGCAGGACAACGTATCAAAATACACTTTGTACATGCTAGTTATTCCCGACTCTTGCGATGAGTGTACCAGGGATTCAAACTGGGTATACGAATTTGCCGTCTCTCAAAGAAATTTACTTTTTCTTTATGATGTCGAACCTTTTATCTCTGTTGTTGATGTCGACTATGACACAGTTATTTTTGAAGCAGGGAAGATAAATTTTGGAAAAAATAGATCTTACGGAATGTACATTTTTGAGGATGGGAATTATATACCGACTTCTTTGAATCAATCATGGTGTGCTATAAGTGAATCCACCGGATACGGTACAAGAGTTGAGATTCAAGAGAATACTACTGAGTCGTCGAGAAATGAATTTCTTGTGTCTGGTTTAGAGATTTCCAAGCATTATTCTGCAGTACTTGTTGTGACGTTTACAGATATACCTTACGGTGGAGGAGTTTTCAAACAATTCGAGTTTACAATGTCCACATCGAAAGCTTGCAAGCTTGCTTATAGTTTAGGGTTTTGCAATGAAGTCGCTTATGCAGTCCCTGTTTCAACTGGTTTTTATGACGGAGATGAGTCATGGGAACAGCTGATGGCGGCATACGATAACTACTCTGAAAGCTTATACACTCCATTTGGATATGCAATGCAACAAATACCCTGTGACACAGAGCTATCAGCGAGATATTCTCCAATACGAACTTGTGACGATTGCAAGTATTCGTACAAACAATGGCTGTGCTCCGTCACTATACCCAGATGTATTTCTCCATCTCATGCGGGTCCGCAAAACATGGTTTATGATGCAGGTTCAGGGAGAAACCATTTCATTGAGCAAACCATCATTCCACCTTTGCCCTATGCCGAAGTTCTCCCATGCCTTAATATGTGTGAAGCAATTGTTCGGGATTGTCCCCCTGCTTTCGGTTTTGCATGTCCTCAATCTGCAGATCTGGTCCAGCTTAGCTATGGAGATCCGAGCTTTGATGATCCTGACCAAACCACCCAGGATGGGGTCAGTATTACCTCGGACATATTCGGCCATGTGCAAACCTACAGGGCATGCAATTTTATGGGTGAGAAGAATGTTCACAACACAACGTCTACTGCCTGATATATACATTAACGCTATTTTAACTTTTTTTGCTTCATGCATGACTTTTTAATACGAAATGTTCAACAAGATTGACAAAAAAAGATCAGAAATTAGGTTTTTAGCTTTTTCGAAGAAGGTTCCCCGTAATCTTCACTAAGTTCTAATTTTTGCTTTTTCTTTCCCTCTTCTTCCTCTTCTCCTTCGACCTTTTCAGCTTCAAGCTTTACTGCTTCTGGATGGGCCTTGATAGATTTCTCCATCTCCTCCCTGACGTTGACATTACCATCCCTAGAACTCAGAACTTTTTCTAAGACAGGAGCCCAAATCTCTTCGCCGTATTTGATGAAATCTTCCATCTCAAAAACGTTTTTATTAAGCTCCCACTCAGCTTGCTTCCACCTGACCAACTTAACCATGTAAGCGCTCGACCCAACGGCCCGTCCCATATCACTTAACAAAGATCTGATATAGGTACCTGATGAAACAGTCGCATCAAAGTGAAGTAAAGGGGCACGGTATTCTTCGTCTTCATACATCTTAGAATCCTTTATTATACGCATTTCCAACGGTAGCAAATTGTCATTTTTATGTTTTTCTTTCCATTCTCTGGAAAACGGAACAGGATGGTCGTTCAACGTTGGGTTGTTGGCTAATTGTTCGGCAAGTGTTTTTCCGTTTTCATCTACTTCACTCTTTAAGAAGACATATTCGTGTTCCGATGTTAAAGTATCATTCTTGATATCCATATCGGTAATCTTGACTTCTCTACTTTTAATCTGGCGAGGTAAAGGCAACCCCTCTCTGGCATACTCGTATAACCTTTTACCATCCATTTTCAAAGCACTGAAAATTGGAGGTGTTTGGTCTAAAGTTCCAACCATTCTTTCCTTGGTCTGTTCAAGTAAATCATTGGTAATATGATCAACCTCAGTTTTCAGTAGTAGCTCACCCTCGCTGTCTCCTGTCGTCGTTGATCCGCCCAAAAGCCCAACACACTCATACTTTTTCACAGAGCCGTTGGTGTAATCACCCAACTTCTTAGTCCCTGAACCAACACCAATGACCAAAACACCCGACGCTAAGGGATCAAGTGTACCACCATGTCCCATCTTTAATTTTGTTGTTTTCCATTTTTTGATACGTTGCTTACCCTGTGCTTGTTTTCTGGTGTTTTGTAACTTTTGTAACGACTCTTGAGAGACCTTAGACGAAGATAGTATTCGATTCAGTTGGTCCAAAACCGCCCTTGAAGTGGCACCAGACTGTTTATTAACAGCAAATACTCCATCCATGATAATCTTCATATGTTTATTCGCTATTTCTCCCCATCCACTTCTTGTATTCTTGCTTTATGAGGGCCAACAACTGAAAGAGATGGAAAGAAATGGACAAAAGAGGAAAAAAAATATTTGTGTGGTGTAGAGGTGTTCATGGATTATGATGGCTGATTCATGTTAATCGGAAGAACCAGCCTTGACACTTGTACACATGCCGGCGAAACTCTTCTGGAAAGTGTTCATCCGATTACGAGCTGGGCTAATCATTAATTTCGGACACCAAAGACATACCTCAATTGACTGAGTGTTTCGATTGGAAAGACCGTAAACAATGTCGCAATCTAGTGTGGGTCCCGAGATTGCAGACAAAATTATTGCTGACCTAGCTGCATTAGGTGTTGATGCCAAACGAAAGAATCCAGAGATAAGGCATGCCTGTGATCATTCAATCGAGTTGCTTAAACCATTTTCTTTATCTTCATTGAATCCAGATAATGTTATGGGACCTTCCGGGAACGATAGTCCAGCGTTAGTTGACACTCTCCGTGTGCATCCCGAATTTATTGTCCCTTTACTCATGGCATGTCATTCAAAAAACACTAAACTTATTGGGGATGCAGTGAAATGTCTAAGTAAGATCATTCAGCTGAAACTGCTGCCAAGCATTGAATCCACGCCTGAGGGATCTCCGGAGCCTATTGATGGAGTAGTCGATGCGTTGATGGAGGCCTCAAATGCTGGTCCAGAAATACAAGTGAAAATACTACAGCTACTACCTTCTTTCTTTCAACTGTATGCCTTTAGGGTCAATGCTGAGACGCTGAGTAAAATGTTGTACATTTGCACTACTCTTCAAGCTGCCAGCAAAGGCCTAGTGATAATAAACACAGCACAAGCAACCTTTTCACAGTTGATCGATATTGCTTTCGAGAAGGTTACGATATCAGATACAACACCGGATAAAGAGGTGTGTTTCACGATGTACGAAGTTCCAATAGATAACGATAAATGCATTCAAGTGAAACAAAGCGTATACGATGCACAGAGATTGGTATCTGATCTTTGTACCTTAATTGAACATCACAAGCCATCTTTTTTAAAAACTAATTACATAACCGAAGACTATGGTTTTGAGATTCTAGAAAGCTTAATCAAAAATAATTCCGAAATTTTCCTTGAACATGTGGAATTGTCATTTCTTTTGCGTACCCGTGTTGCTCCTATATTATTGAGGTTTGTTTCTTCAAGCAAAGATTTTACTTTGATGGTGAAAGTCTCAAGATTGATATTTCTCTTGTTGAATGATGAGTTCGACGTTTTGAGAGTAGAATCAGAGGTTACGCTTACCCTTTTAACACATATTCTATCAAAGAATTCGGGGGCTCCGCAGTGGAAAAAAACAATGGTGTTAGAAATCTACGTGGGAGTGTTCAAAAATCATGAGCTTCTCAAAAAAATATTCATGGCTTATGACAATAATCCAACGGAGGAAAGAAAAAGTGTTGTTGATGACTTGCTCAAAGTGTGTCTTAACATAGTCCATGATCAGAAAAATGTTTTGAATACTGGTGATTTGATACAGCTTCCTGCTACCACTAACGAGCCAATACAAAACGGTAAGAAGCAAAAGCCTCAGCAACTGTCCCAAAGGAAAGTGGTTTATCCTCCGGGTCTGAGAGCTGCTGAATTTACCAAAACTATAAGGTTTATGGATTCAATCGAGAAGCAAGAACCTCCGCAAACGCCCCCTTCTTATGACTCTTATCTCATTTCCCAGATACTTATTGCTCTCTCGGATTGTGTCCAGAGTTCTACTTTAAGTTTAATGAAAGCAGCCAATCCAGCTCCTTATATATCAGAACAGTTATTTGCAGAAAGTAAAGATGAAAAATTGAAAGTCTTATACGAGTGCATATGTGACCTAATCACCAACACATGGGCATTGCAACTAGAAATAACTGACATCTTCATACATTCAACTTTGGACAATGAATTATTTTCTGGAACTTTGAAGCTGCTTGAAAATTTGTGTTATTGCTCTGGCGTTCTATCCTTGAATAAAGTGAAGCAATCTATTCTCAAGTACTTGAGTGTTTGCACGTTGAAACTGGACGGTAGAAGCGGGTATCAGAGTAGAGTGATGACAATTGGTGAGTCTATCGTGGGAACAATTAGCTCAACCTTGGGACAAGCAGTTTCAAACATGTCTAATAATGGCAATAATGATGTTCCAAGCTCAACTTCAGTACAAATGTACCCCAGAACAATCAACACAAGACAAACTTTATGTTTTCATACGCTCATCAGACTCGGTGTTTCTTTGGGATCACATTTACATGATGACTGGGAGATAATTCTGATAGTGTTGCAATGGGTAAGCTATTACATAAATGGAACCTCGGGGATGAGCAAAAAAGATGTGCCTCCGCTGTCTCCTTATCTAATGAATCGTGATCTTCAAATAATTGAGCATTCTTTAAGTGAACTCAGTAAGAGCATCTTTAATCAAGATGAAACCACGTTTTCCTACATTTTGAAATCATTAATCTCACTTTCGGAAAAGGTAATGACACCTGAGCCAGAAAGAGAGTTTGGACAGAGTCCATTAACTACCAGCGGAGAAATACAACCTTGCATTTTTAATAAGCTTTTCTATGTTAATAAGTTGACAGATATTTGTGTCATAAACCCCATTGAATTCATGATTTATCCAGAAAACAATTTTGATATAATCAATGATTATTTCTGTAAGATTGCAGATGACCGGTCAAATTCAGATGAGACAAGATTACTTGCAAGCAGAAGTTTCAATCAAATAGCTAAAGCATCAGCTGAAACTGGTTTTGAAGACAAATCCATTGAAATACATGAATTAACAGAGACAAAAGTCCTGAACAACATGTGTAAATTTATGACCCGCCTATCACAATTGCCTATGTCTAATGAGCTTTTAATTGCCAATTGTGAAGCAGAAATGTATCTACAAACACTAGAAACCTTGAAGAACATTATTGATAGATTTGGCAGTCTTATTCAGCTTACCTGGGGAGTTGTCACAGAAATGTTGGACTTCCCCTTTTTGATTATTAGTAATTGTGACTCAGATATTTTGAAGGAAAAAATCATAAACGACATTATCGTATCCGTCTTGAAATCATCGTTCGAAACTATGAAAGTCGTTTTAGACGAAATACTGCAGTGTATACCCAAAAATCAAATTAAAGTTATTATTGATAGCTTATACCACTTTGTGGAACAAAACTTTGATTTAAACATCTCTTTCAATTCAGTGAGTTACTTTTGGCTGATTAGTGATTATATTAAAGACAAGCTAGAGACGAACAGTAATAATTCGGAGTTTAATTACAGTCTCGCTTCTGAGGCTCAGTTGATTGAATATGTTTCAAATGATTCAACCGATGATTATCAGTATTACCAGTACTTATGGATCTACCTTGTTTTGCAATTAGCAAAAACGTCCCCGGACAAAAGAGTGCAGGTTCGCAATGGTGCAATTTTAACTACCTTCAGTGTAATTCAATCGTTTTTGACAGATGCATCTCAGTATTCTGTACTTTATGATATCGTTATACGCCCAGTCATATTGCAAATTAAACCACCAGAATCCACGATTGCTTTTAGTTCACAGGACCAAAAAGATTGGATGGAAAGTTTCATAAATATTACAAATGGACTGACAAAACTTCTGTTCAGCTTTATGAACTCATCGTTTTCGCTAGAATCCCCACAAATCATTACCATGTGGCAAGGAATAATGGAATATTTTGTTGGTCTTTTGAATTTAGACTTCAATTGGGTCGAGTTAAATAACCAAATTTTCAAAAATTTTTATGAGATTCTACACGGGTTTAAAGAATGTGACAAAGACCTACCAAAAGATGTACTTGAATCTTTGTTTGAGCCCTGGGCTTCAGTTAAAATAAACTATAATTTAGCCAAAGAGGCGGTATATCAAACTTCTTTATGCTCCTTTGTTGACTGCTTTCCTCTTTCAATGCATCTTTTCAAACCAATAATGACTACCTCTAAATTTGAAAAAATGCTGATGATTTTGAATTCTTGTATCAGATATCCCATTCTTGTTGACTCAAGAAATGATAATATGAAGTGTACTGCTTTGCAACAAGCAGTGCTGGATAATTTATCTTTGTTGGAATTTGACAAATCGGATTCCTCTTATATTTCTTACGAATCATTGTTAATTCAACAGTTGAATCTGATTGTTGTTTTACCTTTTCATACTAGAGATTTGATAGTGAAGAAGCTAGGAGACAAAGGTATCAAAATTCCTACTTTTGTTGCTGCTAGTTATCAAGGCCTACAAATTTTGGAAAGACACCTAGCGAAAATATCTGATTTAACTTATTTTAATGATCGCTCCATTTTGAAAGTTATTAAGTCTTTATTGGAGCCATCCAAACTTAAAAGTGACATATACTTTACTGCAAAAAGTTCTGAAGGGGAAGAAGAAAAAGAGTATCTCTGGGTAATTGGTTTCAGAATATTAGTCAATATTACTCTCAAAGTTTTGAATCTAATTATGAATACTCCTGAAATGAATTTCAGAACAGAGGTGAACATCGATTCCTTGACTCAGGTAATACCTTTAGCTTTGTCTGTATTTGACTGCTGCTTCATTTCCTCTGTTCCGTCCACAAAATATGGGGATAACATTGATTTGGAGCAGTACCAAAAAATGAGAGATATATTACTGAAATTTTTCAACATGTATTACGACACGAACAAAGCATGTAAGATAGAAAAATCCCAAATTGAACAATTCATTTCATCCGTGTGGTACGCTTCTTTTTATCACAATCAAGACATCATTATCGAATCAATTCTTCCTCCAGTATCACACCAGCTTTCCGCGTTGACTATGGATAAACTAGCCAAAGAACTGATACGCCCACAAAACTGGGACATCTATGGTACTACTAGGATGCTGAATGTTTCACCCCGTTTGCGACTCTCGATCCAATGTTTTGATGATTTAGTTTTGTTCGTCAATCCTGACGCGAATATACGCATCTGGCGAACCTGTCTCCCTTTCTTTATCTCCAGGTGCACACTTGTCTTCAGAAAATATCTCATGGATATCAAATTACTTGGCGGAAGGCCAGTTTCAAGAATTTTAATCGTTGAACTTAGAGACGCTGTGAATGGATTGCAAACAGTTCTCTCTTGTTTCCAGGATTTGAATACTGCTGATAGTACGCAAGTTATTTCAAAGCTAAAGTCAGTGTACTCGATGCTGATAGAATTACTTCCAAAAGTGTCTGAAAAAGATATTGAAGCAAAATTGTTAGATATTTGCCTCAGCTTGGGAAACCAAAACCTTACCCCTGATCAAACAGCTTTCAAATGACCTACCAAAGCTTGTGAATGAAACATTTAAATTAATTATATAGAAAAGTAATATAGGAATGATATATTATCTGCTATCTGCTGGATTCTCTCGTGAAAAACTCATCGATGCCTTTAAAGACTAGCCCTAGTCCTTCATCGTCAAAAAAGGAAGCAGCAATATCATCATATTGGGAAGACGGTATCATACTATTGGATAAAAGTACATTATTATCCCATTGATCTCCGGTAAGAGTATTTTGCGGTTTGCTGGGACTTTCGCGTTGATTAGAGTTCCGCAATGTTGAATCATTTTCTTTAGGTAAATCGTTTTCAGTTAGATTGCCACCTAAAATTTGTTGGACAGGAAATAAATCAGCTGAAGTTCCCTTTTGGAGCTGCCCAGCTAGTATTCTCTTCGTGAGGGTTTTCAATTTATCAAAGTATTGGTAAATCTCAAAACCTTTTTCTGAATGGTATTTGATATAAGAATACAAGAAATATATCCCGATAAGAAAGAATTTCGTTTTCATGAAAAATGTGTAATCTGAAAGTATCATTGGAATTTGCATTACCCTCTCGTATATTCCGGTTATGAAAGAAACAATCCGTTCAGGTTGAGAGGCTACACACACTGAATTCAAAAATTTCTGATTTTTCGATGGATTGAAATTGAATAGAGCATTTTCCAACTCCGTGTTTTTAAATATAGGTGGATCTGAAAACTTATCGTCATCGGTCAAGACGGGTTTTGAAGAGTTATTACTTGTTGATCGGCTTGCTGCAGACTCACTCTCTTCGGTTACTATCAAATCAATAAAAAATAACGATTGTAGTCCAATCCAAGTAGAGAAAACTTCTCTGTTATAAAGCCAGAATTTGTAGTGAAAGCTGCTATGAGATATAGCCAATATAGTGTTCATCACAACAAAAAATAAAATTTTGATCTTGGTAGTGCACTCATCTTTTATTCCTTCTATAATTTTTTGGTTCCTTGGCTCATTTAAGACTTCTTGAGAAAACTCCCTACTTAAGTTTGAATTGTGCAATAGACGACAAACTTGATACAATAAAGTTGACAAAAGATTCAACAGCTGCAATTTGAGATAAAAGAGTTTCCACTTTTCTTCATTTTGTTCAACCTGGTGATAATCGTCAAGCGGTTCAAGCGTTGATATTAGTTTAGTTACTTTCGACAAGCCAGCAAGTAACTCTCGTAATGTGCATTTTCTTTCGGTCAAAAAAAGAAGAGATATTTCTCTACTTGTGGTGACAAAAGCACTGAAGTAATCAGAATTCTGATTCGGCAGCATATAATATCCGTTGTGGTACCTATCGTCAATATATGGGGCTGCGGACATACCTACAAAATAGGAGGCATCTAATACTAAAAGGTAGTTCCATAGTGTTTTAAGAGACTCCACAGGAATTTCCTTGGCAAAAATGACGTCGTTTACATCATTAGAGTCAGCGGTGCTGTAGTGGTCCATGAAAACAACCTTATCTAGATTCATGCTAAAACCCATTTCGATGCACATGTTTACTGCCGTTTGGAACATTGGATATGAGTTATGAGATACCACACCGGCGCTAAGTGCATTTCCGTATATCATCAAAGACAACCTTAGATTCAAGATCGTATACACCGCAAATATCGAGCATTTCCTTCTGTAGTTGGAAGTGTTTAGTAGCTTCACCGATAAATCATTAAACTCATCGTCTTTCAGGGATAAAGAAAAGTTGAAAATCGAAGGGTTATTCTTGGTGAATATATTCGTTAGCTCGACCAAAGATGTGATGAGGGCAATGTATGCATATTCAAAATTTTTCACCGGGCGTTTGAATGCAATTCCTTCTCTTTTCATAATAAAGTAGTGATGAAAGATCAACTGTACAACTCCCATCGGGATATAGGAGCCGAAAAGAACCTTGTTTAGATCTGTTTGAAAGTACCCTAGTCTTTCCAAGACGGCGTAATAGTTGTTACAGACTAGCTTTTCAACTAATAAGTTCAACCCCTCAACGCTGTTCGCCGTGTTGCTATCATTGAATTGAATTTCGTGAAGCTGGAAGTTTCCTTTAAAGTTCCTCGATTTCCACGTTTTTTTTTCGTTCTTCAAGATCTCCCTAAATGACATCAAGAAATTGTACGACAAGAATGGTTCCGGCTTGGAATATACCGAGCATATTTGCATACCTCTGAGAGTTCTCGAGGGCTTCCTATTGACCGAATAAGATGTTTGTAGGTTGAAACTGATGTCCATTATTGAATTTTTCCCGCTGATCGGGGAATCGTGGAGAAGTTGCTGAGCAGGTTCGGGGAGCCCAAATACATGAAATTTTGTCTCATTCACGTCAAAGTTTGCGAAATCCTTTTCCACGATCTTGATGTCGTTCTTCTCGTTTCTTTTCACTTCATAGTCGTAATTACACGTGCGAATAGCAGACGATTTGATGCAGTTGGAACATGGTTTCTGACGATCGCACTTGATTTTCTTTTCTTTGCACGAGGAACATACCAATGATGCCCTTTTCCTTTGTTTCTTTAACTTAGAAACATGAGCACTCGACATTAGGCCTTGCCTCTGTCTGATATGTGCAGACGGTAAGAATTGTGGTTGGAGCCGCAAAAGAAAGAGAGATGCTTAATCTATCACAATCTTTATGCTGTCGGTTTGCTTTTTCGTTAAAACCGAGAACGCAGAGGTGAGCTTCTCGCTTTTTCGGCGATACGGAGATAACGCTTAAAAGTCCGCTATTTCCGTAAATTTGAAGCAACTTCGTCGATTATATAGGTTTGTAGTTTGTGGAGGATAATAGTAACGGGCTTTGTAGATAGAACATATATACGCATGTACACACACTCAACTAAACACACAGCATATATGCTTGTTATCTCAGTGTTGTCACAGATAATTTGGCATATCCTCCGCAGTGGATGGTTTTGAACTAAAATTCCGAGACATGTCAACATATTCTGTGTCCGGTTCGTAGTCATAATTGCCCGGATTGTACACGGATGCGATGTTAGATGGGTCATTTTTATCATCGACATACCTGTCCGATGGGTATCTTGTTGTAGCGTCCTTTCTCTGCAGCTCAAATTCCCTCCAGGTCATTTGCTTGATTTGCGAGCCGTCGAACTCACCTTCACGATCGCCGTGAGATCCTTTATCTCCTCCCGTAGTTTTTCTCGTATCACCCCAACTAAAATCGTCAAATTTCCAATATGCATAAGTAGGCAGCACAAAATTCCATATAGGCAAAGAGAACAAGTATATGATCATCCAGCCGACGTACATCAAGTTGGAAACCGTAACAATGATCAAAAGGGCCGGAAGACCGAAGATAATTGCCATAAGCACTAAGGACATCACTGGCGTTGGCTTGGAAACAATCGCAATGATGATAATGTACAAGGTGAAAGTAATGGATGCTGGTAAAACAAGAGTACCGATCAATTGAATAATAATGATGAATTGCATGGAGAGACAGAAAGCACCACACAAATCTTTAACAAGGGCCAATTCCATTAGGTTATGAACGGTCGAATTGATCCAACGACGACGCTGCGACAGTAAGACCTGGAATTTGTCGGGAACAACAGTCTTACATGCGGCCTTAGGAACAAAAACCTGCTTTCTTCTTGGGAAAGCTCTAAGCATCAATGAGGTGAGATATCTATCTTCACCTAAAAGTAATAAGTTTTTCTTGTGTAAACTGTCCAAAACATTATCGGAGTATTTTTCAACGATATCTGAGTTTGCTAAAATTGGCACCCAGACATTGGTACTCTTTGGTGACTTGATACGGTACATGCAGAAACAACCCGGTAAGCACGTCACACTCCCAAAAACTGACTCAAATGCTTTTGATTGATGATGAGAAATGTAGTACTCAAAAACTTGAATTGCCGTGACCCATGATTGTGCCTTATTCGAAATCTTGGTTTCCCCACATAGACCCATTATCTCAGGGTCTTTAACAAATTCCGCGGCCATATGAGTTAAAGAATCAGGATACACAAGAGTATCTGCATCAACCATCAAAACGGTTTCGTACATAGTTGCCATCAAACCTGTAATTTGCCATATAGCTTTCAGCATTTCGTATTGTAAAGGAGTCATACGTTCATTAAAAGTAACACTTTGAAGGAAAGACATCAAGATAATTTGAGAATCACGCTTACCTCTATTACCAGGTTTGGCAGAAGTCATTTCTTCAGGGGTGCCACACTTGACGACCAATAAAACAGGGATTTTCTGTTGTTTTTCAATAGGAACAGTGGAATCATTGTATTTATAAAATCCGGCGTAAACCTTAGCCATATTATGTCTTTTGGAACCATGGGCAACTGAAACATAAGAAAATGGCTGGACTTGATCTTTTGGAACAACTAGATCTGTCATCATATCCAAGCAAATTTCAGGTGTCGATTTATCATTACCTGCACCTGTAATTAAACCATCACAAATAACGACAATCAATTTATGGGAGTTAGGATAGTCTGTTGTGGCAATGGAATCAATTGTTGTTCTGATTCCGTCTTCATCTTCAGAATAACAGGTAACTAAACACATGGTATGGATCAATGGATATCCAAATGGCTCCCAATTGACAGGGGGCTGTGGAATTACATCTGTGGAGATGATATCAGGATCTAAAGTTTCAATTTCTTCATCTTCAAACGGATCATTTTTCTTAAAAGGGTTCAACGTTAGGTTACTAGTGCTTAGCATTGAAGAACGAGACATACTTCTACCTTTTTTCTTCCCAGCATTTGCCATCATATAAGCCTCGGTTGTCATTGTAATATACTGTGGTTTGTAATCATCCCTTTTCTCCCTTTCAATTACAATATCTTTGTCACCATCTCCAATGAAATCATTTATATCCCCACCCCAAGAAAGGCGGAAGGTTTTGTTGAACTTGCTGTGATAGTCTGCTCTTCTTTTCTTTGGAACATCTGCTAAAGGTGCTGAACTGTAAGGGTCATCGACCCAGTTGTCGATTTGGTTATTTCTCTCATTCATCTCCTTGATAGAACTATATGAAACACCTTGATGTGGCGCAACAAACCACTTGAAATAGCATGCCACCACAAATTGAACTATGACGATTGATAAGACGAAAACTAGGGAAACATACAAAACGATTGTTGAAGCGATACATCCCACCGTGGAGACATCTACGACTCCTATTTTGGCGATTTCTATCAGACAATCGGCGGCTTGTCTCTGATGAGGTTCGGTCAAAAGTAATGAGATGTCGTAACCTTTCATGGTTTTATCGTTTTTGATATCGTCAAATAATTGAGGGTATGTCAATTCATCTGCAAATAGCCAGTTCAGCAAGTCCATATCAATGACATTACCGTTGTAAACAATCAAATCTCTAGTACTATTTGCGATGGCTTCCCAGGTGTAGTACAAATCTCCTTCTACCTTCAAGCCATAAAATGTTTTTCTTGCGTAGGAAGACGTATGACATGCGTAACCGTTATAGTGATCAAAGGTGAAATTTGGTGTGGATGAACCATCCAATTCCATGATCTTACAAGGCATGTACCATGCCATTTCTTCACCTTGGAAGGGAATCGTGCTATCCTGCTTTGGTTTGATCAAGCCTTTACAGTTCCCATTGACGTTTTGGAATAAGAGACTCCCATCTTTACCGCCAGCATTGATTGGAGGATATAAGACGTTTGTGTCTGCATCGATGCCTTCTGCAGCAGGATGAGAAGATGATGATAGATCATAAGCTCTACCATTGATTACCATATAACTTGAAGATAAATCTTGGGGCTTCAATCTTGCGGTCAAGTTAGTGCATGTCGCTCTGGTGAACCCGAAAGTTAAGAACCCAATGATGCAACCAATAACCAAAATGATACTGATCAATCCCATCTTTTCTCTCCAAGCGTACTGTCTATCTTTTGTTTTCAAACCAAACAAACTCATCAAAGGCCCCGGGGCCCAGAATGTGAGCACGTAGCAGTAGAGTTTCCAGTATGGAAATCCATGCTTATCTTCTTCCAACTCCATTCTTTTCGGAGGGATGGCGGTGTAGTAGTTTTCATTCGAGAGTGGGGTTTTTTCATCATTGTCGTGGTCAAGGCCCGTCACGTTGTACTCATTAGGTAGTGGTTGCCCATGTGGGTCATGATCATCATACTCGTCGTTTAAATGAAATATTTCTCTAGGCTGGTTTGGAGTGGGGTTTGCGGGTGTTTCGTATTCAGTCACTCTTTCGATTGTGGTATCTTTTCCCGCTTTGCTGTCATTTCCCTCATCTTCCTCTCCCAGCACAAATGGGTTTGGGTTTTCTGGGATATCATCGTGGTGATACGCGTACGCCTCAGGTGAGTTTCTGTGATGCATATGGTTTGAGGATGAGAACTGTGACATGTTTTGCATGGGGATGTCCTCATTGCCGGCCCCGAAGCGGTCATTGTTGTAGTTATCCGAGCCGAAATTATTGCTGTTGTTATTGTAGTAGATGTTGCTGCTGTTGGTGTTGTCTTGGTATGCGGAAAGTCTTGCCGAATTTGAGTTGGAAATGGTGTTCTTGCTGTACCTGGAATTTCGAAACGAGGTCTGGTACGAGTTAGGTCTGGCACGGTCCCTGCGAACCAAGGATCTCTTTCGTGTGAAGTTCCCCGACTCTGTGTCCACCGAGTCAAAAGTGGACCCGGAGGACTCTCCAGACTGCTCCAGCATATCTTTGTACGGATGCGCCACTGCAAAAGTTGGGAGATAGCCAGAGGCTGCATGTTAGTACTTGTTCTTTAAGGCCACAATCGCCAAAAGGATCATGGATCACTCTTCTTCTTCTGTTTCGTCTTCATTCTCCTCTCTGTTCTGCCCCTTTCCAGTAAAACACCCTTGAAAAAATCCTATCCTGCTCCTGACTTGTTTACTTACTGTCTTTGTCGTTCTCCTGGCGCTCTTGTCCCCCTCTCTTGCTCTTTGCAGGCCCTCCTGGAGCCAGCGATGGAGGCTCTGATGCCGTGATGTGTCTCTTTCCTTAGAGGGTGGAAACCAAAACAGAGACACCGCACAGAGAAAAAGAAGGTCTCCCCCAGAAGAGAAAATTTCCCCTTTCGGCTCGAATTGCGTCCGGTTTGGTTTCCAAATTTGCCGCGTTGCCAGACAAGCCAGTCTCGTGTCAGGGAGTTAGGAAAGGAGGAAGGAAGAAGGAGGAGGAAGAAAGAGGAGCTTGATAGAACAGACAGTAGAAGCAGCCTAGACAACAGACAAACAGAATCAAGAAGATGTCTGACAGAAGAAGCCCAAGGAAAAGATTGCACCGCCATGACGCAGCCTCGGACAGCAACAGTTCGGACGAGGAGGTGGAGTACCAGTCGACAGGACCAGTGTCGCAAGACGACGCACACCGTAGCGGGCGGCGCAACCCGCTAGACTCGTCTCCGCCAGCATCAGATATTCCGGACCTGGCGTCGTCACCGAACGCCAAACTGTTTGACAACGACGACGATGAGAACGAGGAGTCGGTTCACAACGAGGTTGAAGACGACCTGCGGGACTTGGACGACGAAATGGAGGAGGCCACGGGCCGAGACCTTATTGGCGACGATATGATGGACGACTACAGAGAGCGTCCGGGTGAGGACGCTTACGAGGGGTTGGACATCGACGACGACGTGGTGGATGATATGGACATTGGTCAGCGGAGACAGGTGGACAGGCTCCTCAACCTCCGGGACGACTACTCCAGAAGGCAGAACTTGGACTTAGACGAGGACGACCAGGAGATGCGTGGCTCGCAGTCAGAGGACGAGTTTGGATTGCCCACACAGAGAACGAGAAGACGGTTCGAGGAGGACTTCAACAACGAGGACCTTGCTGCGAACGAGATCGCCTATGCACAGTTGATCGACGTCAAGGCGCCTTCGGTTCTTGAGTGGATCTGCCAGCCCCAGGTGACCAGAACCATTGCTCGGGAGTTCAAGTCGTTTCTCTTGGAGTTTGTCGATGACAAAGGTCGGTCTGTGTACGGGCCGAAGATCAGAGAGATGGGAGAGTCGAACAGCGAGTCGTTGGAGGTCTCGTACTCCCATTTGTTGAACTCCAAAGCCATTTTGGCGGATTTCCTCAGACAGTGCCCGGAAGAGATGCTGAAGATCTTTGACGTTGTTGCCATGGAGGCCACGGAGATCCATTACTCGGATTACACTCAGATTCATTCCGAGATCCACGTCAGAATAACAGACTATTACGAGATGCTGAACTTGCGAGACTTGAGACAGAACCACTTGAACAACCTTGTCAAGATTAGAGGTGTTGTCACAAGAAGAACAGGAATCTTCCCCCAACTCAAGTACATCAAGTTTGACTGTCCTCAGTGTAAGACAGTGCTTGGTCCCTACTTCCAGGACTCGAATCAGGAAATCAAGATTAGATACTGCTCCAACTGTGAGTACCGAGGGAAAATGCCAATCAATTCGGAGCAGACGGTGTACAGAAACTACCAAAGAATCACTGTACAGGAGTCCCCAGGCTCGATGCCCGCCGGTCGTCTACCCCGTCACAAGGAAGCAATTTTGCTCTGGGACTTGGTCGATGTGGCCAAACCCGGCGAGGAAGTTGAGCTTACGGGGATATACAAAAACTCGTACGACGGTATCTTAAACGCCAAGAACGGTTTTCCTGTTTTCGCCACCGTCATTGAGACAAATTCGATCAAGCGTCGGGAAGGTGGCAGTGACGATACAGACTCTTCTTCGGCCTACCAGATCTCTTTAGAAGATGAAAAGACATTCAGAAGTATGTCGAACCAGCCGGATATCATTGAAAAAATTATCTCCTCCATGGCCCCTTCGATTTATGGTCACAAGTACATCAAGACTGCCGTTGCTTGCGCGTTATTCGGAGGTGTTCCAAAGGACGTCAATGGGAAGCATTCGATCAGAGGAGATATCAATGTTTTATTGTTGGGTGACCCTGGTACTGCAAAGTCCCAGATCTTGAAGTATGTCGAGAAAACCGCATACCGTGCTGTTTTTTCAACGGGTCAGGGTGCATCTGCTGTTGGTTTGACTGCCTCTGTTCGTAAAGACCCGGTCACCAAAGAATGGACCTTGGAGGGCGGGGCCTTAGTCTTGGCCGACAAGGGTGTCTGCATGATTGACGAGTTTGACAAGATGAATGACCAGGATCGTACCTCCATCCACGAAGCCATGGAGCAGCAGTCTATCTCTATCTCCAAGGCAGGTATCGTGACGACTCTACAGGCAAGATGCTCGGTCATTGCGGCTGCAAACCCTATCGGAGGTAGGTACAACAGTACCGTCGATCTACAAAGAAACGTCAACTTGACTGAACCTATTCTTTCGAGATTTGACGTCATCTGTGTCGTGAGAGATTTATGTAACCCCGAGAACGACGAGAGGTTGGCCACGTTCGTGGTCGACTCGCACATGAGATCGTATCCTGACGATGGGGACGAGGATGATTTAGATGAGGGTTCCGATGCAGAAAATATTAAGGAAGACGGCGAGTCTGACGACGAGATGAACGAAGAGATGATGCGTGAAAGACGAAAGAAAAGACAGGAGAAGATCAAACGAGCAAAGGAGAGTGAGATTTCACCAATTCCACAGGACGTGCTCGTGAAATATCTCTATTACGCCCGGAGCCGCATCCAGCCCAAACTCAATCAGATGGACATGGACAAGGTCTCCCGGGTTTACTCCGACCTCAGAAAGGAGTCCAACACCACAGGCTCTTTCCCGATCACCGTGAGACATTTAGAGTCGATCTTGAGAATTGCGGAGTCCTTTGCAAAGATGAGACTCAGTCCGTACGTCTCCAGCAGCGACTTGGACCGTGCCATCAAAGTCGTTGTGGACAGCTTTATCGGTGCCCAGAAGATCAGCATCAGAAGACAGTTGCAGAGAAGCTTCATGAAGTACACCTTGCCGCACCGGTCGCAGCGGGGCAGCGGCCGAAACGCAGGCCCGACGCCTGCCCCCGCCACCGCTGCAGCATGATCCATGTCTGTATCCGTCGTCGACATATATACCCCCGTCCCCTCTTTTGTATCATTCCTTCCTTGTGTGTATACTCCCGCTTTTATTTAATTCCGATCCTCTGGTCTTCTCCGAAGCGGACCCTCGGGAGAAACGCCGAACAGGCGCATCTCTGTCTTCGTCTCCTGCGGCGAGCTGCAATTACGCTGGCGGCGGAGGCGCCAGGAGAGGAAGATGATCTGGGGGCAGTAGGTCTGCCATGAAGAGAAGAGAGGGGAGCAGAAAGCAAGAACAAGCCTGGTGCTGCCGCTTCGACACACGTCACAGATGGTATCTCTTACAGAAGTCCCTACGCCGGTCACTCCCGAGGCAATTTTCTACTTCATCCCCAATCTCATTGGATATGGACGGGTGATAACCTTGATTCTGTCGTTTTTCACGATGGCCCACCACCCTCTCATCACAATGGGCTTTCTTTACAGTGCGTCGTGCTTGCTTGACGCCTTCGACGGGTACTACGCCAGGAAGTTCAACCAGTCGACGCAATTCGGCGCCGTGTTGGACATGGTGACGGACAGATGCTCCACCTGTTCGTTGATTGTCTTTTTGGGCGTCTTGTACCCGGACTACTTCATTGCGTGGCAGGCGTTGATCTCCTTGGACCTTGCCTCCCACTACGTCCACATGTACGCCCAGATCGTGAGCGGCTCGACCAGCCACAAGAAGATGAGAGAGGGCGCCAATTGGTTGTTGAAGCTCTACTACGAGAACCGGGTCTTTTTGTTCCTCGTGTGTGCCCTCAACGAGACATTCTACATTGCGCTCTACCTGCACCACTTTGACTTCCTGTACGTTCCTGGAACAAGCGTCAGTTTGGCGTACTGGCTCACGCTGCTCTGTTCGCCCGTCTGGTTCTTCAAGCAGATCTGCAACGTCATCCAGCTGGTGAACGCGTGCCAGATGCTCGCACAGCTCGATGCGCAGAACATGAATGCTGCAAGAAAGGCCAACTGAAAGCCCTAAGGCCTTGCTGCTTCCGCCTTCCCTTTCATTTTCCCTACCATTCCTAGTCTTCAGTCCTGAAAAACACGTACACGCCGCAAACGCTGTGTACCATCATCCTTCTCGTATGGTCCTGTATGGAAGAAAACATCTATATAGATATCAGTATCTACGTACCTGTCTATGTATGTATATCAGAGTATAACACATGAATAAATCCTTCATTTCAATCCATTTGGTGCAACAAGAACCAGAAGGACTGGGCAACTTGGAAAAAAAAATAGCTTTTCAAAAAGAAACGGGGTCAACTGGGAATTGAACCCAGGGCCTCCTGCTCCCAAAGCAGGAATCATACCACTAGACCATTAACCCTGTAACTGGAAAACAATTCTTCTCGCTTGTATACACTGCCTTTTTGTCACGTGAACTCTTACGTAACCACCTTGTTTTCTGTTTTCTTTATAGATCTTTCAATCCATTGCGTCCTTTACAATCTTTTTGCTTGAAACATATATCTCTTTGCGCACAACAAGGGACCCTGTCATATCCTTTCCGGGCCGACCGGCTCGCCACCATTTCCGGACTCGGCGATAGCGCTTGCTCCTTTTCTCTCCGCAGAGCTGCTCGCTTGCCACTGCCACCGCCATGCAGAGGGAGGGGTTCGCATAGTAACTGAGACGGGGTGTCTGCCTGGACGGGAGGATGGACGGGAGGATGAACGGAAAGGGGGCCGCTGGTGGCCGGTGAAGTTTTGGATTCGGTACGTCAGCCTCCAGCGCAGACTTGTATGTGAGCAATTGGGGTTTCTGTAGAAGTACTCCAGCACCGCACCGCATCGCACCGCATAGCACAGTCCACCCTGGCGCCCCCTCCTGCCCTTCCCGTCCAGTGCCAGCACCGTTGTTTCCGACAGCATTAATAATCCGGGATTCCTTTCAACCCCCGTGTCTACGTGCCGACACACATCGTCGATACCAAGGTCAATCCCACCGTGCAGACACATAGTGCAGCTGGGTTCTTGCATCCTGGACGCAGAAAAACCACTCTGGCCCTTCCCTCCCCAACAGGCGGCCTGCATCTGAGGAAGCTGAAGCTCGGAGCTCGAGAAGCACTGGCATAGATCGAAACAACACAGCCACAGCAAAACATGGCCGACGAAGGCAACAGCAGCTGCAACGCCAGCGGCGAGGAACACCATACACCCCACGATGAGACCTGCGAAATACCGAAAACACACCAGATCTCTAACGACATTGCAGTCCACGCGGTGCCTGTGAGTGAACCGCTTTCGGCACACACACAGGACCTCCTGTCGTTCAGGTTGAGAATGAGTCCGAACGAAATCACGTCGGCGTCGGGTGCGTTGGCAGGGTTCTTGTCTGGCCTGGTGGTGTGCCCCTTGGACGTTGCGAAAACTAGATTCCAAGCGCAGGGAGCATATCTGCGAAGCAACTCCAGCAACAGCAACATCACCCCGAAGTACAAAGGTGCGTTCCAGTCGATGCGCTTGATATGGCACGAGGAAGGTGTCCGAGGCTTGTACAGAGGTGTCGTGCCGATCACATTGGGCTACTTCCCAACATGGATGATCTACTTCTCCTGCTACGAACACTTCAAAAAGTTCTACACGAACCTTACCCACGACGAGAACATCAGCTACTTTGCCAGTGCAATTTCGTCCGGTGCAATCTCCTCCACCGCAACGAACCCGATCTGGGTGGTGAAAACTAGATTGATGCTGCAGATGGACAATGGAAAGACAATATACGATACCTTTTTGGAAAACGACATCAAAAACAACAAAATAGACCCCAACACAGCTAAAACCGCCACCATACCGAAAAAGGGGGACTGGTACACAGGCACTTTTGACGCATTCAGGAAAATGTACAAACATGAAGGTATTGGAGTTTTCTATAAAGGTCTACTTCCTTCATATTTCGGATTGTGCCATGTGGCGATCCAATTCCCCTTGTACGAGAATTTCAAGAAGATGTTTAAGATTGACAGCGACAAAAGCGAAAACGTCTTGGAATCCCCTTCGCTATCCAAGAAGGCTGCAAATTTCGTCAAGTTCATTCTTGCCTCCTCGCTTTCCAAAATGATTGCGAGCGGGATAACATATCCACACGAGCTAGTCAGAACCAGACTACAATTGTTCTCGAACAGCAACCAGATCCTGAATGAGTCCCAAGTGAGCGGTTTGATTAGGGTGATCAAGACAATCATCAAAAATGAGGGTTTTAGCGGCTTCTACAGTGGGTTCGTTATAAATTTGGCCAGAACCGTTCCAGCAAGTGCTGTTACCATGGTTTCGTTTGAATATTTTAGGGAATATTTTCAACGTTTCGGATACTAATTTCGGCAACTTCCACTCATTCATTCACTTCCACATATCCACCTCAAACTATGTTCATATCCAGTCATACCTATCTTTATATATTTGTTATTTATTATGTATTATGATTTGTTTCCTTCTTCCTTCCTCTTGTTCAATTTTTACATTGTTCTTGTTTTCTCACTTCCTCCTGTTCACTCTCTTTTCAAATACTATTTTAGACACACATTCTCAACATTACAACCTCTCATTTCACCGCTGACATTGTATTAAACACATGTTCCAATCATGCTCCTCGAGCGCGTAGAAAAAAGACGAACTTTGCCGCGTGTCAAACGACACCCAGACCCCGGTGTTCACAATAACAAACCTTCTGCTACTCATGGGGAGAGAAGCTTGTAGGAGAACAGCCCGTGCCCGCTTCTCCATCCCTCTACATTATCCGTGTAATGCACCAGCAATGCCGCAGATGAAACATATACTACTGGTATGCTGGATACTTTTAGGCTTCAATATCGGTATTTCACAGGCCGTGGCTAAGCCGTCCACTGGTGAAGATGATTTGCATTCACGAGTGCCTCCCCCATTGACCGCAACAGATTTTGACAAGGTTTTGGAAGAAGGGTTCCACGTGGTTGAATTCTTTTCACCTTATTGTCCACACTGTACACAGCTGTTCCCAACTTGGGTTGAGTTCTACGAATACAACCAAAATATGAACGGAAAGAACAGTAAAGACAAAAGTAATTCGTTTCAAATTCACCAGGTTGACTGCGTAGCCAGCGGAGACTTGTGTGAACGTGAGGGAATTCAATTCTACCCTATGATCAGATTTTACGGTGCCGGTTCAAAGCTGTTGGGTTCCATGACCACCAATCCAAAAGACCTTGACACGATGAACGAGTTTGCCAACGAGCAAATTATTGTTTGGTCCGAAAGCGAGGATGATGATGACATGGATGCCTCAGCTCTTATTCCAGGAACGCCTCTTTATAATCAGAATAAAATGATTAAGGCAGGAGAGTTGCTCAAGATCATTGAAGGGGAAAATACAGTGCCTAAATTGATTTCGTTTTGGCCCACCAGTGAAAGTGAACTGAATAACCAGAATTTTCAAAATGATTATAACCAAAACAAGATTTTCTCGTACTATCCCAATTTACATCCATTCCGAAACTTATGGAACCTATCAATGAAAAAGTTGAAAAATTTCATCAACGAAGATAAACTTGAATTCAATTTTTTCAACTGTAAATCTAACCCTGAGATTTGCGAGACTTTAGGTTTCAAATCGTTGACTGAAAGCAGAATCAGTCCTAATTTATCGCCCCAAGTTATTTTATACTTACCAAAGACTACAGGTGGCAACGCGATTTCCTACAAGCTAAAGATTAACGAATTCCACAATTTGAATACAGCAGTCAAGTCATTGACACATTGGACACAAAGAACATTGATCAACTCTGAACTTGAAGATATGAAGTTTCAAGATATACAAGACTTTATAGGATCCTCTACAAAGCTAAGCAGAAAGGGTTCAATTGGTGAAATAACCGATTACTCCAAAGTGGCTTTCGTTCAAGTCAATGATCCCGAATCTGAAGTTCCGGAAGATGATGCTATACTTAGTCGTCTAATTCAACCTATTGCCGATCTTAAGTCCGATGTATACTTGTTCAGAACCACGGACAAGGATGCTGTAATGAAGTTTTTGAGAGATCAGGAAGAACAAATGGCCAACAAATATATTCATTTAGGTGTACAGGATACTGCGATGAATTTCGATGAGAAGATGTTTTTATCCAGAACTCACACTACATTTCCCATGATGATTTGTATCAAATCAGGATCATTGTATTCTCCTGTCTTCACAAGTTTCATGTCGAAACACATCAGAGACTACAATAAGGTCTTGACTTTCATAAAGAGAAACTACATGCCTACAATCAATCATTTGACTATCGACTCCAAGGATCAAATATTTCCTCCAACCCTCAATGAAAGAATAAACTCCAGAACTGAAAAAGTTCTAATCACTCTTACTGACTTTCAGCCGAAGCAATATTTTGATGTAGAATTTTTTATGTCATTTGTCTTCCACAAATTCACTTTCTTAAATAATAGAGACAAATTCAACAGAATAGACGAAAAGAGATCGATGAAGTATGACAAAGTTGGCGAACTGAGAGCAAACAAAGCCGACTCAGATGATATCATTGATGCCTTGAGAGAAAAGGTTGATATCTCTTACACAACAACAGATAACCAGCTTTATCCAGTATACCTCGACACCAAGAAGCTGCCTGAGATTATATCCGCTATGAAATGGTCCAAACTTGATTCTTCTCGTTACACCACTGGAGATGTGATTCTTATCGATAGATTCAATGGCCGGTATTGGGACGAGGATGATTCAGGACACAAATTGACCATAGAAGATCCACAACAGACAGTAGGCCTACTTGAAAAAGTCAGCTACAAGAAACTCAAGGGAAAGAGCTTGAAACATCTATCCCTTTTTGCCAAAGTTCCACTTTATTCCTTTATTGCTATTCTCATCTTCATGACATATCGTGCAGTTAGAGTGTATTTACAGAAGAGGACAGTTTACATAGAAAAGATGAAGGGATTGGGTATATTAGGCGTATGTCCGGAATTGGAGGAATCCAAGTTTGACTAAGGCTCACGCAGAGTTCTTATGCACTAGATTATCCTTAATCCAGGAAATATGAATAACTGGCGCTGTGCTTGCAACATTGGGTATGCAACCACTAACATCTGTAAATCTCAGTATTTAAAAATAAGTCTGTGTTCACGTGACCCGTAACATAATAATTTTGTTTTTCATGGTTTAATTTTTAGTATTTTTTTCATTTCTTGTATTTCCATTCAATGCTAACCTTTTTACCTTGATTCGAAAGAGTCAACCTGAAGCCAAATAAAGGTATTTTGCTACTGGTAGTGACGATAGCTTAGCTCATAACCAAGTCAGTAGATGAGCTTTTACCTTCTCCGTTCCAGGGGGCTGGTATGCTCCAGAGTGCTACAGGCTAGAAGCCTTGCTACTATAGTTCAAGATGAGAATAAAATAATCTACAATAATGACATAAAGGATCTGATAAAGAAGTCGTTCACGAACTTCAAGAACAAAATCAAGCTTAACAACGTCAACAAATTCAGCTACGATGTGCTAAAGCAAAAATACGACACAGAATTTTTGAAAGTAAACATGAACACCCTTTTGAGGAAAGTCTCCGACGTGGAAACGAAAGTTTTAACGCTATCAAATGAGCATATTAAGTTTGAAGAGTTGAAAAGAACACTCCCGTCAATAATGCCATCTTTCATAATACCCCAAACATTTACTCTTTACAACACTGCTGCTTATTTGTTGTCCGAGGATTCAGACTTAAACCAAGTCCCAGTCAAGATTAAAGATGCCGACTCAATATCGAAATCTGAAAAAGTTGACTATATCATGGACTTACTTGTTGAGAAACTGATGTATATGAAATTCAAACCTTACTACTTGCAAAATGTTTTCAATGACAGAAGTAATAATCAAAACTACAATCAGAATCTTACGATAAACATTATGGACGTTGATAATCCCTGCGAATGGTTTCCCCAAGCCAGGAAAATCAAACGTAAATTCATCATGCACGTTGGGCCCACAAACAGTGGTAAAACGTATAACGCATTGAAAAGATTGGAAAACTGCTCAAAGGGCTATTTTGCAGGACCTTTGAGATTACTCGCTAGGGAAGTGTACGAAAAATTTCAGGAGAGGGGTGTTAGATGTAATCTTGTTACAGGTGAGGAAGTCGTGGTTGATATTGATGAAAATGGAAATAGGGCAGGCTTAACTTCAGGTACAATTGAAATGCTTTCATTGAGTGACACATATGATGTTATTGTCGTTGACGAAATTCAAATGATTGGGGACGAATTCAGAGGATCTGCATGGACAAACGCCATTTTGGGGGCAAAAGCAAAAGAGATTCATTTATGTGGTGAAAAAAGTGCTATCCCTCTGATTGAAAAGCTAGTTAAAATGACCGGTGATGATTTGGTTATCAATGAATATAACAGATTAGGTAAACTAGTGGTCGATGAAGATCCTGTCAGCATTCATGATCTTAAAAGAGGTGATTGCATCGTCTGTTTCAGCAAGCCTGTCATCTTGGATATGAAAGCACATGTTGAAAAACAAACAGGGTTGAAGTGTGCCGTGATCTATGGCGCGTTACCACCTGAAACTAGAGCACAAGAAGCACAAAGGTTCAATAATGGCGAGTACGATGTTGTCGTTGCTTCAGATGCTATTGGTATGGGGCTGAATCTTAAAATCAACAGAGTCATCTTTACGACTACTCAAAAGTACAATGGTAAGACAAATATAACATTGTCCGATTCCAATATCAAACAAATTGGCGGACGTGCCGGTAGATTTGGTGTTGGAGAGGGTGAAGGTCATATTACCGCTATTTCTAAGGATGAGTTACATGTCATTAAAAGGGCGATTGATGCCCCAGTGACATTTTTGAAAAAAGCAGCACTTTGGCCACCTGATGGAATGTGGGTTAGATACTATTCCATGTTTACAGAGGAAACAGATTTGAACACCATGTATCGTAAGTTTGAAACTGATCTATCGAAGCATTTTAGGAAAACAAAACACATTGAGAGAGACTTTGTTCTTCAATCCCTAGATGACAGAAAAGCCGTGGGAAAGTTTTTCGAAAAAGAACATCTTACCAAAAAGTTTTATATTCAAGATCAACTTAAATGCATTGCTTGCCCAACCACAATTACTGGAGCCCCAACCAGAGCACTGAAACTAGTCACTGATGATTTATTCAAACAGTTCATGCAAACAATCATCAACAGAAGTAGGAAGTCTATTTTTGATTTTGAGTCCATGCCTTTTTATGTCACAACCAGTGATGATATTAAGGACAAACCAGTTTTACAAAATTCAAAGGCCTACACACATGGATCTGAGAACTCAGAAGTAGAGCCCGTCCCATCAAATTTGAAGGGTGAGATTATTGATAGAATAAAAAAAGCTGAAGTCAAAGAATTCCAGACCTTAAGAACTCCTGTAAATAAAATAGTTCCGGTTGAAGAGCGTTTGATGAAATTAGAGCAATTTCATAGAGCAACGGGAACATATATGTGGTTGGCTTATAGATTTCCACAATGCTTCACCGATCTCCAATCTGCCACTAAGTTAAGGGAATTGATTGAATATAGGATCTCTGAGATGTTGAGTAACTTAAGAGCTTCTAACAAGTTGAATAAGAAAAGGTTCAAAACATTCTGATCCTTATTCTTGATCCCCATCCTACCTTGTACATAAATATATTCTTTATATTAAATCCTAATGAGCGAAAATTTTGTGCACATTTACCTAAAACAGTACACACATTACTCTATATATTCCAGCCATCTCTTTCCATATCCCCCGATTTAATAAATGGTTCGTCAAGCTCGTTTATCTTCATATCCGAACACAAGCAACAGGACCTTGAAAGTAGGTGATCGATTTCTAGCTTCAAATCTTCTATAACAGAAGCGTTTTTATTGTTCATCAATATTTTCTTCTGTATTTTATAGATTGAATTTTTAGCTTTGTAATCATTAGATTCCAAAATATTCTTCACCATACAATCCTGGTGGAATGCATGGGAACACGGAAACACGATAAACTTCCTAATAGCCAATATTTTATGACATAATTGACATGACTCAAAGGGTTCAATAATTTGAAAGTTTGTACTTTGGAAATCTTTGATTTTTTGATTTATCTTGTCTGATTCATTCAAAGTGTTATCCATCTCAACTGCAGCCTTGTTCATCTCTAGAGATAGCTTTTTTAGTGACTCAATTAGAGATTCTTTGAAGTTATCAATGACTATGAATTCTGGGAAAAGAGGTAATAAGTCCTTAATCGCCAATGCATCACATTTCTCAGTCAAAAACCGTAGTAAAATATAAACAGGATCCTCATTTTCTTCTTCAGCAGTTGGCACACGATCATCGTAAAACATGTTTTGGTGCTGTTTAATGTACTCTTTATTTACCACTACCTTGGATATAAGTTTCTCGCTTATCTTCAGCCATAGCTCTTTCCTCTGATATTCATCTTTTTCATTAGGTTTATCAGCAACCAAAATTGCAGCATCTATCAAATCGTTATCGAGTGCAAGATCAACAGCTTCCTCATCTTTGCCCAAAATAGAGTAAATAAATATTGCTGACTGAATTTTGTGAAATTTGAAACTAAGCCTTAAAATATAGTCGTAATCGAAAAAGGTTTCACCTTTCTCAAATTTCCTGAACTTTTTTTTCCTAAACGATTGGTAGCTCTCTAGCTGTTTGAGTATTAAGTTTTCATTGTGTGTGTTAGGATAAGTTATTAAAATTGAGAAAAACGTATTATGCACAATTCTGTTAGAAACATTTTTTTCATAAATCAAAAACTTCAAAAATCGTAATGACTGATTGTGCTCAGGGCTGATTTGTTGAGGGAATGCCACGGTCTTGTTGTACGTCAGTAGTGAAGGTATTAGCTTTAGTTCGCTCAAATCGTCGATTAAACGCACCCAGGTATCAATAGTTTTGACTGGGTGATTCACCAATAAAACTGTTGCACATTTATATACAAGTTCAGGGTCTTGCTGAGATGCCAAAACATTTAGCGATTCGTTCCACATTTGCAGGGTTATGTAATACTTTAAAACAAACTGAAAATCATTGATCAGTTTGGCAAAATGCAAGAGATCTTCCTTTCTATTGTGTACAATTATAATCTGATAGATTGTCTCTTTGTCAAAAGAACTGAGGTTTTCGGAAAAAAAGGTATACAACTCTTTTCTCAAACTGTCTGACTTAAAAGAGACCTCACCATTATTATTACTTCCATTGAGGGTCCCATTAGTTTTAACTTCATCAACTATTGTGTTTTTTTTATGGCTATGTAAAATTTTAGTTTCAAGTGTATTTAGCTGTTCAATAAAGATTTCCACAATCCAACTAGTAAGAATTTTTTTTTGACTTTTCATGCTATTTGGCAAACATCTAAGCTTAACGGTCAAATAATACCTTAATATTGCTTTATCAGGTAAATCAAAGAGTTTCAAAGCAACTTTATCAAATGATTCATCGGTTTGGGCTAAGAGTTTTACCGCTTCTTTATAATTATGCTCTTCAAGAAAATAATAACCTTTCTTTTTCAATATGTAGTTTTTTCTTCTACGAGTTTCAGCAGATTTATCATCAGGTAAAAGAGATAATGCATCGTCAAACATATGTTTTTGTATCATTGTGGTGAATATTCCAGAGGTTTTGAAATTCACGATTAACTCGTACAAATGGCGGTCAGAATAAAGCCAAAAAGTTCTTGCTAGTCGATCAAAAGAAATGCCTTGCATTTTCTGGTCAAGGTAGGACAAAGATATTGACTTCAAATGTTTCAGATTAAGCTGGTTATATATCTCCAAATGGTTATTAGCTGAAAGTACCAGAATAAAGTATCCGGTCAAGATAAATGTGTTTATTCTCAGATGTTCTAAAACGATAGATGAGGGGTTGAACGACTTTTGATTTTTTATGTCTGCTTCCGCTATGTGTATTTTTGAGCCGTTGGAACTCGATTCACTATATGCAAGATACTTCATATCATTTGAGATATTTGATATACCACCGTGCTTAATTATCAGAGGCTCTATCTTCGCCAAGCTTTGAAAAACAGAAACATTACTTGTGGGCTCCAAGGGTACTTTCACCTTCAGATTCAAAATGCTGTTTTCAGTGGTAAATAAATTTATGGAGTACGAGGCAATTCCACTTTCATGAGAAGTTGCAGTATTCAATATATGAGTTATGCAATATTTGTTTTTCAGTATGGTTTTTAAGAATACCTCTTTGTTTGAGCTTATAGCGTATTCCAACAACAAGCTATTAGAGGTCGATAAAAGAATGTGTCCTGTAGTATCTTTGCCAACACACTCTTCAAAGAAACTGATCGAGGTGATGTTCAAATTTTTTAGCTTATTCAAAACATGATAAGTAGCCGAAGAGTTATTAATGTAGTAGTATTCATTCTTCGTGCTTTGCAGTATTAAGTGATGTCCGTGACTATCAATCCACGCATCCCTCAGCTGATTTTCTTTACCTAATGGCAATTGAATATCAATCACCACTTCAGGATCGTCCAAGTTAATTATGTGAACAACCCCCGTTTTCAATACTAGATTAACGTGGTTGTTTCTCACTAGCAATTTGCAGATTTCAGATTCTAGCTGGAACTGAAGCTGTACCTCTTCAAAGTCAAAAGCCGACTCATTCTTAGCGTTCACCTCCACGGTATCCAATTGTAGTGGCATTGTGAACCAATAATGCTGGCAAGCCGAAGTCACTTATGATCCCTCTTCTGTAGTGCTTACAATCAGCTACGTTTACTGTGCATAATTGAAACGCTGCTTTTGGCTTTCTCTCGCCCGCAGACATGAATCTGAGAATTTCTTTCTTCAATGTTGCACCATGCTCATTTCATCACTATTTTCTACTGTGGGCCTACATTGTACTCCGAGTTTTTTAGCACTCAAAACAGGACATTATAGAAATGGGTATCAGTGTGCCGATTAAGCTTCTCAACGAAGCGCAAGGACATATAATATCTCTGGAACTCAACAATGGAATTTCCTACAGAGGTAAACTTATTGAGGCAGAGGATAATATGAATGTGCAATTGAAAGATGTTGTTGTTATCGGGAAAGATGGCTCTACGCAAAAGGCATCCCAGGTGTACATCAGAGGATCCCAGATCCAGTTTTTTTCCCTCCCAGAAATACTTGTACATGCTCCTATGTTTGAAACTTCCAAAGGCCAGGTTTCGAAGAAAAATTAGCACCGCTAAACAAAAGCCAAGATCCATCGTTAATAACCTTTGTATAATAGATAAGTGGTTCCTATAATTTTATGTACTATTGGAAAACTAGCAGTATGCTATAAGTTTGAAATAAAAATTTTAAAATACTCATGATTGATGAACTACAAAAAATATAAACACTATATATGAAAATGAAAAAAAAAAACTATTAAATGAGATATGCAAGGGACATGCAGGACAGCTAATCGAAGCCTTCCAGGACATTAAGTACATGCTCTAACCTTGCACAACTTTGTTCGTATCTGGCGGGATTGAGCATCATATTTGCGGTTAACCTACTGATAGAGTCGACTATTCTTTCAATCAAAAATTTCTCCTCTGCTGGAATATTTAACGTTGCAAACTCTTGCCCTATTATTATTCCATCTGTGGCATTGAGTAATTTAGCTAAGGTCTCGTAAGAAAACGGCCTTATTTTGTTCTTTCCTGACGTTGATTTTCGTTTCGATCTATTGGCGTTTGTGCTTTTCTGGTGGCGACTATGGTGGCTATGAGAAGATAACCTTTTTTGTTGCGTTTTGGGGTTTTCCAATTTTTCTTTAAACTCTTCACTCTGCTGCACGGGGTTATCTTTCTCTGAGCTTTTCGAAGGAGAAGGTGCACTTTCACCTTTTATGGTTGGGATTGATGGATCCATATCCATTGTGGTGGTTCCTATATTTAGGTTCTCTGTTGGCTCTTCCATGAAATCCTCAAATAGATTTTTCTTCTCGCTTGACTGGGAATGAATTGAACCCGAGTTAGCAGTATGAAAGGAATTGCTCGTGTAAGCCGAGTTTATTGTTGAGCTCATTGAGTATGTTGTCGCAGTGTTGGCAACCTTTCTTTTTTCCACTGGAGTTATTTCTTCGTCCTTGAATTCTAATTTGAGATTTTCAACTTCTTTCATTATATCATCTAGTCTCCCATGTAGCTTTAGACTGGCGTCACTGGTCCCAGATGTATTTCTACTATGCTTTCCCCTTAAGGGAGATGATGATGTTGAAGTAGGTATATTAGCGTTTAGTTTAGGCAAGGGAGATTTAGGAGGAGGTGAGGAGAGGGTACGTTTGTTTGGACTAATATCATTTTTAGTTTTAATGACCTTTATCATACTATCCCCATCCAAATTTGACAAAGTTGGTCTTCTGAGAGATCTGGCGGGTATCTCAAGACTGTCACTTGTACTGTTCTTTGTTTCGAGAGGTAGAGCCGGGTCAATTGGAGAGAGATTTTTATCATTGATGTAGTTGTCTGATACCAAGGAGTTTTCGGATGAGGATATGCCATGGATCTGAGACAATTGTAAGCTTTCTTTGTTGCCCACAAATTTTATTGTATCAATGTCAACATGCTGAACCACCCCTGAGTAATCTGACATCATAGAATTTCGAATACCAGGTTGTGCTTCTGCTCTGAAACTTGTGACGTTGGCGCTGTTGTTGAAACTTCCAAAAGAATGCTTTTTTTTCATTGCTCCTGTAGTGTGTCTCTCCAGGTTTGCACTTGTATGCGTGTTTGAGTTTGAGTTTGAGTTAGAGTTAGAGTTGGGTGCCGAATTTGGGTTTGAAGTTGAATTGACAGAGTAGTTTGCCGATTGAGGCTGCGAGTGGGGGTTGGAATAATCCGAATGGCTGGCAGAGTTGGAATGTAATGAATTCTTTGAGGAAGGGTTCGAATGCAACATCTCACTTGGTGGGACAATGGAAAAGCTTGAGTTAAACTTCGGAATACTAGCTATATGATCAATTTTGGTTTCAAGATCAGGAATTTCCAAAACCTCCTTCTTCGAGTCCTTCAATTCCTGACTATTAATGGACTCGTCCATCTTTTTACTATGTCGTTAGCTGGTAACTACTCTTATATGTTGTGCATAATCTCAGCTCAAATAGAATGAGTAACAGAATGAGTTACATGTATTCTTGATCAACAAAGTCGAGTTCTGCGACCTCCACAAGGGTCCTAAGGTTGGAAGTGCCAACGCTGCTGCGACGCAGGAGAACTCCAATCGGTGAAATGGCTGGTTTTTATCTTCTTTCCCGATTGGGAAATTGCTGGGCATGTTACGTAAGCATGATGATGCAGGCTCATATTGGTTGAGCCCCCTTTTCACATTGTGGAGCACCAAGCAAGCAGCAGTAGATGATGATGTACCCCAGACCTTTCTCATCATACAAGTAAATGTTATATTATCGTATTTTAGGATAAATATATACGGTAAAAGGAAATTATGAAATTATGTAAGCTAATCACTCAATTCTGTGATATCGTCTTCGGTAGCTATTAAGCCCATGACATTCAAAAATAGGTTCAAATTGCCCAAATACCTGGTTGCGCTTTCAATGTCACCACTGCTCTTCAGTTCTTTGGCAACCGCCATTATACCAAAGATCTCGTTTCTGATCTCGTCGATAATGATCCTTTGATGGTTCAACATACCTGCCAATGAAAGAGATGCCAAGAATTGCCAAACATACGAATCGTCGCTTTTCGATTCTTTGTTTGTGACCTTTCTATTTTCATCGTGAGAGATATATGGCGGGAAGCACGACGTGAGCCTTCCTTCCAAGCACTGGAACAACTGGTCATAAACATATTGCCACTGGGAAAGTTCTTGTGCATTTAGCGACTTGGAGAACTCTTGTTTCACCAATTCTAATCTGGAGATTAGAACAGTGATCAGTGATAACCCTATCTTGGTTGTAGTCAAAAACAAAATACTTTTATTTGAAACAAGAGTGTTGAGCCAAGTTAGCACATAGCTGAAGTTAGCTTCACTCAAGTACAAAACAAGGCACTTCAAGATTGTCATTTGGAATAAGTCGATCTTTTTGATGATTTCATCTGGAGTCTCGTAGTTTGAATTTTCGTAGTTTTTGTAAGAGCCTTTCATGATAACATCAATGTTTTGTAAGTTTAGGAAAAGTTGGGACAGCAATTCAATTTTCTGGTCTGCAGTCAAGAAATGGAACATTCTACCAAAAAGCTTCATCATCTTATCAAATGATAAGATGGAGATGAATGGGTTCACAACCTCGTTGGTAGATGTCTTGATTACATCGTTGAGATGCAAAGAATTCCATAACTCTGTGGTCTCGTATGGTTGATTTTCTCTCTCCAATGATTCCAGCTTTAACACCTCATTGTAAATCTTTTCAATGATAGAGAGTTGAAAAGTTCTAGACGACTTAGAAAATGTGTACTCCTTTGGTAAAACAACATCTGCAGCACCTCTTGAAGTGGTAGGCTCTTGATCGTTACCATTCTCACTATCTTGAGAATGAATGATCAATTGCCTTCTTGGTTGTTTCCCAGAACCAAATGACACTTTACCCAAGGCACCTTCTTTTGTTAAAATACCAGTGCTTTCACCTCTCTCTTTGGCAACAGAAACAGCCTTCGAAACTTGTTGTTGCATTCTTTGCAATGCAATGTCTGCCCTCTTCGACCGACCTCCTAATCTGTGGCCTGACTGTTCTAAGTATTTTTGAGCCAAAGAGTTCATGTTGTTTTCACCAGTAGATGAATTTAGAACTTTGTAAACCTGGTAGTAAAAATCTTCGTTGTAGGGATCATCAGTCACAATTTGAGATAGTTGAAATCTGGTAACAAAATCTTTATCCTTTGGTGTCATGAAACCAGAACATCTAGTAATTTTGTGGACCTTCTGTTGTCTTACCAAGAAGTTCTCACGTTCTTCAGGGCTCATGTTTTCCAGCTGTTGCTGCAATTGCTGCTGTCTCTGATGATGGTTTTGATGATGCTGGTACCTTTGATTTTGATGGTTCTGATCGTTATTGTATTGAAACTGGCGAGAACGCTGTTGGTTGAACAATTGAGTTTGATTGAACTCTTGGCTCTTTTTTAGATCCTGTTCAACGTTTGGCGGCGCAGATTCATTGTGGTTGGTGTGTTGCCCATGACTTTTTGCACTTGCAACCTCAATGGATGGATAATCATTCAAGCTGACCTTCGCCAGAGGCAATTGCTCTGCAGAGATCACAGGTGCCACAATATGGGTTGGCTGCTGAGGTGCTTGAATTTGCTGGGGTGCAGGCTGAAGATTTTGTTGTAGTTCTTGTTGCTGGTGTTGAGGTGTTGGTGGTTGAGGCTGTTGTAAGTGCATTTGTTGTTGCATTTGCTGCTGTTGCTGCTGTTGCATTTGCATGCGCAACATTTGCTGCTGAATCTCCTGCATCTGTTGATTTTGCTGCACGCCAAATTGAGGCTGCATATTGGAGGGAGGGACTTGCATCATCTGATTAGGAGCAGACATTATCATTTGTACCATTGCCTGTGTGGCAGTTTGAAGGTTAGGGAATCTTCCTGAGGACACAGCAGCCATGATTTGCTGCTGGATTTGAGGCTGACACAATGCCTGAGTGATGTAAGGAGGGATTTGGAACTGGTTTTGCATCATATCGTTGTTGGTTGGCAACAGCGGAGGCTGGGAAGGCAAGGACTGGCTTTTCAACTTTGCCTCGATTTCCTCCAGGGAGAGAACCTGATTCTGACGAGGGACTTCTTGGTTCTTTTTGTCGCTTGTCTTTTCGTCGGCCCAGAGAGATGCCATAGGTTGCAGAACATCGTCGACACTGGTGTGTGCGGCAGTAGCGTACGAGATGCCCTTAGCAGCAGGAGCAGGGGCAGGCTTCAAACTGCTCTTCGACTTCGAGTTGTCGCCCAGGGCAAAATCAAAGTCGTCCTTCATGTTGGAGAGCGCAGCAGCACCGAAGGTCTCGTCGTTGAAAGCGTCATCCTCTTCCAGGTCGTTGAAATCCAAGGTTTCCAGGTTCTTATTCGACTTGGGTTGGCTGCCGGGAGGCGCCGAAGGGTCGAATCCAAAGAAAGACATGGCCTGTTGCAGTTTAGAATCCGCACAGTTCAACTAGGTGTGTTTGAAAGAAGCAGCAACGTTGAATGAAGGTTGGAGCAGTTTCGTCTCCTCCGGTGTTGCTTACATCTATCTCGTGGAGAAGAATGCCGCTTTGCCGGCGACGAGCAGAATTTCCATTCTCGTCGGGCACTGTCAACAGCAGAGGCGGTTCAATTTGTCACGCGCTGACGTAAGCGGGGGTTCTGTACGTTTACCTTTAAGAAATAGATAGATGGATAAATAGATAGATAGATAGATATATGGGTAAGAGGGTAGATGGGTAAGAGGGTAGATGGGTGGAAGTAAAAAACTAAAAACGTTATTTGACTTCAAATCTTCTTCCGGAGGCAGTTTTTCTCTCGGCACGCATTTCCTCTTCGTCCACCTCTCTTCTAGCCCTGTTCAAGATCTTGGTGAAGCTCTGCACTCTGAATCTCATTCTCTGGTGCAAGTAGCACTTGACGATCTTGATGTGGTAGTGGAAGTAGGATCTAAAGAGCTGGATGTGCGTGATAGTGTTCCACTTAACGTCGTCGGTGCTCAAGTGTCTTGGAAACAAGACAAACGTGATGTAGGTCTTGTCTCCGGCGGGCGGAGCCACATGCTGGATCTCCAACGGAACCTCTTTGTGTGAGTTGATGACTTGCGGCGCCTTCTGGATGGATCTCTTTCTCGCATCGCTGAATTCCTGGAGGAAAACCTTGGAGAAGATCTTGTCCGTTTCGTCGCTGAAGACTGTCGAGAATATGACGGTGACTCTGTCACTCGACGGCTTGATGTAGATGCTTTCCTCACCACGGTAGTCGAGTTTCAAAACCTCCTCGTTGCTGTTGGACGTGGCAACACTGTCCTCACCGTAGAGGTTGTTGGGGTCAACCGGGTTCTCCTTGGCGAGCACCTCATACCTGGCAAACGCCTTCAAAAACGGAGCAGCAAAGCAGTTTCTCTTCAGCAAACTCAACTCATTAATCAGCTCCGCCTTCCCCTCTTCGTCCAACTCGCATTGTTCCGTGTCGATGTACAACGAGACGTCGTAGCCTGGCTCACATGCACCCTGAGACAGAATCTGGATGAACTTGTAGCCACCGTATTTCTTCTCTAGAAGGGTCATTGCGCCGTATTTCTCCAAGTCCTGCCAGCACTTGATGCCGATGGACAACAAAATCCGAGTCTTTTCTTGTGGAGTAGAAACATGGTAGGTCGTGAAGTCGAAATCCGTTAGAATTCTGTCTAGACTGACTGGCTCGTAGCCAGGCGATAATGCGGCAGCAAAGGCCTCTTGTATGAGTAGGTTCTGTGGCTCTAGTTGTAGCATTGCGTCTGCGGAATACTAACTAATACTCCTCAGGCAATATCTATATCCCTCGACGTGTGCTCACCAAACAATGCCTTCTTTACGGAACCAGACAATACAAATCAGCGTCTGCACTATCCTCACAGAGGCTCCATGGTCTGCACCCGCCTCGCTCTCACCTCTCATCCTTTTGACGGGGCGGGTGCGACGGCGTGCTGGTCTCGCTGCTCAGAGGGTGGGGCCCAAGCAGGCCGGCATTGAGAAGTATGCGGGAGAGGAGAGGAGGACTGGGAGAGTAGAGAAGAGGGGTGAGAGAGGTATGGAGAACGTGTAGTACAACCCCATCTTCCAGTTCTTAGGTGAAAGTATGGAAGCTCGACAAAGGTAGAAGGGAAAAAAAAATATCGGTAAATGTAATTGTGTATAGAAGTAGAAAACAACACGGAAAAGGTGGAAACACTAAGAAAGAAAGAAAGAAAGAAAGAAAGTAAATAAGAAAAAAAATGGGCCTATGATTATTATGAAGAAAAAAATGACTATATAAATTATCCATCAAACGAGAGTTTATTATTGAGTTAAAATGGAAGTCCAGGGAACGAGTTTCAATTGCCAGTGAAAGTTTCTACTGTTTGGACTGGGCAAGTAGCTCCTTCAAGATCTTATCGTAAATATGGAGCATCCTGTTGTTGTCGCCAGAATCGGATTCCAGCTCCACACTATCGATGGAGGCATCGTCGTCAAGATTGGCGTCCAAATGCTGTATGCTTGAATCTGGAGAGGCAGTGTATTTTTTCAAGAATAAGTCGGAAATCTTGATATCGCTGGCCTTGCATCCTTTCAACATCGAGATCAAATCGTATGGATCGTTGGTGGACAGGATGAAGCTCTTCAAGTCCTCGTAATTGCCAGCATACTTTTCCTTCAGCTCCTTCACAATAGCATCCAATGAAGGATCCTGTTCACGCTCAAAGTTGTGCTTGGCCAATTCTTTGTACTTGGAGACATCGAATGACCCGCCGTCTTTCAAACTGTTTAACTTCTTGTTGTTGATCAGTTCTAGGGCTTTATCAATCGACGCGCTCATAGACATCAATCTGATCAACATCTCCTTACCTTGAAGACTCAACTCATTCTTCAAGTTCGTGTTAATCAAATCTTGGATGACTTGTTTCATGTCTCCACGGACTTTGTTTACAATAGCCAAAAACTTTTCTAACGTTTCCTCATCAACATCGTTGGATTTAATCAACTCAGATAAGGTCTCAGTAAAGCTCTGACCTTCTGCTAAACCAAGACTTTTCCTGATTTCTTCTCTGTCATTGGAAGCAACAATATCAAAGAATGTTTTCTTCTCACCTTTATATTCACCTTTCCTCTTGTACAATTGTCTTTCAACATTTCTCATTGTTAACAAGCCAATTTTTTCTTGATGGTCAGCATCGACCTTGTCTTCGTCGATGTTAACAGAATATAGGGTTTTAGAATTCCTCAAAGCTTTGCACAATGCCTCTGAAACAGTCTCATTCATCTCGTTTCCGGTTATAGAAAGGTAATTCAAATTTGGGACCAAAGGAATGGATTCTAAAAACCTGATCATTAAAGTTTCGTCGAGTTGGTTGTTATCTATGTTAAGCCTTCCCAAGTTGGTTAACAATGGGAGGTAGATGGAAAGTTTGCTCAAAAAGGTCTTCATCAATTTAGAGTTACCCGAGACGTCCAAATATGTCAAATGTGGTATTTTTGATAGAACATTAAAGAAAGTACGAGTTTCTTGACAATCTATCAAGTTACAAGAATTCAAACTTAACATCATCAAATTGTTTTCACTGTCCATTTCGTTTGCATATTCAATGAATGGCTTCAATTTAGAGGAGAGATCGTTGTATGCCAAGTCGATACCTATGACTGAAGGGTTAGATCTAAGCCAACGTGCAACCACAAAGCAATGTTGTAAGCTCAATTCGTTGTATGCCAAACCAATTCTGGTTGTTTTGACTAGTGCCAAATTCAAGAAATTGGAGAAGAGTTGTAGGTCTGGAATCTTGCATCCTGTCAAAATTACCTCGTCGATTCCTCCCCTATAAATCAAAGATGCTGTTAACAATGCCCAATTTTTATCAGACCTATCATTGACATTGCAAGTCATTCTGTTTTCAGCTGCTAACTTCGATTTCTTTTTTATTCTTTGGGTGTTCACATCCAAAGAAGGGCATTGGGTGATATCCAGTTTTTTCAGTGCCTTATTCATGGACAAGAACAAGCATAGCATCTTCCAACCTTCCTCATCAATGGGGGTGTTACGTAAAGATAATTTCTCCAAGTATCTTTTGTATAACAACGAAGATAGCAGGATTCTAAACATCTCACGTGTTAGAGAGACACCATCCAAGGACACACATATGACAGGTGCAATTCTTATGAAATCAGTGAATGACAAAATCTCAATCATAGAGGGCCTTGGATTTCTCAGATGAATATATGGTATTGGGTCTATGGAACCTTTAGGAATTTGTTTCAAAGTAGCTGGGATTGGCAAGATTTCTCTCAAATGACAGCATCTGGTGTATAACTCATCCATTTTCAAGGTAACAACGGGTTTTTCCATATGCTTCTTTCTTTTCACCATGGGCTTATCAATTTTGAAACTTTCTTTTTGAATGTCGATATTCTCCGAACCTTCATGATGTTCTCTTGCCTTCTTGGCAGCCAAAATTCTGTCTTCCGACTTGATAGTTTGATCATGGGATGACTGAGACGCAATTGACATTGAAGATGGTGTTTTCTGCATTGCTGCTGCATTTGGAACGTCTATTTGTATATTGGAGGTCTCTGCAGTTGATGAATCGTTTGTATCCGTTTCGGCAATCAATCTCAACGGACCAGAACCACCAACAACAATTCCTGTTGCGGCATTTAACTTCTCTTGCGGATCGATCTTGTGAATGATCAACTCGCCGTTAGCACAAATTTCGACGTTACCCTTTCTTGGGTTTCTCGAAGGGATCTGCTGCGGCGGATCTGTCACAAAAGTAGTGGTTGCAAAGGCGACCTTTTTCATTGGCTTAACGTCAGAAAAAGTTTTGAGGGGAGGTCTTTTGTCAAGCTTGGGAGGAGGATGACTATAATGCAGAGGCTCAAAGCTGAAAGGAGGGGTATCGTCACTCTCGTTGATCATGCCGCTGTAAAATAGACTTTCTGGGGTTGATGTCTTTGTCTTGTGCAACAAGCTTCCAAACACTGAAGATTCCTTCTCCTCTCTTTCTTTTTTTTGCTTGAGAAAGAGCTCTTTTTCCAAAGAACCACCGAATCTTGGCTTGGACGCAAAGGCCGAAGGTAGTTTTGGGGTGTCTGGGTGAGGAGGAACCTCATCCGAATCGTACCTGATGCCTTCGATGCCGACGGGGGAATAGATATAATTGTAATCTTTTTCCTTCTTTTCGGCCTCATCGTTTTCTTGCACAACGTTTGAAGTTTCGAGCTCGTTCAAGTAGGTAGACAATTGGGAGTCGATGTCCTTGTACTGTTCCGCCAATGACAAAATTTTTTCAGTCTTTTCAACAGATGCCTCATCGTCGTCGCCGTCAACGGCGGCGCCGTTGACCTCGCCAGCTGGAGGAGAGGGCTGTTGTCTTACAGTGTCTGGTCTGGTGCTATCCGAAGAAAGGAAGGAGCCAGATCTGGACTTGGATTTGGAAATTGAGCTCGCGTTCGAGCTCGATGCTGGGCCGGCGGTGGACGAGTTCGACGCCGAAACAACCTTTTTCAGCTCGACCGGCTGGGTTTGGGACCTAGACCGAGACAAAGAAGGCTCGGTACGGGAGGCGGTTCTCGAGAGGGGGGCTGTTGAGGTCGTGGACACGTTGGACTGGGTCTTGTAAATGTTTGACTCCGGCTTGGTGTCCTCGGCCTTGGAGCCAAACAACTTTTTGAAAAAGCCCCTTTTCTTCTTCTCGGAAGGGGGAGATAGTGGTGCTGTGTTGGCCACGGGCGGGGTGTAGGGCTTCTTGTTTCTCGAGCGGCCGATGTCCGAGGTCTCGACGTTGGTGGATGTTCTGTGCAAGCCGGCCGAGCTCGAGTTGGTAGATGTCCTCGAGATCGGCGAGATAAGCTTGGCGTCGGCCGTCTTGCTTCTCGACAATGACACCAGCTCCGGGTCCCTGCTGTTGGCGGAGCCGGAGCCGGAGCCGGACGCAGAGACGCTTGGGGCGGCCTTGTTGTTTCTGGAGTTCGCCATTGACGGCGACTTGAGCGGCGACACCGGAGTGGCAGAGACGCCGCTGGCCGCAGGGTTCGTCGACGACAACCCGGCTGCGGCAGGCTGCTGGGTCTCCTGCTGCTCGTCTCGCAGAGACGGGCCTCGCAAGAACCAGTCGAAGTCTGCGCTGTCGGACGACGACTTCACGTACGACAGCTCCTCCTCCAAGCGCTTTCTGAGCTTGGCGTGCTGCAGCGCGTTGGCGTCCTTGGTCGACATGGCGTGTATGGTCGTGGTGCGGTGGTTCGGTGTGGTGGTGGAGTGCTGGCAGTGGGGTCAAGAGTGTGCAGACCAGAACAGAAATGTGCGCTATCCGGGGCAGAGGCTGTCCAGGGGGGGCGGGTGTAGGGGATGCTAATGCTGGACGACTGCCGGTGCTCTGCGGTGCCATGGGCACCGTCCAATGCCTACCCCGGCACCACCAATGTCGGCACCCAGGAAGAGCTCTTCACCACCTCCGTCCAGCCAGCCATGCCACCCCCACCCTCCGTGCCACGCCGTCTCGCCGGGCCGGGAAAAGCAGGCGGCTGCATCACGTGCGCGCGAGGATAAGGAGGCGGCTCTGTCCGGAGAGACCGGAGGTGGTGAAGATGGAAGAGGGAGGGCGTTGAAGCAGCAGATAGAGGGCTGGGATGACGGGAGAAGAGAGCAGACACAGCAGACACAGCACGCAGAGCACACAGAGCAATTGCAGCATGTCCACCGTCGTCATTATCAACACCAATTCGCCCCTTGGGCTCGCCACGATCCGCAGCGCCTGCCGCCAGGGGCTGGACGTGGTGTCTCTCTCCGTGAAGGGCCACGCCGAGCACATCGGGCGTCTCCCGTACACAAACCCGGAGCTTGACGGCCGTGTGCGCTATGTCTACGCCGATGAGGCGGATCTGCAGGACCCGGCGGCGGTTGTGGAGCGGTCCGGGCTGCTGGACGGCCTTGCCACGGTGGAGCTGCTCGTGACGCTCAACGCCACGGAGGACGTGTTTGAGAAGTGGGACCTCGTGTTGGTGGAGGAGCTTTTCCGGCGCCAGGTGCTCACGGCCCGGTCTGCGGTCGTCGTGGGCAGAAGCTCCGACAAGACGATCTACACCACGAACGGCGCCCTCGAGCGGTACGTGGAGCGGGTGGCTCAGAAGCTCAGCGCCGGCGGCGTCTACGTGGGCAACCTCGTGCAGCTGGGCGCCATGGCTGGGGACGAGGACTACGTGGCAGAGAGCATCACGGGCGAGCTGCTCCGCAACGACTTCCGGGTCGCCAAGGTGGACTCCGTGGCTGCGCTTCTTTCGTACCTCGTGTTCTACCTCCTCCCGGGTCTGATGCTCGGCTACGCCGTCGACGCCAAACGCTACCTTGGCGGCTCCAAGAGCAAAAGCGACTGAGCAGCGTGCTTTACTTGTTCTTTCTTCCGTATACAACTCACATAAACTCTACATCTGCATCTGCCCCGCCGCCCGCCGTTCACACCATCCGCAAGCTGGCCTGGTTCTCGAACGGCGGCACAGACATCTCCGTGTAGTTGGCGTCGTACATGGCGTCGAGGTTCCGGATCGCCGTCGCCTTGAAAGCTAGGCTCTCGCAGTCGACAAACTCGGCACTGAGCTCGGAGACAGACTTGGCCCCTATGAGCTGCATCGTCGTCGCCACCTCCCGGCTCAGGATGTCCAGCGCCTTCTCCACCCCAGCCTCGCCGTACACCTCGCTGAAGAGAATGGGCTTCGACACAACAGGCGTCCCACCCAGACACAGCGCCTTCACAAGGTCCGAGCCACGCCGGAACCCGCCCTCCACAAAGACGTCGAAGTCCGACGTCTCTCCAAGTCGTCTCCGGGCAGCGTGCAAGATCTCGATCGCAGACTGGCCCTGGTCCAGCTGCTTCCCCTCGTGGTTCGAAATCAACACCCCCCGGAACCCAAGCTCACGGCTCCTGACAACGTCCTCGCTGCGCTGGATGCCCTTTAGCACAATGGGAGCATCCACCTCCCGCTTCAGCTTCTGTAGATCCGCCCAGCACAGTCTGAAGTCTTCCGTCTCACTCTTTGGCCGCAGCTGCGGTGCAGGATACTCCTCTGTCTGATGCCGGCTGGCCTCGACCTTCTTGTAGTGCTCCAGGTTCCCAGCGGTGGGGCTCTCCACATCAATAAAGAAGCCCCGTATGTTCGGAAACCTCGTCTTCAGCTCGTTGAGCACACCAGCACTCTCATGAAGCTCCTCCCTGCTGTCAATCGAGTACTGGTAGAAAACGTCCCTCCCCTGGCTCACCTTCATGATTTCTTCAAGACTTGTGTCGCTATCTTTCGGAATAATCTGCAGAATGCTCCTTTCGCCGGCAGGTCGAACCACAACAGTCTCACCGTTGGGTTGAATCAAACCTGAGCCGGGGAATGCACCCACCAAAAAGGGCATGGCTGCTTTAGCTCCAAGCACCTGCGAGGTCAACTCAAGCTCTCTGACATCAACTAGACATTTTGGACGAAAAAAAATCCTGCACAAAGCTGCCCTGTCCTCGTAACGTGAAAACTCGTTGTCTGAACCAGTTTGAAGATAGGTGTACACGAGATCAGGTAGGGTCTTTTGGGCTACATACTCGAAATCGTTCATCGAAAAAATCTGATCCAAAGCAGGTTTGTCTTCCACAGTGTATTTGTCCAGGCTTTCGTGTTTCTTAGCATTCTTGCTTCTTTTACTACCCCTTTTCTTATCTTTTTTAAGATACTCAGCAATGACGTTCTTGTAGTAGTCACCAAGCTCATCAGTGTCTGTAACCTCTGGTCTTATAGATTCCTGATCTCTTTCACGTCTTGCCAAAGAATTTTGTTTCTCCAATTTCTCCACTTTTTCTTTTTTCTCTCTGGCTTTCTTGGTCGCCTTTTCCTTCTTAGGAACAAGGAGCTCTCCGCGGTACGCCTCTTCACCAAGATAACGCTCAAGGTGTCCTTCCAGATGCTGCAATCTAAAACTGCGCGTGGCATCTTTTCCCGCAAACCTTAGCAACTTGTCTGCACCACCCGGATGAGATTCTAAGAATTCGGTCACATCGTAAACGTGTCCGTGAATGCTCACCCAACAGTCTCCTGGCTTGTTATGGAGACTCAGTTCGGCTTGCTGCACGATTGGAATAGTGTCGCTGTTTATGAAGTCATGGCCATGCGTGCTTGTGTTATTCTGAATGCTGGAGGATAGACAAGCAGTAATACAACCCAAAAGTCCTACTCCTGAAGCTAAAATGATGTAATTTGAGAAATAACCTTTCTTTTCCGGAGTAAATGATAAATGTGAATAGTTTCTGGCTAATGCATAACCTTTAAATTTCGGACGTATGGCTAAACGACATAGGGTAGCAAATACCATAGCTGCAATGCTTTATGTCTTCTACTGTTGTTACTGACTTGTAAATGTTTCCATTTGCATAGTCCTGACTGGTGAAAAGCTATGAATTTTGAGGAGAGAAAATACATCCATTTAACGTCTTCCACAGTCACCGTCGAGGCTCGCAAGTATACCCAAAAGAGGAAATTCCCGTTATCGCAACAGACCGCGCAAAAAAGGATTCTGAAAATGGAAAACTTACCGAGATAAAATGAATAATATGATTAAGTCAAAAGTCGAATGTATAAAAAATAGATAAATATTAAAACATAAAACTATGCTACGCTAGTTGAAATCTTCAATGGTGATTTTTGCTTGATCACACATCGCTCTAAAATGACTGTTGCTGTTCATAAAGAGGGTTTTCGGGGAATCGAATTCTATAACTTTACCTTCATCCAGAACCACAATACGATCGTAATTCAAAATCGTGTTCAATCTGTGGGCAACACACAAGATAGTACAATCACTAAATTGTGAAGCGATTGTAACTTGAATCTTTGAATCCGTTTCATAGTCAACACTTGATGTCGCCTCATCCAAAATCAAGATCTTGGTCTTTCTGACCAATGCTCTCGCTAATGCAATCAATTGTCTCTCACCAATGGAGAAATTCGTACCATCATCTTCCACCACTCTAGTCAAATGAAATTTATGTAGGTTTTCATCATCCTTCGATTGCTGCTTTACAACAGGTAAAACATCTCTTGCTATCAAACCAGCGGTACACAGAGCATCCCACAATTTTTCATCTGAATGTTCAAGGAAAGGATCTAGATTTTCTCTAATGGTACCCACGAAAAGAACTGGGTCTTGTGGAATAATTGTTAACTTACTTCTCAAGGTATGTAGTCCTAAAGTCTTGATGTCAACACCATCGATAGCAATGTCACCCTCAAATTCTGTCAGTCTGTATAAACAAGTCATGAAGGTGGACTTACCAGCACCAGTACGACCGCAAAAACCAATTTTCTCGTTCTTCTTGATATGCATATTCAAATTTGACAAAACATACGGTAATTCTGGTCTATACTTCATGGATACATTTTCAAAAGTGATTTCACCATGTTGTGGCCAGCTTGGATCAGGATCATTTTCTGGAATCTCGTAGGCTTTTTCTTGCACAAGATGGAATGCATAATGATCCAATCTCTCCACGGAGTTGAACTCGTTTTCAACCTGTGTTAGCGATCTCATCATCATGGTCATTGTACCAGTTAAATTTATCACATATGTCAAAAGTAAACCGGTTGATGCAGGACTGATACTGAACACGGAAAAGACACACAACATGGCAATTATGAATACAATGCAAAATGCCAAAACGGATAAATTAGCCCCTAACCATCTTTGATTGACCAAAGTTAAGAAGTACGCTTCATTTTGGTTATCCATCAACACATCTAATTTTTCCTTCACTTCTGTTTGAATACGATAAGCCTTAATAGTATCCTTACCAGATAAGGCTTCATTGAAATGTGAATACACCAACGATCTCTTGATAGCCTCGAGTCTTTTGATTTCTCTGGCACTTGCTTGATAATAATTAGCAACAACAACATAGAAAATGATAATAAGAGGAACCGCAATAGCAAACCATGGGATGTAGATAATACACAAAATAATAGTACCAACCACACTACAGAATGGGTTAATAAACTGTCGAAGTTGTTCAACGATTTCATTATCCAAAACATCAGTGTCCTTAGTGAATCTGTTCAAAACTCTTCCGATAGGTGAGACATCCATAAATGACATTGGGACATGTAATATTTTTTGAGAAGCTTTGAAGTTCAACATTCGAGATGCATTGTTAGTGAAATAACAAATGAGGTAGAAAAAAAATGCCAACGTGAATGTATACAAAAATGAAAACATAATGTAGATACCCATGTAGAAGGAGGTTGATCTTCCAGAAAATTTCTGTTCGGTCCAGAATGACAACCAAGTATTGGTAAAGTAATTGCAGAACGTATTGATTATAGCAAAGGCGACAAAAATTGTTGGAGCCAAAATTGGATATTTGCCGAATGCAAGTTTGCAGTAATCAAGATAGACAGAGAAATCAAGAGCATTGACAGCCCTTTCTTCATCACCAACAATTCTAACAACGTCCTTTTCGACAATGTGTTCACCTTCACCTCTCTGTGTTGTCCGACTCTTTTCCAACTGTATGTTAATTTCTTGCTCCTTTTCATTTTCTTTCTCAACTTGTTCTTGCTGGGAGTCAGCTACAAATTCTGCCTCAGCATCTTCTGAGGCCTTTTCCTCAACACCCTCCTGCTGGAAATTCAGTAATCCTTGAAGCTTCACATTTCTTTCTCTCAGTTCATTGGTTGTACCAACATCGATGGAACCATCTCCGTTCATGAAGATCATTCTGTTGGCGGACTCAATCAAACTCAATTGATGCGTGGCCATAATTCTTGTTTTATGCTTTAGCAAACCAAGAATACACTCATTGACAATGTGTCGACCGACTTTTGCGTCAACGGCACTCAAAACATCATCCAAAAGTATTATGTCTTTATCTGCATATATTGCTCTTGCCAAATTGATTCTGGCTTTTTGACCACCAGATAGTGTGATACCTCTTTCACCAACTTCAGTCATATCACCACCGGTAAATTGATCAAAATCGTTCAAAAGAGAGCAAGCTGAGACAACTTCATAATATTTCTTCTCGTTATAAGGTAGCCCAAAGATGATATTATCCCGAATGGTGGCATTTTGGACCCATGGATAACCACATAATAGAAGCTCACCATCAGCAAGAACTTTACCGTTGGTCTTTTTCATCAGACCAGCCATTGCATCCAGTAGAGATGACTTGCCAGAGCCAATCGAGCCTGTTACAACAATAAACTCACCTTTATTGATTTCGAGGTTGATATTATGGAGCCCAGCAAAAGAGGTTTTCTTCACTTCAGGAGAATCTATCTCCGGAAGACTGACCTTGTCGTTGAATGCCTTGTCTTCACTTTCAATGTCAGTCATTACCAAGGACGAGAGATCAGCAGTCGGAGAATCGTGCTTCTCATTGCTGGAGTCATCATAACCTTTTTCGTGCAAAGACCCAGCGTTACCTCCACTCTCATGCGTCTCCGGATCACCATTCTTGGCTGCATCATCTTCAGGCTCATCGTCATCGAATGTATCCCACTCAAAATCACCATCCTCGATTTTGAGGGCCAGCTTGTCATCTTTGAAAGATTCAATCATGAACTGGTTTGGATCTTGGTCTTTGCAAGTGAGAAACTTGTTCATTTTTTTCACACTCACAACCAAATCAGCCGTCATGGTCAATGCCATGGGCACAAGCATGAATTGGATAGCCAATACTTGGAACAAAGAAAGGGAGGAAAAAATGTCTGCCGCAGACCTTGACGAGGTCACGTCGTATGCCGTACAGAATGTGGCCATTGACGCAAGAATGGGCATTGCAAAGGCCAGGGAGGTAAGAACGTTTCTCAAGGACTGCAAGGTGAGGAGATGCTTCATTTCCGAAAATCTGGCATCGTGAATCCTGTCGCTGTAAGACGCTTCCCAACTGTAAAATTTGATCATCTTGTAGTTCTTCAACAATTCTTTCATTAGATTGACTCTTCTATCGGTAAATTTGGAAGCCTTCTTTCTGATGGTCATCAACTGCTTGAGACAAGATCCCAAGAAAAGGACAATCACAATGAAGATACCGATACCGACCAAGGCGGAGGGTCCGATATTCCAAATCAACAAACCGATACATATTGCGACGGGGACAAAGGTTGTGAGGAGGAAGGGGAAGAATCCGATGGCCAAGTCTATACGGTTCAAGTCTGTGCTTATCATACTCTGGACTTTACTGGCAGCAAACAGATGGTTTCCCTTAGCATCCACCGACAACGCCTTGTCGAGCATTAGGCGCGTCAACATGGACCTCGACATGGCGCCGGAGAGCTGTAGATGGTAGAAGGAGTGGTTGATGGTGAGCGAGGAGATGAAGATCAAGAGACAACACCCGACGGCGTAACCAACACCTTTGCCGACATACGTGTCGGGGAAAAACCCTTTGATCTCCACGAAGGAAACAAGCTTCTTCTGTAGTAACGGGGTGGTGGAGTTGGCCACGTCGGCAATGACCTTGTAGAAGATACCCGTGTTGTACTGCCGCATGAGGGTCTTGTACAAGCAGTACGGGATCACGTACGTCGGTATAACAAAGTCCTCGATGTCTTCGTCGGTGTACGCTGCGGAGGCGTCGTACGCCGTACCCTTCTCCTTGCACCTCTTCTGAAGAAACTTGTGGATCTCTCTCTGCACACACGTCTCGAAATGCGACCTGAAGATCGAGTAGAGATGCTCCGACTTCTGCGACTCGTCGAGGTAGAACAAATCGTTGTCGGTGATTGTCCGCTTGTATCCGACACGCATGATCGGGTTCAACCACCAGAACATCATCCGCGAGATGTAGTTGGCGTGGAACTCTCCGTACGGCTTTCTTTCTTCTGCCGACGGTATTGGCGGTATTTTCTTTGACAGGAGGAACGAGAGTAGTCTCCTCTGGTTCTTCACCAGCACGTCTGGCTGGCCCTCCAGATGCGACTCGGTAACGGCTTTTGCCATCGCTGCACCTACTGTATTGCTGTCTGTTGTCGCTTCTTCTTGTACTCGGGACTCCTGTTCCGATGCTCTAGTGAATTCCGTGCAGCGTGTTCTGTGTTCTGTGCACTTGATATTTTCCACCGGGTTTGAAAGAGGCAAATCCGTTTACTTTCTGGACCTTTACTCTGGCAGCAGCGCAAGTCGACACTGGACAGAGGGCAATACTAGAACAAGCACACTGCTAGATACATATACACACTCTTTTCCTCGGGGGCAAACCCCCAAAACAAGGCTGATGACTATCTTCCTACGGAAATAAAGCATTTTCGGAAATATCCAAGGCCCGACCCGTGAATAGATTGGACTCACCCAGCCTCAACGCCTCCCAATCACGTGACCCCCCCCATTGCCCGCTCCTTCGGAGATCACTTCCTGAAACAGCCCAGTCCGCTGTCTCCACCCTCCGCGGCTGACTAACTTGCGGCTCTGATTTGCCATCTCTCGGCAAGGCCGTGTCGCGCTTCGGGCGCCGCATACCGTGCCGCATGGAGCTCTGTATTTTAGGTCGATCGACCCGGCGGGCTTTTTTTTCTTTTTTTTTTTTTTTTTTGGGGCTCGGCACTCTGGGCCGGGCTGTGCGGCTGACACGTCCTGGGACATGGGGACATGAATGGAGAAGACAATGGCTCCGGAGAGATTGGCCAGGGGAAGGTTCCAGGATGGGTTTGCGATGTGGGATTGTGGTTGGTGTGGAGTTTTGTTTGGTGGTGGCGGCAGACTCTGGTGGCAGCAAAGTGACAGTTGGGGAAGCGATGACGTGACAGTGATTCATCGGTACTTGGCGTGCAGTGCTCCCCTTAATGGGAAGATGACCTCTGCGGAAAGGCCCTGTCATCAGCTCTGCCCCGGCCCTAGGCTCTGGTGCCCCTTCGGGGTGTTCAAGCATTTTCTGTCTCCGCATTGTCGGGTTGTGGGGCTCGCTGCTGATTCTGTGGCAGGACGGGACAGGATGGGTGTTGGAATTGGGTGTGGCTATACAGAGGGATCCGGGGTGCTGTAGAAGTATATAAACGAGCGGGTTGTCCTCCCCTCTGTGTCGACCTGCTTTTCCCGCCTGCATTGCTGAGTCTTTTTGGCTTGTTTCTCTCTCCATCCGATGAATGCCAAATAACCACAACAATGTTACACGGCGACAACAGGACAACTGAACAACATATCACAGATTTGAAGAACCCGCAGAGGGACTCGTCGAGGGCCGCAGCCAACACTGCTGCGGTTGACGAGTCGACTCCACGGGATCAATCATACCTATCGTCGATCGCGGAGCAGACCAAGAACCTGTTCAACTACGGCGACGACCATGAGCAGCACGGTGCCAACACCGCCTCCGCCGGGAATGCCACACGTGGCGGGCCTGTCTCGGACACGCACGCCTCGGACGCTTCACACTTCGAGAGAGACCCTGCGCTCCAGGACATCAAGACTGTGGACCCAAAGCACTCCAACTCCAAGTATGCCAACTACACCTACAAGTCTATGGTGGACCCTGTCATCACAAACAAGGACGTTGAGGAATCTGAACGCAGAGTCAAGGAGATTTCTCGCCAGAAAAGAGATCCTCTGGCTGCCAAAGATGCAAGACAATCCTCTGGCGACTATGCCGGTGGCGCCAGCATGGGCTCCGGCTCCGGCTCTGCTCATGCTGCCGACGCTGACGACAAAAGCTCGGGCAGCGGCAGTGGTCTTTTGGGCAAGCTTGGTTTTGGCCACAAGAAGAGCAAGAGTGAAGACGCTCATCAAGCCTCAGGTGTGCCTGGCGAAACTGATAAGACTTACAACATTCCTGATGACAGCCAGTATCAAACCTACTTCGAGGAGGTCCCTGAAAACCAGCAAACCTACCAGAAGGGTGCCCCAGGTGCTGGATCTGCGGCCGGCAGAAATGTAAACATCAAATCCCGTTCGCAAGGCGTTGGTGAAGGTGGTCCCTATGCGGGCTCAAACACTCTGAGTAACCCTGCTACCGAGACTGGTTTTGCAGAATCGAGAAATGCTTATGGTGGTGATGCTGGTTTCAGCAGCAAAGACCCATCAAGCTTTGAGGCCTCCAAACGCGGCGTGGAGAAGACCACGGGTGATGATTATGCTCAAGGCGCAGGTTACACTACTGGCGACAACTATACTTCGAAGGACCCATATGCGAATAAGGACCCATATGCGAATAAGGATTCTTACGGAAGCAAGGACTCCTACGGCAAGGACTCCTACGGCAAGGACTCCTACGGCAAGGACTCCTACGGTAAAGACTCCTACGGTAAAGACTCCTACGGTAAAGACTCCTACGGTAAAGACTCCTACGGTAAAGACTCCTACGGTAAAGACTCCTACGGTAAAGACTCCTACGGTAAAGACTCCTACGGTAAAGACTCTTTTGATAAGGAATCCTATGGTGCCAAAACTACCGGAATTTCTTCTACTCAAAACCAGTATGTCCAAAAGGGTGCTCTTGATGATGATTCCAAACACCTAAATAAAGGAACTGAGCATTATGGCGATCAAACATACGGCAGTAAGCAGTATGGCGACGACCTTCACCATGATTCAGAGCACAATGAAAACCAAGGTGTCTGGTCAAGCATCACCAATTACTTGGGTATGGGTGGAAATTCCGAGGAAAACGAAGGGGAAGAAGACTATGGCTATGAAAACCAGATGCCTGGTGGTTTGAACATGCAAGACAGGGGTGTTTCAGGTTCTCATAATTCGCAGGGATACAATCCGGCTACGGGAGCTGGCGGAGCTGGTTTGTCCGGCAATGCTCAAGGGGATTCCTTTGAACCCTCTCTCACTAGTCCATCAGGTGCATCTGTTTCTGAAAACCAGCTTCGTGCCCAGCAACACCAAATGAAGAGCAAAAACTTCTCTGCTGCTCAAGGTCAAAACCAATACTATGGTGAAGCCCCAGGCGAAAACAAACTTTCCAGTACTCACGGTACAACCGGTGCTTATAGCTCCTCCGAAATTCCTGGCAAGGGAACCAGAGGTACGAATGTAGGAACCACTGGTGCAGCTACCGGTGCAGGTTTTGCTTCTGGCAACAAGCACTCTGGCAACAAACACCTAGGCAAGAAAGATGTTACTTCCGACCTGGTCACCGATTCTACTCCATACAGAATGGTGCAAAATCCCAAGAACGAAGAATATTTGAAGTCTAAAAATTCGGAAGGTTTGAAGGTCAATAAAAAGGCTGGTGAGACTGGTTATGACAGCCTTCAGAGTGGTGGTGCTTATGGTACCACAGGCCAAAACTCTGCTTCCCAACCTCAAGGGAGTAAATATTTGGGCAAGAACCAATCAGGTGTCGATCATTCAAATAAGGCACCTAGCTATGGTGATAGCCAACTTACCGACAAGAGTGGTGTTTTATTGGCTTCTCCTTCCCGCAAGGGGAAGAATGATGGCTATTACGCTGGTACTAAAACTAAGGACAACAAGGCCACATCTGGTAATACCTCCGGTGCTGGCTTTGCCTCAGGCAGCACTCCAAGTACTGGATACACATCTGGTACGACCCCTGGTGCCGGTTACACATCCGGTAGCACCCCTGGTATAGGTCACACATCTGGTAAGTCCTCTGGAGCTGGCTACACTTCTGGCTCCGCTCCTGATTACTCATCTGGTGAGACTCCTGGTGCTGGCTACGCTTCCAGAAGCAGTGGTTATGATCGCTCCGGTGCTCAAATCTCCGGCGACTCGTACGAAGGCAAGGCTGGTCAAGGATATACCTCGGGATCCAACAAGGGATTTTCTGGAAAAGGTTCTAAGGCCGGAACTGCTGGAACCGCTGGTGCAATTGTGGGTTCCGGTGCAGCTGGCGAGTCTACCTTTAATCCTGGTGCCAATACTGGTTTGGACTATTCGGGTGCCGGCGCTGCTACAAATAGTAAGCAGATACCCGGCGATATTGAATCAAAAGCAAATAATGCTTCTAATTTGAATACTACTGTTGCTGATCAAAATTATGGCACAAACGGAAGCAACGCTTACACTGGTGGTGCTTCTGGTTACCAAGACTACGATGAAAGTGCTGGTAGTTATGGGAATTCAGCTCTTGGTGGGTCAGAAGAAAAAGGTGGTCAGTTTGTTAGAGATCAAAACGGTAAGTACGATTTCAAGAACAAATCGACAGGTCAAGATATTTCTGATGAGAAAATTCAAGGTGAAGAAAGCCTTGACAAACACAAAAAGTCAGAAAACCAGCCTTTAAACAAAATCAAGAATTTGTTCACTAAAGACAAAAAGGGCAAGAAAGAATCTGCTGAGAAGAAGGAAGTGAACGAACATGGTACTGTTTTTGGTGGTCAAAAGTCCGGTCAATCTCAATCTGAAGGTTCAAACTATCCTGGCTCCGGAAGCGGTGCTTTAGGCTCAGATGCAAAATACGTTAGCGGTCAAGGTGGTAGGGATTACGGTTCAGATGCCAACTACGCTGTTGGTTCTGGTAACGAGACCTATGGCTCAGATCCTAACTACGCAAGTGGTGCTGGTGGTGTCATCGCCGGCTCTGGAAACAAGGCATTTTCCTCCGATCCTAGCTACTCTAGCGGTGCAGGCGGAAACAGGGCATATGATTCAAATTACACAAGTGGTTCAGGTGGTAACAAGATTCATAGTTCCAACACCAACTACGGTGCTGGTAATGTAAGTGGAAGCAAGGCTTACACATCCGACCCTGCATACACTAGTGGTACTGCTGGCGCTCCAAGCGGCAGTAAGGCTTATACATCCGACCTTTCTCATGGTAGTGGGTCCGGTGGAATTAAGGCACACCCCGACACTACCTACACCAGTGGTGGTTCTGGAGGTAGGGCTTACACCTCCGACCCTAGCTACGCTAGTGGTACAGGCAACAAGATTTACACATCAGATCCAAGTTATGTTGGTGGTGCCGGCAACAAGACTCACTCTTCAGGATCCAACTATACTGGAGGTTCTGGCAGAGGCGATAAAACCCATGCTTCCGCTGCCAACTATGCAAGCGGTTCAGGCAAGTCCAACATTGCTGGGGGTAGCAAGTCTCACGCTGCAGGTTCAGGCTACAACCACACCAGCGGAAGCAAGAATACTACGGCCGATCCTAATTATTCTCTAAGCGCAAGCAACAAAGCTTTCAAGGATGCTGAGTACGCAAACGCTACAAGTGCAAGAGGTAAGAACAGCGAATACGTTGGTGGAGTTGCTGGTGCCGGAGCTGTCGGCGCTGGAGCTGTTGGCACTGGAGCCGGAGCCGGTGGGGCCAACTACTCTACTCACAACACTCCTGGTGCTGGTAACATGGGCTCAAATACTCACCACAACCAGAGGTATGATGATTCGGCTCCAAACTACGAAGAAGGTGGTCAACACCATCGCAAGAAGAGCTTGATTGACACCATCAAGGACAAGCTATAATAATCGTTGTCTGGTTGTCGCTTCATGTCATGAATTTTTACGTTTTATGGATACTTGTTTTTTGTTTTTTAATGTAATGCTTATTTAAGATCTATATGATAATTGGTTTCCCATTTGATACTTTCTTCTTTATAGTAAGGGCAAGACGAAACTGGCGATTTTGAGCCGGTCGTTTTAATTTGAATTACGTAACAAAGGTGAGAAAGTGAGGCTGACATAAGCGGTGAGGTCAGCAGAGGAACTAAACAAACGATTTGGCGCAAGTGTCGCCCCTTGCCAGGGAATGTGAATAGAAAAGGTCCTAAAGCAGCCTTAGTCCAGTTGCATGATGAGGTGTTTTAGATTAAGAACGGTTCAAACAATATCACACACCCGTATATCTAGTGCACAATGTCGTTCCTACAGTCATTCCAAGAACAATTACAGCAAACCACCCAGCAGCTCACCACTTCATTGAACAGTTTGAAACTTCAGGACACTGCTGCTCAGTTGTCCAGCACCGTTCAGAAGGAGGTGAACAACCTGAAGCCGATTTTTGCGCGTACTACCCGCTCATTGCAGGAAAGGTTCGGGTCTATTGATGACATTAGTGAGCTACCAAAAGAATACAAGGATCTTGAAAGACGTGTGGACAACATTCGCCAGTTTTTTGTCCAGGTTCTCGAGATTACAAGACAGTATGAACTAGAAGCGTACGACAATCCATCAAATCTGAAAGAAAGCTTGACTGATTATACGTCTTTGATAAACGAGAAGATTACTGAATTGTCACAGGCTAGCACAACGCAAGATGCAGAAAAGGTTTTGTTATCTGGCCGTAAAGATAAGACGCCAAGAACTTTTGCTCATCAATTCAGTAAAACATTGAAGACTTCGAGGGACAATATCATAGCGAACAAGCCAGTCTCCGCCTTGCCAATCAACATCATTTCAAACAATGATCAGGCGGAGTCTTCTGTCAACGCAGCAGATCAATCCACCAATGGGGCATCAGATGAAGCAGAAACAGAGACCCCATTGACCACTGCGTTATTGAAGATCAGTGAATCGGAATACAAGATTGGCAATGAAAGGTTGGAGCAGGACAAGTTGATCATAATTGAGTTCAACACTAAGGTGAAGAACCTTTTGTCGCAGGACTTTGTCAAGTGCTCGCAACTCAGATCACAGGTCGAGAATGCGAGATTAGGTTTCGATACCGTCAGGGCAGAAATTAAGTCTGTGCAGAACGGTAACCCGGAGGTTGAAGTGCCAGAAAATTTGAGTAAGAAGTTGGAGACATGTGAAGATGAGTTGGTCAACGCGACCGAGGTTGCTGTTGAAGCTATGAAGGAATTGATCAAGCCATTAGAATCTATCAACCTATTGAAACTTTTGTTCAAGATCCAGCTCAACTACCACAAGAACGTAGTGGCTGAATTGACTTCCCTAGTGGGTGAGTTGGATGCGATTCCATTAGACGATGAAGAGTAAGTCAAACTTTTCCTCGTTTCAAGACTCACCGATTAAACCACTTGTTTAGTATCTATTTCGATTTTTCTTTTTTTCTTTCTAGCCTTTATTTTTAAATTTTATAATTTCCCCAAGCGGTAGAAACTTTTTTATAGTAAGAGCTGTTAAATAAAAATTATCAAACATTAAAGCGGTAGACATTAGGATAGAAATATAAAATACATAACAAAATAAGAAAACAAAAGACTCAATGCAGACCACTGCATGCACCAAATGATTTATTGATGTTCAGTATGATGGACAATCTGTTAAAGAATATTTCACCAAAAGACAGACCAAGACATATGGCAAAGAAATAGAGAATGACAAAGCTCATGGCAGCAAGCATAATGGCGTAACCGAACATGACAATCGTAAATGCTAAAAGTAATCTAATGACATCGTTCATCAATTCACGTGGACCCATCCAGAAGAGTTTCTTCATAACTTCACCGAATGGAGGAGAGTTTGGGACTGTTGGAGCAGGACTTGCTTTGTCATCGGCAGGGCCGCAGTCGCAGTCTTCCTCGACTATGATGGTGTTGGAGTAGTTATGGAAAACAGCCTGTTCCAAGTAGGAGCTCAAGAAGATCAATCCTCTGAAAAAGAAGGAACAGAAGAACAACACGCAAAAGATACCAAACGCAGCAGCTCCCGAATGCGCATCCAAGCTTCTGAAAAACACTGGCGTGTTCTGATATTTGGTTGTCATCCACATGGTCATCGACATAGAGCTCTTGTTCCCGGCGCCCATGTCCATTCCAGACATGTCCATTGTCGATGTTGCGCTCGCTGTGGCAGAGGTAGCCGTGCCGGACATGTCCATTGACATACTAGGCATACCAGCCATGCTTGCAGATGACATGGACATGGTCATACCTGACATATCCATACCCGTTGACGTTGCAGATGCACTGGAGTGGGTCATTGTCATTTGCATTGCCGATGACGAGGTGGTGGAGCCCATATCCATCCCTGACATATCCATACCTGACATATTCATTTTGCTTTGTTTGTTTTGAGTATTTCCGGTTTGTGCTTACGGGTATTAATTGTAACCTCCAATGCTAGCTAGGCTATAAAAAACGATGGGCCACGGGAAACAGTTCTTTCTCAATGAGGAGTTCAGTCGATAGAGGGAACCATGGTTTAAATACAAAAGCAAGTCGGAAGCGAGGTGTCTGTTTTCGAGACACGGAAGCTTTTATCGTCCTGAGGTTGAATCTCCTCTACCTCTGAAACGGCTTTGGCTGGAGAATATCCAAAATAATCTGCTCAATTTGCTCGAGTGTCCGAAAAGGGAAACAGACCGTGTTGAAATGTGCTCATTTTCTTCAGTGGCTCCGCTAAATCACCACCGCCTCTCCTCGCGACAGCAACTTTGCAACGCTTCGGTACCGCATTACGTAAACCTCCCCGGGGCTCAGCACAAGCTCCTCTGAGTCGATTGGTGCACGGGAGGGCTGCGTACACTGGAGGAAGACGTGCCGGTTGAGATCGGGCTCATCGATCATATCCTGGTCTTCGCCAATGTTGCTGTTTCGAGAACGTGTTTTCTTGAGAAACTGGTCCTCAAAAAGCTCGTATAGCATGGTGAGATGGCCCTCCATGTAAGTCACTTCGTCTCGGTTGAGCTTTTCCCGCTGGCTGTCGTTTTCCTGAATGTGTAATGCGTATTGGTCGATTTTCTGTAATCTGAGCCTCACGTAAGAACGGATGAGAAACTGTACCCGTTCGAGCTCGCTTTCCACAATCACTAGCATGAGCTTGATGTCCTTCTCATGGGTCTGTAGCTCGACACTGTTCATTTCGATAAACTCTAACTGGGCACGAATCCGTTCTAGGATGCGCTCAATCAATCCTTCTTCATACGGCAAAATGTCAGGCACCATTTTCTCCTTAATCCACGCCTGGCGTAAAGATCTCATGTCCTCGTCTTTCTCTCTCTCGCTGGTGCGTTCGTTCCCAGCTCCTCTGGAAGTATTCAGTCCTTCGTAGAACTCATTTTCAAAGTTGTCTATGATTCCCTTTACGATTTGTTGATCGTTTCTCCTCCTATCGTCTCTCCCTTCATTGGAATCAGATAACGCGTTGCCATTCATCTTGAGTACCCTTCAAATCGATAAGAGCTGTATATTATGTAGTCAAAACGGGAAGCAAACCCCTGAAAGGTGAGATACAAGTGAAGGAAAAACAGCTGACACGGGCTGAGCACGTTATCTTGTGTCCCGTAAAACGAGCTCCTCTGGTTCGCGTTTCCTATTTATTGACATGAAAACGACTGACTGTATTTGATTCCGCGTAAACTGTTAAACTATTATATCTTTGATCTGCCTCTCGTTACTTTCCATGCTATAGTAACTGGTTGAGCCGGTCCTAACACACTTTCATCCCCATGGATATTGAAGAACTTTTGCAGCAGAAAAAGAGGAAACTTGAGGAGTTGAAAAAACAAAGGCTAACAAAACAGCAAGACTTGCTTTCACAGATATCCTCTTCAGAAAGGAAAGATGAAACCAATACTGAAGAATCAGATTTAGGTTACGTTAGGCTTCAGCAAGAACATGTCGTAGCAGAAATAGAATCTACTGAAACAGACTATCGAATAACCAATGTGCCTGCCCCATTGAGCCATAAACTCAGTAATTTACCTCAAAACACTATAGACGTGCTACCCCGCCTGCAATATACCAAAAATACTGATACAACCGAATTGGATGACGTATCTGATACCAACTCGGAGAGTCTGACAAAGCAAATAGAACGAGATGTTGAAAAAAGAATAAGAAAAGAGTTGGAGGAGAAGTTCAGGAAGGATTTTGATAAAGCAGTGAAGGCTTTGGAATCCTTGAAACATGTCCAAGTTGAAGAAATAATACCTTCAGAAGAAACAACAGAAAATATGACGCCCAATAGCTTGAAATACCCAGCTACCAAAACTAAGCAAATCAACTCATGTGAGAATAAACCCGGTGTATTTCTTACATTACATGATGACTTCATTTGTATATGGAAAAAAAGAGAATCAGGCATCACATTAGTTGATAACATTCCCTTGTACACCAAAACAAATGTGGCAATATTCGATAGTGGCAATCCAACGAAAATAATAACGGGATCTGAGTCTGGCTATATATATATATTTGACTTGATTAATAAATCTCATTTTCGATCCAATGTACAGCTCAGTCCGATAGTTTCAATATACCAATCATCAGGGTCCCTCATAGTTCTTACAATAGATGGGAACTACATCATATTGGCTATGAATTTGATAGACGTATTGAATCCGATAGTGAATCTCTTTACTTCCCTGGAGTATAAAACCAACAGTGAAGTAAACATAAATCATGAAAATATTATCATATGTGCATGCCAATTTGTTAGTGCTAACAACGTTGTCATCGCATTATTGACAGGAGAAGTGGTTTCTGTCGATTTTGGTCAAAGGAAATTGTCCATGATTTTAGAAACTGTTGATTCAAATGATAAATTGCCTGTCATGTCACTTTCGTATAGTTCAGGAAAAATTATAATTCTAGGATTAGACCATACAATAAAAATTGTGAGTGCAACTACTGGATTGAATCTAGTCAAAACTGAGGACTTACCGGATTTGACATTTTTGGCTGAATGGATGAGTCCATCGCTAGTTGTCACATGTTCTGTACAAAATGTTTTCACCCTGTGGAAACTCCAGAATGAAAAGATGGTCTGTTCAAATTTATCTGACTTTGAAGGTCCCACAAATACTAATCTTACGCTTGTATCAAGCATTAAGGCTCTTGATGCCACTACACTAATCGTCGGAGATCTGAAGGGCAAGGTTCATACGATAAATGTAAATTAGTAATGTACAATTAAATTTATATATTTATTTCATATGCTTTATAAACTATAAAAATTTTTCATAAAGTCCCTGTTTTGCTTCAACCGTGATCTCTCCGAAAAGACGATTCTGTTCGAGTTTTACAGCGTTACCACTCCCTAAAACCAATAATTCAAAAAAAGCTCTGGTAGCACTGCTTTTCTTGTTCTCTGAAAGCTTACAAGCTTCAATAACATCGTCGAATTGAAGAATCGAATTCTTATCAGTATCAAATTTGTTTCTAAGCTCTTGTGCAACTTCAATTGTGCTTTTACTCTTCACTTGCGAATCTGAGTAAGCATCAAAGTCCTCCTCATCATCTTGTGGTCCTGAAGCCTCATGCTCATTCACAGGTACCTCCCCTGAAGTTGTTTGCTGATCGTCGTTATTTTCGAAATCAGGAAGATCTTCGATTTGAGGTGCATCTATATGATCACCAACATTCTCATCAAACACAGGGAATTCTGGAAGATCATGATTGTCAGGCAGTTCTTGTTGGTTTTGAGCATAATCATCATCTACTTGTGTATGCTGCGGTAATTCATCTTCAACATATCCGCTGTCAATGTTAACATTAGACAACAATCTTCTCCTTTTTATTGACTTCCACGATGATCCAATAGTGTGAAGGAACGGTGACTGTAATTCTTGGACCACACTGTCGCAAACCTTTTCCAGCTCCAAACCGTGAGGATTTTGGACTTGAAGTTTCCTCAGTTGACCTGGATATTCACGCTGGTTCCTTTTCAACTCGTCTGTCGATATTTCATAACTAATATCCACAACCAATTTTTTTCTCTGGGTTCTAACTACATCTGTTATTTTGTAGTTGTAGGTTCTCTTTTTAGCCTTTCTATTTCCTTTTCTTGCTGCTGCTGGTACGTCTTCACTTTCACTGCTTTCATAATTTTCCTCCATCTCGTCTGCATGATTATGATTAACAATATTTTGGACAGTATCATCTCTGATCCGAGAATTATCAAAATCATTGTTGTCATCAACCGTAAACTCAAGATCCATATTGTCGACCGCAGAAAGCTGAAAATTACTTATCCCAGCAAGTCCAGCGGCTTCGGTTTCTTGCTGTGGCTGTTTTAGGTCGAGGTCGAGAGGGAGCTCGAACTCATCGGCACCTTCCAAATCATCTACTGGAACTTGCGCTCTTCTTGCTAAAGCATCAATAGAATCGTTACCAACATGGTAGTCAACACCAACATCCTCTTGTTCAAAGTTCGGGACAAAAATATCTGTACCAGTTCCATTTCCGGTGACATCGCTATCATGTCCGTTGTTTCTACCGACACTAACGTCCCCCATCAAAAAATCATCTCCAGCAGGGTCATCTTCGTTTGAATTTTCCCATGACTGAGTATTTATAGCGCTCGAACCAGTGAGTCCAAATACTCTGCCTATGTCAAAAGTCTCTGCATCGTATAAAACATTGGTCTCAGTAACAGTGTCCTTCAAAGTGATACTATCCAAAGACGAAATAACGGTTTGCTCTATTGGTACAGTGATAGACTTTGTGATGGCAAACGCAGACTTTAGCTGGATCAAAGCCAGTGAGACTTCCTCAAACAAGTAACGAGTTTTTCTCGAATATATCTTGACAACACCATAAAGGAGTTGGCCAGAGATACGTAACGTCATAGGTTCAATTTCCTTTTTGACATCATTGCCACTTCCACCTCTGGTCTGTGATAAAAATTGTAGCTGAGAATTCGAGTCGTTAGTAAAGATAAGGTTTGGATTTGAGACAGAGTTGACATAATCGCTTGATTGTTCTATTGCACGAGTAGAATCGGTGATCGATGTATTCAAATACTGCCGTTTACTGAGTTTTTTCTCTAAACTCGACGCAAGCCACGCACAAGCAAGCGGGCTGTTTCCATAAAGCAAAGTATTATTCACAGACATTGGCTTTGCAGCTCTTAGAAAGTGGAGTATCTCTATCTGGCAATGTTATTCGAGGAGTTGTAAGTTCATCCGTGTAAACAACAGAAACTCTTAGATCATGTCAGAAAAGGCTTACGCGTCGCGGTGAATTATCTTTTTCTGATATAGGGAGCGGATAATGGCAGAGTTGGCCATTTTGGGAAATACAGTGGAATAGGTACCTTAAAAAGGCTTTTGTGTAAACGTTATAAAATGTGGCCTACAGTATCCTACAAAAAAAATAATGCTTATAAGAGATTAGATCATTCAGTAAAAAGGAAGTAAAACACTAATCAATCAAAAGTTGACTATGGTGCGCTAGAACTAAACCAGAGCTTGGAAATGATCGAGCCTATGTTATCTTTAACGAATGGAATGAACTGTTTTGCACTTTCACCGATGGGTGTGTAGACACTGAATTGCCAAGCAGGAAGCCAATTAATGTAGCGGTAATTCTCTATAACCCCTACCATTCCAAGACAGGTAGGACTGAAAAGAACAAAAAAGATGATGGTCACAGCATATAGAAAAGCAAACACAGCCGCTCTCATGAATTTATTCCAACTGGAAGTTATTTGATCTATGGAGAAGCCGCACATAAAAATGGCAAAGTATAATGCTGGCATGTAGTGATGAAAATAGGTGACTCTACCCATTACAATGAATGGAAGATAGTGGAAAACATAGCCGAGAAATGGGACAATACCTGTCATGAAAATTTTCCACAAAGAGTATTCATCAAGAGACAAGGTCTGGTGTTTCCATTTGAATGCTATTATAGCTAGAGTCGCAACATAGAGAGGGAGGCATAATGTTGTAAACCAGATGATGAAAGGGTTCCCAAACATATAGTATTTTCTGACATGAGGTGACCATCCGCTCATTCTGATAGCACCTAACATTAGTGGCCATTGCCACCATGAAGAAGCAATACTATCGTTCTTAGATGGGTCTGGGGTGAGTGCATTATTCGAAGCTGCCATGGAACGCTGAAGCTGAATAAAGTCTTTGAAGAAACTTGACTTTGGATACCCATAATCTTCGTCAGCCTCAAATGTTGTTTTTTCTACCGTCTCTATATTCCAATTTGCAGCTGTGTTGAAGATCGAACCTATGGAATTAATTGCTGGAGCATCTAGGCAGACAACCTCACCTTGTTGAAATCCCCAAGTGGGATAACTTTTACCTGTGGTTCCAAGGTAACATCCAAGAACTTTATGCCTTAGTCTAAAAGTAGTCGACACTGGGTGCACGTGCTTCTCAAACTGTTCGTCATTCTCATTAAGCTCGGCGTATGTCACATTTGAAGAGTGAAGTTGAGAGACAATTTCCACGACCCAATCATCTTTGGAATCGCCAACTTCATCAGATCCATACCCCGAAACCTCCCTATAATTTTTGCTAACGTGACCAGGAACTTCGTGAGAGTGCAAATTTCCCTGAGTCAAAAGATGCGACAGACGTATTTCATCCCCATCTTTCAAGAAACCAGTTAGTTTGTTACCAGAACGGGAATTACTAATTCTCCAAATATTATTGGTATCTTTGAAGCCATATGTCGTGATCTGATGCTGGTTACTGCCACCAGGATAGACCTGTTGATGTGAATGTAAAAGATTAGAGTTCATACCTTGAGATCGCAATGTTATTTCATCGTTTAGTTGAACATATCTAGGTTGTGCAAGTATGTCTGTTGAGGCCATGTTGGCTTGGAATAAAGTATTCATTGATCCACTCCCATCACCTGGTAAATATAATAAATCCAAATGGATCCTAAAAAATAAGATGTAGAGAGAAGTTGGTATGACAATCAAGCATATTATTCTCTTGAGCCAAATTTTGGCGTACTTGAGCCACGAAAAATTGGTGTCCCAGAATTTGACCCAAAGGTCAATAATGGTATAGATACCAACCACTGCTGTCACAAACAGGCCGACCCACTTGACACTGCACACACACCCAATACTCAAGCCTAACAGGGCTAACCAGTATGACTGCTTCCTGGATTTTCCTTCGGTTGACCTATATCTATGCACTTGTGCTAGACATAAGAATGTAGTGGCAGTAAATATGAATAAGAACGAATCCAAAAGGACAAACTTTCCTAAGACAATAAAGCTTGATTCTAGGCAGATCATGAGTGAAATCAGATAACTTGTTGGTAGATTCACATTTAAACTTTGACACGTAAGCCAAGAGATAGGAGCAAGTAGTGAGCTGAAACAAATCTGGAAAAGCCTCATTCCAAAATAGTTGATTTGTTCAGGGTATTCCGAGCCTGATTCAAAGTTATAATCTGGGTTCTGACTTGGGTCATATCCAACCAACCATTCTGAGAGCCCACAAAGCATTTTACCTAATGGAGGATGAACATCGTGATAAAAGGTATGTCTATTGTAGAATGACCCAAACTTTGCAAAATGGGCTTCATCCCAAACAACGGTATTATTTGCACCTAGTTCGTAATATCTCAAGTAGAAAGATACTATAGTCAACAATAGCGGCACCATAAAGGTAGTAAAGCAAATCGACCTCTTGCGATTTGACTTTCTGCTGGTGTTCTCGACGGTCTTACCGTCCACCACAATTGAAACATTAATTCCCTTGTTTCGTGACAATGGTTTACCGTCTACACGGCGTTGCTTTATTGGCATTTAATTTATATGTTCAAGTATGGCGGCTGTAACTTTTCAACGTAAGAGATCAGTAAAGCAATGCTTTCTGCCCCTTTTTCCACTTCCAATGACGTGGAATGATCATATTTTCGTTTCATGCTCGGCTTTGCAACGCGTTTTCTGAGATAAACATTTTTTTTAACGTGAACTCAAGAATCAGGTTAGAAAATGAATTTCTGATATGCTATATAAAGGTTTTATATGTTTGTATTTGTATAGGACATGAATAAAATTTTAAACCAAAGAAATTATAAAGTGGAACGACATTAAATTAGAAGAAGAAATTCGTTAACATGTAGGAAGGAAGATAGGCTAAAGGTGGACATATATAATTTAAATCATTAATTTTCATGCATTATCAAAATTCAAATACTCCATCCCATTGTACAACTCATCCATACCTTTGTTCGTAGACATGCTAATGTTAGATCCACCGGTAATTTGTGGGTGGTTAAAGCCTTGGTTAGCCAACCCATGAGGTTGTTGTGAATTGAACAGACTAGTTAACCCTGTATTGGCAGGGAAAGTAGCCTGCCTACTGGTATTCGGAGTGGTTGGAGCTGTAAGCCCTTTATTACGCAGTAAGTTAAGGGATGCAGTGGAAGAGGAATGATGCAATTGATGGGTTTGCTGTTGTGATTGCTGTTGCAATTGTTGGAGACTTCCCACATTCATTCCCATGGCCATATTCATGTTCATGTTAGACATCGGTAAACCCATAGATGATTGCTGGTTATTAAAAGCATATTGTGGGTTCTGAGAAATAGTTCTTGGTGATTGTTGCCTGTATCTGTTTGTATTCAACGATAAACTAGGGTTTGTGTTAATGACGTTATGGGAATGAGATCTTATCAAGGAAGGCTGGAAATTAAGCGAAGCGTTTGCACTATTCATATTGCCTCCCGTAAGCTGTTGTGCCTGAACTCGTTGATCTAACACTTCAGGCCTTTTAACAATTACTACGCCATCCTCACTAAATTCACTCAAATTAAGAAATTTGCACAATTGGGTGATATAATTCCTCGAGTTTGTTGATAAACTTGCCGAAGAAAATTTCAGCTCTGCTAAAGATGTATACTTAAATTCTTCTCTGAACAGTATCAACCTGGTGTAAATTTCCAAGACTTCAGAATTGTTAAAGTCCAGTTCAGATGGAGGAGTGGGTAGTTGATCAACAGGAGGAATAACAACTAGACCCTTATCTATTTGGTTATTGCTGTCACTAATGTTTTGACTGCTGTTATTGTTGACGTTATTGTTACTAGTGTTTGATGTGTTAGCATTGGTCGCACTCGAAGGTGGAGGTACCAGGTTAGGCAGGTTATTCTGGTTTAGTGGAGTTGCGGGTGGTGCTGATACCGTAGAATAAAGAGAAGCTAGTGATGTTACAGAGTTGGAACGATGCTGTTCTTCTAGCTGGCAACGTTTCTCCTTTTTCTCACGCTCTATCCTTTCCCTCTCTTGTAGTGGGAGCATTTTCTTATACTCCACACGTAGTTTTCTACCATCGATTTCTCTACCATTCATCATAGATACAACCATTGCCGTTTCTTCTATCGAGTTGAAGTTGGCAAATGCCAACCCTCTGAACACACCATTATCGAAATGATAGTTAAAGGCATAAGGTAATGGCAAGTTGAGTTTTGACATCACGTTGAGCAGTTGCTCTCTTTTGATAGCAAAAGGAATATTTTTGATGACTATGGCAGTTGGTATAAGCTCGTCATCATCAGCAATGTTAGGCTTGTTGCTGCTATTGTTATTACTGTTGTTCGCAGAGTTTTGATTGGTAGCGGTGTTAGTGTTGATGGTGGTGGTGGTGTTATTGTTAATGTTATTGTTACTGGTATTGTTGTTAAGGTTGTTGGACGCCGAATTAGTGGCCGTAGGTCCAGTAGTTGCCTTATGGAGAGTAATATTGCTGCTGTTACTATTTGGGTAATTTGGGTAGCTTTGGTAGTTGCTGCAATTGCCGTAATTTGAAGGGTACGTGCTGCCTGTGTTCATGACTGTCTCGTTGTTGTTTGGAGGCGAAATGTTGTTTGGCAATTTCATGTACTGGGGCTGTCTCAACTGCTGCTGCTGGGATAACTGGTTGATTGGGTTGGAGTTCAGCGATGAGAGCATCGACGAGGAGGCCAAGAGACTGAGGTTGGTTGCTAGGTTCTGAGCGTTCGGGTTCAGACTGGAGTTGAAGTTTGACGCCGGGTCGTTCCCGGTGGAGTGGGACGACAGATCGTTGAGCGAAGAGTACTGGTGGAAGTTCAAGTTCGGAGACAACTGTGCTTGCTGCTCAATCCAGGGGGTGACATTTAGTAAAGAGTTACTCTGCTGTTGGGGCAACCAGTTTGGATTGAAGCTGTTGTTTGTAGAACCGGTCAAAGTCTGCTGCTGGAGCTGTGCGGTGGCTTGCTGCTGCTGCTGCTGCGGTGGCTGCGTCGAAAACGGCGACTGTGCCTGGGAGAGGCTTGGGAAGGGCTGTGGCCTGCTCTGAGGCTGGCCGTGCTTCAGCTGCGAGCCCGAGTCGATGGTGGAGGATGTCACGTCGAGGTCGTTGCTTTCATCTGCCGCGTGCTTGACTATGGCCTGTTTGACAAGGCCGCCGTCGTCCCCCCTGGCCTGGTGGTCATGCGGGTGCGTGCTGCTCTCGGCGATAGGGCCGCCCTGGTGGGGCTGCATACCGCTGTTGGTGTCCTGTGTGTTGTTCGTGAGCGTCGTGTGGATCGAGTTCGAGGCGGCGGTGGCTGCCGTCGTGTCCACGGGCGAGAGGTTCGACAACGTCTGCACCACGGACGCCGACGCCGACGCAGAGCTCTGCAGCTGGTTTAACAACGACCCGTTCAGGCCCGACACCGGCGTCAACGTCCCGAAGTGTCTCGACTGCGACACCCGGGACGACAGCAGCGAGTTGCCCGTTGTATTCGGCGGGATCGCCGTCAGAGAGGCGTTGGCTGCAGCCTGCCGCTCTGAGGCGTAGAACGACGAGTCGTAACCCGTCGACGATAAGGAGGAAATCGACGCCCGACGCCCAGAGGTGTCGATGTCTGACTTGGCGTCCTGTGCAGAGTTATTGGTGTCCATCCTGTGTATGCATGTCTCTGCTGCTGCTCTGCCTCTTCCTGCTCACCCGCCCCCTTCAGGGCCCAAGCTCAGCGCTTTCTTCTTCACCTTCCTTCTTCTTCAACCCTTACCCTCTACTGTCCTCTCTCCTCCCTTCCCTCTGCCTCACAGCGGTATCAGGCCAGCCACCACCGCCACAGGTGCCGCGACACAATTTCCCGTTGCAGTGGCGGTGCACGGGTAGCCCTTGATTACCCGGCCGGGAGGCAGACCTGCTTCGAGGCCGTCGGAGGACACGTAGGGCGGGATCGGGCACAAGGTCAAGAGACGGTTCTGGGACAAGACGTGTTGATAAGAGACAAGGCAGGGGGAAGTAAGCCGTTGGATTGGTTTGCGCAACAAGACACAGAACATCACAGAAATGGTACGTTTGAGAGACGCCTGAGAGGCAAGCGGCGGCGGCGGCGGCGGCGGCGATGGTGGCAGATGGGCTGACCAGACAAGCACGATACTAACGTTTCCCGATTGGCGATTGCCAGAATACACATGGTGCAGGCTTCGACAGCAGTTCCAGGTGGCGCAAAGACCCTTGCCAAGAGAAAGGCGACGCAAGAAAACAAGCTGAAGCAGCAGCAGCAGAACCAGCCTAACTCCTCGAGGGCTGCCGGCGCCGGCGGTTCGTCGTCCTCGATGTTGAAGATCTTCAACGAGGAGGCTCAGGGCTTCAAGATCGACCCGTTGGTGGTGTTGGTGTTCGCCGTGGCGTTCATCTTCTCTGTCGTGCTCTTGCACGTGCTTGCAAAGCTCACGGGCAACATCTTCTGATGACGTGCTGTATACCGTCCTGTATAGTTTTTTCCTACAATCTCCGTCCAAGCATTAATCTGAAAAAAGTGTCTATCCTGTTCGCTATACTCTGGTCTGTTCTATTTACATGTCCTGGAGAAGCGCCTCGATCACTTGATCCGCAAACGCAATATCTACAATGTGCTTGTCCTCGCCGGACTTGGACTTCTCCACGCTCCAGTTCCACTCACCCTTTTTGCTCTCGTGCAGCTCCCGGAACGTCTCGCTGAAGAAGACGCCTCTCACCTCAATCTCCACGAGCGGTACCAGCTTGCCGACGATGACCTGGAGCGGAACGCCGATCATCTTGCTCTTGCTCAACTTCTTGCCGAAACCGATGTCCTCGCTGCCGTCCACTTCGACCTTCACACCGCGGCCCGTCAGCCTGGCAATGAACCCGTCGAACGCAGCAGTGCTGTCAGCTCCAGCGTCCTCCGCCTGCCCGCTTTTGATGACGCTCACGTGGAGAGGAGCAATCCGGGCAGGCCAGCGCAAACCCTTCTCGTCCCGCAATATTTCGGCCACTACTCCAACAATCCGGCTCACACCGATGCCGTAGCAGCCCATCTCGTAGTGTTTTTTCGACCCGTCCTTGTCAATGAACGTGGCATCCAATGGAGCGCTGTACTTTTCTCCCAAGTAGAAGGTATGACCCACTTCCACACCTTTCATCTCCTTCAGCTTTCCGGTGCCGCAGCTGGAACAGATGTCTCCCTCTTGCGCCTCTGTGATGTCCAACCCCTGGAACGTGATCATGTGGTTCTTACTAAAGGTCACAGGTAGGTCGGGCATTTTCGATCCCGGCCCGACATTAACGTCGCACAACCTGTAGATCGTCATCAAGTTGTCATTTGCGTTGTTGGTCTCTTCGAAGAGGGAAAGCGCCTTGGCTCCTTCCCCAAACTGTTCGTCGATCTCGACCAAGTCCTCCTCTTTGACAAACTTGAGAGAGAGCTTCCGTCCTTTGGGGTAGTAGATGCAGATCAATTCCTTGTTTTCGTTGAGGTAGTAAGAAACGTCACTCTCGTCGACATATCCCTCGGATTTCTCACTGCGCACCCGTTCCACATTGCCACACGCGTGGCATTCCGGACACTCAACAACAGTGTCTTCACCAACTTCGCTGACAATATGCCATTCGTAACTCAAATCTCCGCCAATGTCACCGCTATCAGCATTGGCCTTGACAAATGGTAATCGTAAATCCGTGAAAATCTTGGCATATATGTCGTTCATCTTCTCGAAACTCACGAGGGCTTCTTCCTTCCCTGCATCAAAACTATAAGCGTCCTTCATCACAAATTCTCGGCCACGCAACAACCCGCCCCTCGATCTCTTCTCATTCCGGTACTTCCTGGTAATCTGGTAGACGATGAAGGGCATCTTCTTATAACTATTTAGGTGCGGAGTGACAAGCGAAGTGATTTCCTCTTCGGCGGTGGCAGCAAGGCAGTACTCCCCCAGCTTGAAGAGCTCATTGTTCTGCCAACGATTGGTTTTCGCCCACAACGAACTGTGAGAAAGAGAAGACAAAGAAACCTCCACGCAGCCTGCATCCTTGTGATGCTTATGGATTATGCCGCTAACGTTTTCCAATGTTGCCTGACCGAGCGGAAGCCAATGAGTAAGTCCTGAATTTGGCTGTGCAATGTATCCAAGTTTGATAAGAAGTTCCGGTGTGGTCAACTTGGCCAACTGCTTCAGACTAAGGTTTGGTGGTGGGTGTGAGAAAATAGTTGTTGTGCTCACGCTTCTCCTTGCCTGCGGCGCCCTGGCAAACGCCCGTTTGCAAGACATTAGCAGCATATTTTTTGTAATCCAGATATATGCTATGATTAGTCTTGAGCTAAGTAGTCTTTGCGGTTTTACCGTTTTTAATTTTATTTCCTATACCTGCATCAGCTCAGCATACTCCTGCTCCACAGCCTCTTTTTGCCAAACTAGCGACTCTCGCGAGTATTTTCATGTTGGACATTTTCGGGTTGATTTCCTTCTTAGTATCAGGATCTAAATTTATAGAATTATTTGTATTCATTGTATTACTGATATAGTTTATTATAATTTACAGTGCTTGCAACAATCACAAAATCATTGCTGTCTTCCACGCGTGCTCAACACGGGTGGGAAGGAGGAGAGGGGGAAAAGTTTAGGACGGCATCACCGTGTTTCGAGCTTGGAATGCTCAAGTCTCACGAGATGGGCCTTCACAAAGTCGGACAGCTCATCATTTCCGATCTCCTCAAAGAGTCTGAACCCATTAAAGTCTGTATCCAATATCGAGGTCATGATCTTCCAGACGTCGTACTCAAAGTCCTGACCCAGCGTCTGCCGGAAGGGAACACTCTTACCATCTTCCTGGGCGTTACGGATGAATGTCCATTTTCTCTCTAGCTTGTCACCCTTGAAGAAGCCCTTCTTGAACATCGACACTATGTCAAGCTTTGGATAGTTTATATGCAAGAACCAGTACTTGGAGAAATTGCTAGGGTCTGTTTGGAGTATACCTTGCCCCACATATGCGCCTTGCTTATCTTTGTAACCAAAGCTCTTGGTAATATGCCCTGTGATCAGATACGAGTTGTCACCTGTGACTCTACTGGCGAGGAAGAATGTTTCCTTGTCGCCCTCTCCGGGGAAACCCTGGGAGAACAACGGGTAAAAATACTGTGGGCCGTAATAATTGTAGTAATAGGCAAGTAGTAAGGTCCTAATGTGGTGTTCCTTATTGATGAGGATTTGTCCGGCTTCCACGGAGGGAGTAGACGAGATCGGATCGGCGAACCGCGTGAGGCCGGCCATCGAGTAGAAGTTATAGTTTGTCGATCTTTTCCAGAAGTCTGCCCAGGAGATGAATCCTGTCTTCAAGTAGTTTGGGTTGTTGAACATGTCTGCGACGCTGCTGATGGGTATGTTGTCCGAGTCGAGGTACAAGATCTCGTTGAACGAAGTCAACAACATCGCCAACGACTTGTACTGGTACCCCGATAGATTGTACAGCTGGCCGTAGCTGAGGTAGTCACTGAAGAAGGAGCACTTCACGTTCGGATACACGAGGGAGATTTTGTTACAGTGGTTGTCGTGCTTGTCCCTGAAGGGGACAAAAATCTCGACCGGCGTCTTGTCCTTCAGCACGTCTCTGATGTACTTGATGGAAAGGATGGTAAGCCAGTAGTAGCCCTTCCCGGAGACGTACACAATTCCCTTGTTGTCCTTGGTGTTGCTCCGGGTGGCAGCCTTCTGCAGGTTCGCAAACGGCCCGAAGCGGGGGGTAAGGTACTCGCCGAGCAGACTCGTGTGCAACCGCGTGATCTCGTTCTGCTGGGCGTCGTCGACGTTCAAGATCGTCGATAGCGACTTCGGAGTCAACTTCATGTGGTGCTGGAAGCCGTAGTACTGCCAGTACGACTTGGCGTCCAAGTTGTACTCGGAGAAGTTGGCGCACCGGGGGGCCAGCGTCGACGAATAGAGCGCCGTGAACTTCGAGATGTCGCTGTGGAACGGCGACCGCAACACGAACATCTGCAACACGGAGATGTCCAGCAGCGAGAGCAGCAGCACGGCACACGTGCCCAGGAATGCCACCAGCGTCAGCTTCTTAAATACCCTGTTCAGGCGGTAGCGGGAGTAGCCCATGGTGTCGTGTGTCTCGGTCGTTGATGGTGTTCCTGGAAAAGAAGATACAGCAACAGCAGAGTCAGCGGACGCAGGAAGACCAAAACGAAAGCCGGTGCCAAGGCCAGACAGAGCACCCTCTCGGGCCCGCCTGCCGCCACAGGCACCCCATCCCAAACACGGGCTTCATCATCTTTGTTGATCCTCTCTCCTCTCTCTCTCTCTCTCTCTCCTCCCTCTCCCTGTCCTCCCTGTTTCCTCTCCCACACTCTGCCTGGCTCCCGCCATGCGAAAAAGGACGGAAACGCGAGAGAGGCCGAATGCGGCGGCGGCTGGAATAGCCCTTCCTGCACAGTGACAGATTTCCCCGGGCCGTGAGCCGGAAGGTATTTGGACACGGGAGGAGAAGGGAAGAAGGGCAGGCCTGGGCAGCAGGGGCCAATACGGGCAGAGCAAGGTGAAGAGAGACGGCGGATGACGGGGAAGGCGGCTCGGGCGGTGTCGTTGGAGCGGATCCTGTCCCAACTGGCAGTGCATATAAAAAGCTTGGTGTAGTCGTTGGAGGTGGAGTTTGTGTTCGGAGTGTAGTTGAGAAGAAAGCTGGTGTAGCATACAGTAGTAAAAACCACCCAATCCAACCGCACAGAAACAGCATGTTATCCAGAACATTCAGAAGCACCATCAAACCAACCGCAAGCTCGCTTGCGGTCGCTGCGAGATCGAGACCTGCGGTGTACCAGTACTCCACGTTGGGCGACAAGGCCAAGAAGGTGGGCGACAAGGTCGGGGAGGCTGCACAGGCCGCCAAGGAGAAGTTCAACAAAGCCACGGCGGACGCCAACGCCAAGGCAGACGACTTGAAGGCGGATGCGAACGCCAAGGCGGACGAATTGAAGGAGAAGGCCAAGTCGCAGGCGGAGAAGACGGGCGACGACTTGGACAAGCTGCGCCAGTAGCTAACGGGGCTGCAGCGTCCGCTGAACAGCATTATTCTACTCAAACACATTTTTTATACTGGTGTATGCGTGGTATATAAAGGAAGAAATCTAAAAATTAGTTAATTGCGAGATAACTGGCGTAGAGTGGTGGATATATGATACAGAGGATGGCGCACATCAGGCAGTAAAGGTTTCGTACTCTATTTCCAGTGAGGTGTCGAAACTGTTGGCAGCAGCAGCAGGGCCTGGGGCAATGGTGGGGTTGCTGCTGGAGTTGGGTATTGTGGAGAAGGCATCTTTGAAGTGGTCGACGCTGTTCCCGGAGTAGAGGCTGATCCTCTTGGTAGGCGAGCCGCCGGAAGAGGAGGGCGGGGATATGGGCGAGAGGTAGACCACTCTGGAATGCGAGTGGTCGGGGGTGAGCGAGCTGCTGCCCGACGAGGACGACCAGTTGTTGTTCAGGCTGGGGCTGGACGCGGAGTTCGGGATCGAGGGGCTCAGAAACCCGCCCTGGGGCTCCGCCGAGGGACAGATGTCCACGATCCGGAAGTGCTTCAAGCCGGCACGGGCGCCCGCATTCGAATGATCGCTGACGAACTCATTGTGGAGTGTCTTCTGCAACGACGACATAATAATGGTTCTTCTCTCTTCGTGGAGCTTCTGGCTGTAGATCTTGTCCAGCTGTTTCACCGTGTTCTCGGATCGCGTCAACGCCGCCTGCAGGTCTCTCACCTCGTTCTTGAGCATCTTCATGATGTCGCTGTCACTCAGGTTCCCGTCTGCAGGGTTTTCAAAGCTGTCCTCGCCCTGGTACTTCTCCACCGACCGCGTGTAGCACTCCTGGAGCTGCTCGGGTATTTCGCTGGCGTCGCCCATAATAAGGAAGAAGCTGTCCTTCTGCTTCACAAAGTTGGGTATCCTCTCGATCATGGTTCTGGAAAGCGTGGTGCACCTGTCGGCGGCCGCCTCGCTCTGTTTCAGCTCTGCTTTCAACAGGGCAATGTCCTTCAGATGCGTCTCGTTTTCGTTGGTCAGGTTCTCCACCTCGCTTTCGATGCTCACGTACTTGGTCGCCAAGTCTGAAAACTCCTCCTCCAACTTGATGTACTTCTCGTCGTTGGCCACAATAGAGCTCGAGTCGTGTCCCAGCTCGATGTCCTTCAACTTCTTCTTCAACCCCTTGTTCTCGCCCTTCACGCTCAGAAGAATCTTCTGGAGCTCGGCCTTCGACAGACTGTCGTACTCGCTCTCATCAACGTCCTCGTCCTCGTCCTCGTCCTCGTAATCCTCTTCATCGTCGTCATCTTCATCGATCGACTCCCAGTCGTTGACGGTGGTGCCGTAGTTCGCAGGGTCGCCGTCGTTGACGTTGAGTGCGTGGCCCATCCCGTTCATTATGGTCGGAAACGCTAGTTTCCGAGCGTTTTCGTCGTTCGTCATTGACATCGGAGAGCCCACCACGCCACCGTTCTGGGCGGAAAACCGTCTCTGCAATGAGGGCGTGGGGGACCCGTTGGCCACCGGCATGTTCACCTGCGGCTGCTGCGCCATGTTAATGAGCTCGCCCGACGTGTTCACAGAGTTCAAGTACATGTATGACTCTCTGAAGCCTTTCTTTCCTTTTCGCTGTTTCGCCACCCGGACACCCTGTTGCTGCTGTTGTTGTTGCTGTGGGGCATACTGGTAGCCCGGATATGCCTGGTTCGCCCCCAGGTAGTTCTGTTGCTGCTGCTGCTGGTAGTTTGGATACTGTCCCTGGCCGTAATAGCCTTGCTGCGGGTAGTACCCCTGCTGGAAGCTCGGGTTGCTGTGGTTGCTGCTGCTGTACATCTGAGCGTTGTACTGCACCTGTGGGTACCCGGCGTACCCCTGCTGGGCCATGGCCATCTGCTGGTTCGCCATCATCATCTGCTGCTGCTGCTGCTGCTGCTGCTGCTGCTGCTGCTGCTGGCTTGCCTGGTTGTTGCTCGACTGGTAGTCGCCGCTGGACACCTCGCTGAACAAAGACGTGCCGTCAAACAACGAGCTTTTGCTCTTGGCCATCGCACCGTTGTACAGCACGCTCTGCGTCTTGTTCCTGTGTTTCTTCTTGTTTGAGTTTTCGAGCTGGACTGACAGGTCCGTCTGCCTCAACCCTGCCCGGGCTATTCCAGACGAATTGTCGTCGTACATCGCTATAGTGTGGGCTGCCTCCATTGTGTTGCGCCTCTGCCGTGACTGTTTCTGCCTTTTGTTTCCCGCGGGTCTCTATGTTCACTCCGCTGCTGTGTGTCCTGTGTCCGGAAATGCTTGTCCAGTGCTCACCTCCCGCAGCACATGTACTACCAGCACTACCACAATAAGGTTTGCGCAGAACAATCTGCAGAAATGTGATACATCCTCCAAACCCAAATCGACGGAAGTAGGCAGGCGCCTTTCGCAGGTTGGCCCCGAAAGAGGGAATAGGGAAAAAAAACACGAAACCGCCCTAGACGCGGCACCGCGACGCGAAACACCAGGGCAGAAAACGTCTACTGTGGAGACGCAGACACATAATCGACGCGGCGATCGCCGCGTCGATGCGCGGCCATGAACGAGCAGGGCTCAGGCGTTGCCAAGCATGGGGTGGCTGCAATGGAAGCGTACTAGTCCGTCGCAGCTTTGTGCGGGAAGCCATCATTGGCAATCACAGCCGCGATTCTGCGCAGGGTCACGACCCACATCCGCCCCTGATAAGGCGACCAAGCAAGATCTGCAAAAGGTATCCAAGGCCTGGATCGTTCGGCACCGTGCGGGGATCCTCGGAAACTCGAAACACCGACAGCGCAAAGCAGCTAGCTACCGCTAGCGTCATCGGCCGCACAAAGCAGCTGTGCTGCACCCACCACCCCCGCACAGAAAAAAAATGCTACGTAGTCTGCGCCGGCGCTGACATAGCCGCTGCGTGTCCGGGCGCGGCTGTCTGCAAGATTTCCGGGCTCTCTCTCTGCCGCAAAGCGGCACCCATCTAGATTTGGCGCCACCTGCTCCACCTCGGCCACCCCTGCATGCCCGGCTCCCCCGTCTCCGCACCACGGCGCAGTCCTCCACTTCTGGCCTGTATTATCATCCCTTGCGCAGCAGCATCAACCGCCGCAAACCAACACCACGTATGCGTCATGGCCTGCACTCCAGCCGATGGGCGCACAAGTGGGCAGACGGTCGCAGGCCCCGCCAAAGCCCGCCAAAGCCTCCCCATTATCGTCCTCATCCCACGTCCCCACACGCAGTGTACCTCGGCCCCCTCCCTTTACCCAATGGGTAAACATTTCACGCCGCCCCCAGGCAGACAAAACGACGAAAAAATGCAGAGCAAAGCCGAAAGCCAAGAGCGGCGCAGTCCGCGTGCCGCGCCAGCTGGGCACTCCTCTCGCTCCCCTCCTGTTGCGGACAATAGCCCGCCGACCCATAGGCACACAGACGCACGTTCTAGAATTGCTGGCCCGATGCAGACTGCTCTAAACAGCTGCTGCCCGCATTGCGGAGAATCGTGGGGCGCCCCGCGCCTGAGCCGTGCTCGCATTTGGCACTCCGAGGCTGCCGCCTGCTCCGACCGGGCTGCATTCGGGTAGGCAAGCAGACATGGAGAGGTTAGCCGTGCCTTGGGTTTCTGGAACGCGTGTGATCAGCATCTCTTGCAGCAAGTGGGCAAAGCGGTCTCCAGCCACTCGTACACTGCTAGGGCTGGTGGTGCTACTCGAAGATAGATTGAGATTAAGCGTTAAGCGTCGTAAATACTGTAAAAATTAAATAGCTGTGGTGAAGCAATAAAAAGATCTAAAAAGGAAAAACTGAATGGGTGCTGCTGGTACAGATTTACACCACCTCAGTAGTGTGCCATGTTGCACTTCTCTAAATGGCGTTGGAATCTGTAGCTTCGGTCAAAACGCCTGTTGCAACGCTTGCACTTGAACTTGTCCGTGTGCACAATGCTGTGCCGCGTGAGGTTCTCCTTCGAGCTCAAACGGGTTCCACACTGGTTGCACTTGAAGTGGTAGATCTTGCCCAGATGCACGCGGTTCACGTGCTCCGTGAGTCTTGTTTTTCTTGTGAACGAGCTGGTGCACTTGCTGCACTTGAACTGCTTGTCGGTCTTGCCAATGCCGTTGGCCAGGCCGCCTGCAAAGGCCGTGCTGCCCGATCCGGCGCTCTTGCCCCGTGCGTGGTTTCTGGCTCTTTTGACCGCCATCGCCCCTCTCTTTACCTCGCCTGTGCCTTCAAAACTGTCGTCGTCGCTGCAGTTTCCTGAAATGTTCGTGTCGTCGTCACTGTCGTTGTTGTCGCCGTTATCGTCATCGTCGCCATTGTTCTCTCCGTCGCTCTCGCTGTCACCAGTGCCGAATTCATTGCTTTCGTCGTTACTGTCCATGTCCTGGTAGTTGTTCAAACCACCCGTGTGTGCACTAGTGACATCGCTTCTTCTTCTGCTGCTGCCCTCGGCCACGCCTTGGCCGTCGCCTTTCTCCGAGTAGAGGCTCATGCCCTGGCTGGGTAGGGAGATGGGCAACTGCAGACGAGCCTCATTCAGGGCCTCCTTCATCTCTTCGTTGAGTGTCTCCACCTCCGAGAAGCTCGAAAACAATCTATCTCTGGCCATAGTATTGTTATCTGTGTTGAATCTGTCACTTCCCGTGTCGACACCGCCCAATGTGTTTGTGTTAGGGTTCATCCCCATGTTCGAAAAGTCGTTGAACTTGGACAAGCTGTGCTCGTCCAAATACGTCACGCTCGTGGCATCGCTGAGCAAGTCGCCCTGCATCATCAGAAAATCATCGCTTCCGCCATTCGCACTGCTGCCGCTCACTCCGCTCTCCAAGCGGCGCCTCTGATAAGGCGAGAGAGACATGTCGCTGGCAACCGGGGTGTGGATGCTGTAGTAGTCGTTTGCCGGGGTGCTGACATCTTGGTTAGCATTCATCAAGTAGGTGAACAGACTATTGTACTGTTCGTCAGTGTTGTTGCTGTTGTTGGTGATGCTGTTGTTGTCGTTATTCACCCCTGATTGTGAGATAGACTGTGGGTCCTTGAACTGAGGACTGACATCGGCTGGAGGGATGCCGGTCACCGGTTGGGTGAAGAGGAGCGGGTTGACATCAAAGTTGAGGCGGGTGGCGCACCTTGGAGTCGATTTCATGTCCGTCACCAAAGGTTTCTCGTTTATCAGTTGCAGCAAGGTGGAGGAAATGTCCGCGCCAGCGTCGTCCTGACGGGTCTCTGGGATGTCCTGTTGGGCCACTCCAGCAGTCTCTGCGTCATTGTATATGTTGTTGAAGAATATGCTGCTCAGAGAGTTGGAAAGATTCAAGGCGGGTTTTTCCAATGCAGGCGCAGCGGCGTTGGCCTTGGTGTTGGCGTTGGCGCCCACACTGGCCGGACCAACCCAGTCAAACTGGTCCTGGCCTTGTGTAGATTGACTGGTACTCTGGAACTGCGTGTCGAAGAGAGGTGCCATTTTAGATACCTGAGAGTCCATTCCGAAAATTTGTGGGTATGTGTTATTTAGGTTAATGACTTTACCGTGCTCTAGTTCTTGTCGCAAGTGGCCGAAATAGGGTATTATCGAAAAATTGGGGGTAGCTGGTGCTGTCTGGAGGTGGTGTACGCTTGCAGAACTAAGTGCTGATAACAGGAAAAGAGTAAATTAAAAACCAAAGGGCAAATTAAACAGAGACAGAATCCAACAAGATAAAATTATATATTAAAAAAAAGAATGAATTAAGGAACCGCAGAAAAACATGTATGAAAGTGGCAAATATACAAAACAGAAAGAGGATACCCAATCGCTTTTATACAAAACAACTCGTGAAAATGCACAAAATGGATGATCATCCTTCATCGTACCACCATCCCCGTACTTCTTGGACCGGATGCGTAGCGCAAACATAACCCGCTTGGCAGCACCACTGCTCGTCTCGCTTTCCCGCAGTTGTCTGTGCGTCGCTGCGTGTGCGTCGCTGCGTATGCATTTCTGCATTTCTGCATTTCTGCGACTTTGCATTCCGGGGAGGAGCTAAGGGTTCTCGCTCCTGCTGAGAACAATAGCGCGGCACCTGCAGCGCGGCTAATAATAGTGCTTGTCACCGGCTTGGAGCCACTTTCTGGCCCGCGAAACTGTGCACGCCGCACGCGCAGTTAAAACTCTGGGCAGAATTTAGGTTTTCAGTGGCGGAGTAGGCATGTGCCGTGGTCTATCTGGCGAAGGCATTTGCTGGCGGTGCCAGTGCTGTTACTACCACAGTCACTGCCAGCGCTGCCCCACCCAGCGTAGTTCCCAGAAGATGAGTGGTATCAGATTTGCCGCCACGGCCAGAAAGCGACAGATAGCTGGCTCCTAGCGGCAGAGCTGTTAATCGTGGTGCAGAGGCGGAAATCGAGAGCGGAATTGAAACCTACTGTTTATTTTATTCTTCCATGTTCTTTCTCAAGAGATTTAAGTCAAAGGGCATCTGGGCTTCTCCGGGTGGGCATAGTTTAGGCTGGGCCACACCTGGCACCACAGCGCCTGGGGACACGCTCCATCGAGCCTATTCGATCTCCATACGGCAGGGGTGGCAGAGGGACACTGTCAGTGGTGGTGGCGGATGTGTTGCCAGCAGGCATGGACACGGTTCTACGACCTAACCCGAGACCAGCGGTTAGCCAACGGTTAGCTAGCGGTTACGTATGTATTTCTAGAAAGGCACACGTAGTGCGGCACCACGAATTGTGCAGCGTCCGACAGCACAATGACTTCTTGGCTAGTGCCTCCCAGCGGATTCAAGGTTAGTGCTATCTGCACAGAACTTGGCCCTTGCATCGCATGGAAGGGTCTTTTCCGCGGCCAAGGCCCGCGCTCCGAATCAACTGGCCCCTCCTTCACGCGGATCGCCATGCTGCACCCGCAGCCGCGTGTCCTACGTAGTCGACCTGCAGCATGCTAGAAAAAACAGAGCTAGAACCTCATTGTTCTTCTGGCAGGCCTAGGCGTTCCACGCGTCAAAACAAATGCTTGGCTGCCTATGCCGCATCCCGCTCTGCGTGTTCACCTAGCCTCTTTTTCCAGTCGAGATGATCGGGAATGTCTCTATCTTTCTCGCAACTGCGATTTAACTGTTCTTTTTTCCGACCACAGCTGTGCGTGGTTTTGCAAAACCCGTCGCTTCCCGCCCGTCTGGTAATATCAAATGCTGCCCAGCACCGTCTTTGCCGCCCCTGCAGGTCCTCGGCGCCGAACTACACGTTCCACCCACTTCCATCTGCTTCTGTTTCCCGTCCTCCATCCTCTGCGGTGAACTACATGTACCTGGTTGCTTTCGTATTGTCTGATCTAAATATGCAGGTGTAGTTGTCGATCTCCGTTCCTTCCTATTCCCATCAGGATGTCAAAATGAAAACCCGTCGACTTCAGTGGCTACGTAGTAAGCACCGGATGCCTGCGGTGGTCGGACATGGGTCTCGGCCCACACTACTGGAAACACCCCACGCCGTGGCATGAGGGACTAGTCAGCACCCCTCTTACGTGGTCCCGATGCAGAGACCACAGAAGGGGAGAGAAGGAGGAAGAAGTTCTTCTCGTACGTTGTCCGGCCTGACGTCACGCTGAGAGCAATCTGCTGTTCCTCTTTTTTTTTCACTTCCTCGGGCTCCTACTGAGGTGGGCGGATGAGCCCCGCGGCGACAGGTTGAAAAAAAAGATAGACGCGTCGGGAGGAGAGCGGCGAAGTCGGCTGTGCAGGGCAACACACGGCGTGGGGAAGAAGTGGAGGCCGAGAAGAGCCAGATCTGAAGCCCGGACCAGGTAGGGCAAGGGATGACAAGAGGGAAGGCAAGAGGAGGGGAAGGAAGGGGATTTAAGCACTACATCTCCCAAACAGCGTTTCCAGGAACGTAGCACAGATAGCTGCAATTGAGTAGCAACGCATTGCAGACAACACTCACACTCACACTCACACTCACACGCAACACGCAACACGCAACACGCAACACACAATCACACATACACACACTAAAAATGTCAGAGTACAAGAGACCGATTTCGCTTATGGACTTCGAGATTGCCGTGCACGACCTCTCGGACCAGGAATTGGCGTCGATATTGGAAAAGCTACACGTCTCGATCTCAAGACTGATCCAGTCTAACGAGCTCATGCAGAGTCTTATGGACAAGGAGAAGAAGAAGAGTGAGGAGACGCACATCGCAGACGGCGAAGTTGCGGATGAGGACGACGAGTTTGATACCCCTACAAAAGACGACATCAAGATTTACCGCGACAGCATAAGCGAGAACGAAGTAGTCATCGAGAACCAGCGGGCACGGTGTCGGATCATTGAGAATGAGCTCGAGTTGCGGAACTTGCCCAGTAGCCGGCCGCAAGACGCACAGCACTACCGCTCGTTGCAGAACTCAAACGACGTGCCGATCAGCACCGACAACGAGCAGATTGCCTTGTAGGAGGCTTTGGATAGGATAGGATAGGATAGGAATCTATATAAATTTAATCCATGACAGTTACACAGTACGATAAATATATTTATGAGTAAAATATTGAAAAAGGCTCTAGTTGGAAGTTGGAATTTGTGGGAATTAATGGAATATTCTATTTTATTTTATTTTAATCGGAGTGCTTACAGCAGTCCGTGGTTCTTCAAGTACTTGTACAACCATAGCATCTGTCCGAAGTTTGCAATCAAGTAGATCATAAACGTTAGAATGAAGAGCCTCATGTATTTGTCCAACGTGTCTTCGTTTTTGTTTCGCAATGCCGGTTCTGAGGTCTCCAGGTTTCTCTGGAGCTGGAACACCACAGCATCCAACTCTTCACCCACTTTTTCCAGTCGGTGCGCTATGTCGTCTATCAGCTGTGTCGACTGTTTGTATCTTTCGGACAAGGCTTCCACACCGAACTCTATCTCCATCATTGCCTCCACAGTGGAGGGCCTGGAGCTCCAAGATTTGTCGTGTTTCAAGTTTTCAAAACAGACGTCGAAGTACTGCTCGTTGCAGAACTCAGGAGTCTTCTCGGTAAGAGGGTAGTCTACCAACACACGGAGGCTCTCCTGATTGATGCTGTTGATTCTCCGGAGGGTGTTTGCATTCTTGTCGAGCACGTTGAGGTTCAACTTCTGGATCCGAGAGTCTATCTGGTAGTCGCTGGAGAAGTCGAACTTGAACGCGAGCATGACGCTTTCGCTTGTCTGTGGGTCAGTGCCGATCTGGCTGCAATTGATGTGGTCCGAGAGGTAGTATCTGAGACAGCTGTTGCTGATTAGGTAGTTAGTCACTATTTTCTGCAGCTTGGCGTTCAGCCTCTCAAGCTTTTTCTGGAAGGCCAGGTCTTCTCTCTGGTGGTTGTTGCTGCCGTCATCCATCCCGTAGATCTCGTGGTGGAGCAGATATATGTCTGTGAGAAGGTCGTTGTCGCCGTTCGGGTTCGGTGGGATCTGCATGCCCAACTTGACTGCCAAGATGGAGTCCATGCAGAAAAAGAACACCAGGGCCAGTAGTAATGTCCTCACGGCAGCTGTCATTGTGTGTCTGTGTGTAGTGTGTCTGTGTGTATGCGTGTATGCGTGTACTGACTGTATGCCTAAGTGTGGGTGGGGGATGGTTATATAAACGACAGAAGAAACCAGAGCGCCAAAAATAGCTCTGTGGATCGGATCAAGTGTCAACGGGTGAAAGGCAAAAGGCGTTGCTTGTGCCGGCGGTGTCTGCAGACGGGAGCAAACGCGGCAGCAGAGTGTGTGAGGAACAAGCCGGATCGGTGGTTGTGCTGTGTCTTTGTGATCTGTAGCAAGCCAGTGTGACAGAAGAGTAGTCACGAGTGTGTGTGTCCTGTGTTGTCACTGAGCGCCACTGTCTACGGATGTTTCGGTGCCAACCGGCTGCAGCAGTACGTAGTACAGAAAGACCCAGGCGTGCAGAAGCGCAGAGGAAACGAGACCACACCAGCGTCGAGCCCAGAATGCTAGCGTGTGTGTGTTCGTCGAAACCGACCCTGTGTGTGCGAGCGGTGTGTGCGAGCGTGTGAGTGAGGGTGTTTTCTCGCTGCAAGATCAACAGCACAATGCGGGCGGCCACCACATGGAAAAAAAAAAAACGGAAAAGCGACCAGCAAACGAAAACAAATCAAATCAAATCAAACAGAAACAGAAAACACACACACTAAACCGCCACACGTTGCCGCCCTCGCACAGACGAGACGAAAGAAAAGGACCTAACGGGGGTGAAGACGCCGTGTTTGCGCCGTCCGCGACGCGACGTTCGTACAGGTACGAATCGGCGCGTCGGTGCGGCGGCGCGGCGGCCAATGACGTAGTGGCCGGCTGGAAATGAAGGGAAGGGGCCGGAGATCGACGCGTCGATACGCGAGACGGCTCGGCGGGTTCGGGCTTGGCAGGGGCTCGGGGGGCACTCTGAGCCCCCGCTGCAATCACCTCGGTGGTTGTAGGTTGTGGCAGAACCACCTATAAAGCAGGGGCGATTCCAAGCTGGTGGGTTCCGCAACGCAGTGGTCTGGCTATAGGTTATGTTTAGCATCGGAGGTGTCTCTGTCTGTGGTTGTTGTCATTACATGGTAGTTGCAAGACGACCCCTGTTGGACAGGATAGGACCGGACCAGGATCAGGATAGGACACCGTGGACTCACCGCGACAAGTCTTCGGAATTAAGGTGTCTCCGACAAGACGAGGCCGCTTAGTCAGCGCCTATGTCCCGAGTTTAGGCTATCCCCACAGCCGGTTTTTCAGCTACAATTATCCAGCCCGGATGCTCCTCGGTGGACAGGGCCAGGGCATCGGCAATCCACCAAGCATGGGCCACCAGCTCCCCCGGAAATAGGAAATAGCGCTACTGTTTACACCAGCGGATGCGCTTCCCGGCTCCAGCCCTATGGAAAGTATAAATTGCCGGCTATGATTCCGAAATGCTTCTTGTAGCTCTGATGGGTTTTGTACAGCAAACCACTACCACTTAGCACCGGAATTGCAAGCACAGCTAGCAAAAAAAAGTATTGGAACTCTAAAAAGCTCATAAAATCAACGTATCATGACTGCAGTGAAGGAAATCAGAGCCATCGGTGTCCACGACTACGACAACTGGTTAGAACCAAAGGAGTTCACCTATGAGCCACAAGAAATGCGTCCTGAGGAAGTCGAAATCAAGGTGGAGGCGTGCGGTATCTGCGGTTCCGACATCCATGCTGCTAACGGAGACTGGGGCCGCCACTTCTCCCCACTTGCTGTCGGCCACGAGATTGTCGGTGTCGTCACCGCTGCCGGCAAGGACTCGAGACACAAGGTTGGCGACAGAGTCGGTGTCGGTGCCCAGTGTGACTCGTGCCACACATGCACCCGTTGCAAAAACGAACATCAGAACGCCTGTAGGCGCATGGTCGGCACCTATCAGGGTGTTTACCCAAGCGGCAAGGTCACACAGGGTGGCTATGCCTCCCACGTGAGAGTCAACAGCGAGTTTGCCTTCAAGATCCCAGACAACTTGAGCAGCGTCGACGTCGCTCCTTTGCTTTGCGGTGGTATCACCGCCTTCAGACCAATGATGACCGCTGGTGTCACCAAGGGCACCAAAGTCGGTATTAACGGTATCGGTGGTATTGGGCACATGGCTATTCTGTTCGCCAAGGCCTTGGGTGCTGAGGTCACCGCTATCTCTAGGAACGACAAGAAGAAGGAGCTCGCCATACAGTTGGGTGCAGACCACTATATTGCCACCGACGAGAAGGACTTTTCTAAGAAGCACGAGGACTCAATCGATTTGCTCATCAATACCGGCTCCTCCTTTTCCGAGGGTAACGTCAGCGAGGTTTTGAACCTCTTGACCGCCTTTGGTAAAATGACCTTCATCACCGCCCCGCCTATTGATGAGAAGTTGTCTTTGATTCCATTCCAGATGCTCCAGAACAACATCTCTGTCGGTGGCTCCTGTATTGGCTCTCCGAAGGACATCGAGTACATGTTAGAGGTTGCTTCCAAGAACAACATCAAGCCTATGATCGAGACCATCGACATTAACGAGCCTAACGTCAAAACCGCCTGGGAAAGAATGGTCAAGGGTGACGTCAGATTCAGATTTGTCTTAACCGGTTACGACAAGTATTTCAAATAAATTAAATGATGAAACCACATTCATGAAACTTATGACTCTCTCATGTATCTCTCCGTGTTCCTTCGGTCACCTTGTATTTTACTTTTCTAAGGCTTATTATTAAGTAATTATAAAGATTAGTTTTCTAAACCAGTTTTTAGTCCTACAGGGCTAGTATTAAACAGAACCGTTGAACAACATCTCGATTGCACCCTCAACCGAACCGCCACTGCGTCTTAAAGCACGTACGTTACGGTCAAAGTCGAAAAATCCCATGTCGTTCAATTGACGCAACTGCGTCTCGTAAACTTCCTCTGGCGGCCTCGTTTCAGCTGCAGCAGCTGCAGCGCCTGGGTTCCCGAACATGTTTAACAGATTAGGATTAAGCGCCGGGTTCAGAAAAGGGTTGGCTCCTAAACCTGCGCCAGCGCCTGCACCGGCTCCGGCACCGAATAGAGAGGCAAATGGGTTAGCAGCTGCACCTGGATTGGCACTGCTTGACTCAGCACCAGTGGCATTCGTCGAGCTGGCGTTATCAGCAGTGTTTCCAGAAGCGGCATTTGGGTTTCCCGGAGTAGGAAAGCTTGAGGTGGCAGCGTCAGCACCAGCACCGGATCCCGACATCGCCCTCTGGAATTCCATCATGCCCCTCATGGCCTGTGGGTTGGTCAACATGTTTCTAACATAATCGCTTTGAAGTAGATCTCTTGCGGCAGGCCCCATTGCCCTTAGCTGTGGCGACTGTTGGATCATATAATCAAGCATCTGAGGATTGGAAAGCATGGATCTCATACTTTCTTGGAACATTGGATTGTCCATCATCTGTTCTAATTGGTTCTCAGGAGGTAGCTGCATTCCGTCTGCACCAAAGCCCAACTGGTCCATCGTAGGCATTGGGATGTTGTAACCTGCATATCTCGCATCGGTTAGACCTGCTAAAGGATTGAAGGAGCCTTGCCCAGCCTCAATATTCGATGGCACTGATGGCGGTGGCGAAGAGGCATTGCCTGTATTGGAAGATGCTCCACCTGCAGCAGAGACTGCTGCGGAAGACGGCGCATTGTCACTCTTGGCAGCACCTTTTACCAAATGAATTGAGTGACCTTCTTTGATCTTGTATGTCTCGAGGGTGTCGTTGTCTTTCAAAACTTTACCAGAAAATATGAGACGTTGACGGTCCACAGAAACATCGAGATCACTTGCAATCTTCTCCTTCAACTGAAGAACGGTCATAGCAGGCGTGACGGTCATTTGATGCTTGGCATCGCCCGTCATCTTGATGGTAATTGTAAATTCAGACATTGGTAGTATGGATACTAATCAACTTATGAACTATCTGCAGTAATTTGATAACTTGACACTGCTCATTTACGCAAGTCTTCTTTCTCTACACAGGGCTTCCTCTATCGGTGTTCGGTGTTATTCATGAGATCATTACGCTTCCCATTTTGCCACCTGGGCAAAATCACTGGTGCACGGAAGAGGTCTCAGCCGTCGACCGCCCCTAAATTCCGAGGGAATCACTTCAGCATGTAATGAACAGAAATGAAACATATACATGCCAAACAGGGCTAAGGGCTCAGACGTCTGTTCCTCCTCCCGAAGCCAAGAGCACAGAATACAGCCATAAGTATGGTTGCTGCTCCTATAGGATATGAGACTCCGACTTTCCCTTCGTTATATTGGCCCCTCGGACAATACTCGGATGATTTCCATTCGTCCTTCTTGTACCACACCAAGGACATATGGGAATTTACAACAGTCTGGACAATCATATTCATGACTGGTGTGTACACAGCTTCTGCGTGCATATTTCTGGTGACACACTACATTGGATCATCTCGACATCCAACCCTCAAGAACGAGGGAGATGAGATCGAAATGAGAAACCACAATTTTGCACTCCATGAAATGAACTATAACCACATTTACCAGACAACTATGTCCACCTATCAGCACTACTTTGTGACATCTCTGTTTACTGGGAATAGAAAGATCTTAATATACACTGTTTTTGCCTATATCCTACTAGGAGCGATACAAGGGTTTATTGCCGGTTCGGTTGTTGGGGTGTTGATAGCAGCCATATATGATTCCGCACAGTTCAAAGTCACCACCTGGATACCCTTTGTTTATTCATTAATCATCACCCTGTACAATATTGCCGACTCGTACTCCTTTACGGTCAAAAATTTATAGAAGCAGCATTTTCAAACAACTTTTCTCACGCTTTTGTCTTCATTTCCCCTTCAATTCCATACGCCTATCAGTATTTACTTCGACGATTCGAAGGTTTTCTTCTTCTATATGAACCCTAGTTGTTTAATTTATACATACCAAACTATATAAACTAATAATAATCTTTTCATTTTCAAGGAAAAGTAGAAAATATGCCCAGATGCATAATGATAAGGAAAAAAGAAAAAGCGCCTCTCTTTTACCTTTCGTTGCAATCGAAACAATACATCTTCACTTCACCGTTCTCCAAACCGCAGACTATGCGTGAGTCTCCCAACCCGACGCAGGAAACTGAGCTTGCGTTGGCAAGAGTATGCATGCACTGGCCGTTTTGCAAATCCCAAATTTTGATACTTTTGTCGTGTGCACCACTGACTATCCTAAAAGTATCAGCCGCAATGGACCAGACGCCTTCGATGTGACCAAACTGTGTACGGATGCACTTTCCTGTCTTCACATCCCAGAGCTTGATTGTGTTGTCCAAAGAGGCAGTAAGAAGATGAGTGGGGAGGTTACGACGTGTTTTGACAAACTTCTCAAAGTCGCTTTCATCGGTATTTTGAACGTTATTGTTGACGTTGTTGCTGTTTTCGATATTACCGTCATCCTCCTCATCATCGCTGTCAAATACAGCTACCTCGCTATTCGAGCCACCGGTTTCGTCGTTTACCGCATTGGATGTCTTTTGACAGTTAGCGACGTCGGTTACCAAGTCGTCAGTATAAGTGAAAGGAATGACGCATTGAACCTGCGCAGTATGACCGCCATTTTCAACTCCTCCGTAGGTTCCAATGTACTTGTTTGTCTCCAAATCCCATAATCTAACAGTGGAGTCATCACTTGCACTGAACAAGGTCCTACTTTTCGAATGTATTTTAACACACGTGACCCAGTCGGAATGGCCACGCAAGGTATAGCAGGTTCCGATGTCGACGTGCCACACTTTGATGGTCTTGTCGGCACTCCCGCTGACAATCACCTTGTCCAAAAAATCAACACTGATGACTCCTTCTCTGTGGCCTGTGTATGACGAGATGCATTCACCTGTTCTCCAATTCCAGACTTTGATGGTGCAATCCAAGCCTCCGCTGATCAATTTCTGATCGTCGTATATGAGAGACTTTACACCCATAGTATGGCCGGTCAAAGTACGGATCAACTCACCCGTGTCTGTATTCCAGATCTTGATTGATGTATCGTAGGAGCCTGTCATGAGCAACTTGTTGTTGTCGTACTGACAACATAAAACACCATCGGTGTGTCCTTCAAACTTTTTCACCGAATAGAAGCCTTTTCTCCAATGGCGTTCAACGGTGTAACGCTCTGAATAAACGGCCTTCCATGGTCTCTTCTTCCTCATCAGCCTCTTGGGTGCCGATGCGCCGCATTTCCATAGAGGCTGAGGAAGGTTCTTCACGGCCTTCATTTCTTCTTCGGCTTCCGAGAATCTTCTCTTGCGGGAAGACTTCTCCTGTAACTTCTTCACCGCCATCAACGGGAGGCCCCAGCCGCACTGCGGGCACTTGCGGTCGATGTGCTGTTCACACATGTATCTCCAGACACGGTCGTCGTCTGCGAGCTGCTTCCACTTGGTGGACACCTGTGCAGCGCTGCACAAGCTCTGGCAGTCGAGGTAGCACAAGATCTTCAAGGCAAGCTCGCTGGGGAGCATCTCAAGAAAGTCAATCTTGAGCAAGTGGGAGATCTCATGCGAGATGACAGAAAGCTGCGGGAAGCAACACTGAGAAATTAGGCCCTGGAGAATCAACGCCCTCTGTTGGCTCGACGAGTTGGCAAAGGAGGACCACACGTTGGTGACGGTCTGCTGGTCCTGCTTTGAGAACGTGCTCAATTTCTTCTGGATCTCGGTGAGCTGCTGTTTATCGGCCATTTTGTTGCACCTTATTCTTGGGTTATGTCGATAGCAGTACTTGGTGTCGAGGACGTACGCCTGTTCTTTCTGCACGTCTTTCTCCTGTCCCGCACTCGTGCTGGAGGGTGTCGCCATTGTGGCTATTTCTGGTCGACGTGTGTCCTGTAAGCCGATATTGTTGTTGCTGCTGCTGCCGATGCTGCCGATGCTCTTGTTGCTATTGTTATCTGTGTAAATGTTTGGATGCTTGGACTCAGTGATTCTGGTGGCGACTGCGGATTCCGTGTATGTCTGCGGGGCTCCTGTGCCCTCTGTCGGCGAAATCGTCATTGTTTTTGGTTCTGTTGTTGCTGATGCCGATGCCGTTGCTGCTGCACAGGAGCCAGATACGGCCCCTTCTCTCCGAGAGTCGCCCGTCACGGCATCCCTCCCGCTCGTAGGGGCGCTGTCGCCGCCCCTGTACTCCTTGTACATCTTGCCTTCAGGCACAGAGCCTCTCGGGCTCGCGTGGTGATGATCCCTAACGCCTGTCGTGTTCCTGTCCGATAACACAGATGTGAGCATATTCTGCGACGGACTCGGGGCCACCGTGTCGCTCGAGCAGCTCTTCTGGAGGTACTGCATTAGTCGTTCCTCGCTTGTGGGGTCTGACATGGCAAAAGGATCTTGTTGAACAACAGCAGAAGAATTCCAGCAACCGAAAGCCCTATAAGAGCCACCACACACTTGTTTAAGGCAGCGGAGGGCCTACACAGTTACAAAACGTGAAAATTAGACTTAGACATAGTGTTCATACGCAGAAGCCATAGTTGGCAAATCGCCCCGCGCTGCGGAAGCTCAGCTCTACCACGGAGCGGGACAGAGACGGAGAAAAAGGCAAAGTGAGAGGGAAAAGGAGAATCGGGAACCGGTAATCGCGGGGGGAGGAAACACAGCCACAGCCTCGATTGCGGGACGGCACGTGATGCGTTACGTAATGCGTTACGTAATGTGTTACGTAACGCATTACGTAATGTGCTGAGGTAAGCAGCGCGGTTCTCCTGTCAGCGTCAGATTTTACGTCAGCTGCAGATCCAGGAGTGGTGACACTTGTGGTCAGCACCACTTGTCGACCGGGTTGGCAACGTAGGCGTCGTAGTCGGCCCTGCGGTAGATGCTGACCTCGGTCTCGTTCGCCATGCCGTAGTCGACAAGCTTGCGGGAGGCGTCGTCGAGGTCGAGCACCCAGTCGTCGTCGTGGTCCATGTTGATGACGAGGTTCATTGTCTTCGTGGCGTGGGCGTGCGTGTAGATCTTGAGCGTGTCGTACTCGACATTCCGATAAGGCCGGAGACTGCCCTCGGTACGGATGGTCTCCAGGATGGTGTCGAAAAACTGTTTGGCGGTGGTGTTCACGAGGTCAACGTGCTGGAACACATGGTTTCTCACGTTCCGGTACGGGAACGACTTGATGATGCGGACCGTGATAACGGAGTCGTTGAGTGGTCTTGCCGTGGAGGTAAGCGGTTCCTCGAGGTCGTATTCAGACATGTTGAGGTGGATCGGAGTGGATGAATTGGGGCGGGGTTTCGGTTGTCTTGATGATGAAGAGGCCGAGGAGGTTCCAGGGCTCTGGGAACGTACAATTTTTTTCTTCAGCGCCTGCGGCGGCGATGCATTACCCTTTTCGGACGCCTACCCGTCTTCAATTCATGTTGAGGATGTCATGTGCACATGGATCGTTGTACGGATGAGCCTAGTGACAGCCCGCCTGCTTCGTTAGCCTCTCTCACATCCATTTTGCAGACCAATGAACATCACCTTCAGCAACTACAAGGGTTTTCTGTGTGGAGGAGGCAGTCCCGATGGGCGCGTCGACCTGCGCAAGTACCTTCCGCAGATCAGCAACTCCCAGCCTAGCGGTAGGAAGGAGAACACAGGCAAGTCCAGCACAGCCGGTTCCGTCGAGTACCGGACAGACGGATTTGACCTCTTGGCATCTGCATGGAGCCTGCAGGAAACTGGTTCCGACGGTACTGAGCTGCACCTGTTGGAAAACAGCGTGACTGACGGAAGCACACAGCAGCGTATACTATGCTACGGCAACTACTTGCGAAATCTATGCTTCCAGTCTGCCGAGAACAACGAGTCGCCATCGTCGAAGGGCAATGACCAGTTGAGCTCACATACCACCCTGTATGGAGAGGAGGTGCTGGAAGGCAGCGACACTGGCGCCTTGGACGAGGACGCACCCAGTCCACAGATACCGGAGATGGCAAAGACCCCCATAAGGGATAAGAAGAAACGGCTCACTCCCGACGAAAGGAAACTTTTGCGACAGCAGGCAAGGGAAATGAAGAGAAATGCACGGCTAGCCAAGACGCAGGAAAAGAAAGGCCTCCATGGTGGTGATCTTGACCTCGGCCTCGACCTCGTTCCCAGCACAAACTGTATCGGATCCAGATCCAAAGCAAAGCATCTCAGGTTTCTCATCGATGAGTGTATCAAGGCTGCGACCATTACTGTAGGCGGCAGCAAATTGAGTGACACCACCAAGGTCTCGCAAATTGACGATGTCACCCTCTACATTACCGACCTGAAAAACTTGCAGGATGATGAGTGGCTTTCGGACAGTAATATAAGTTGGGTGTATGCATTTTTGTATCACGGTTATCTCCTCCCACTACTAAGCGAGTCTTTGAAAAGCTCAAAGTTTTATCAATATAAGAAGGAGAAGGAAGAGTTTGTTTCTCCCATATGTCTTCTCTTGCCCACCTTCACTTTTCTTATTGCCAACAACCCTGACCCTGAAGACCTTTTGACGTGCAACGTGTTGCCAAACGGGATTTCCGATGCGCAAATCGTATTCTGCCCTTTGAACGATAACGATGATTTCGGATGCTCTGAAGGGGGATCCCACTGGAGCTTGGTGGTTTTTTTCAAGCTGCAGCCCACTGGCGTCCCATCCAAAACAGCATACATCCAGAAAGCTCTAGTCTATGACTCGATGTTCCAAGCAAACGCATCTGAGACTGAGCGGCTGGTCCATAATATGGCAAAAGTTCTCTACAACCCTAAAGACCCCAGATCCAAACTCGAATGGGATATTGTTCATGTCCGAGATTCTCCACAGCAAACCAATGGATCTGATTGTGGAGTGTACGTTGCCGCCATAACTTCCTTCCTCGTCTCCCAGCTTGTTGCCCTGACGGGCTCATCAACAAGGCATGCAGCTGCAGGTGACCCCTTTGTCGATCTGTCGTTGAAGAGCTTGAGATTCAACGCAATCGATTCAAGGATATGGATGTTGAGCACTTTACTAAATTTCTTGAAAAATCCAAAAATAGATTGACTAACTGTCCCTTTATCCTCAATTTTTTCTATCCTCTCTATTAATTATTTTATAAACCTTATTCAAATGTACAAGTAATATATTCAGGTCATACCACTCCCCTTTTATAGTGGGCCACTATCTTTACTGATGAATTCCATTGCCTTGACATCACCTTTGGCAAGTTCTTTTGCATTCAACAATTTAGATAAACAAACCCATGGATCACGAGAACCACCCCAACGCAAAATTTCATTCTTGAACTTTTCACCGGCTTCTCTAGAGAATGGATCTTCTTGGAAAAGATTGGACCAAACTTTTGCAGAGATCGCCCTATCCAAAAGATAAGAATAATACAATGCACCGTATGAGTACAAGTGTCCAAACTTGCCTGGCCAGCTTGACTTTGTATCCGCGAGAATAGCAAGATTTGACTCGAGTTGATGATACAGTCCAAGCGCATCAAAGGCTTCATCCGTCACATCACAATTCCCAGCTCCGTGATATAGCTGATCTAACAAAGCCATCTTAACCTGCCCAAATGTCTCACAATAAGTCAATAGTCTATCGGACTCCAGGTGTTTTCTAACCAACTGAGTCGGAACAGGCTTTCCTGTTTCATAGTGTTTACCAAAAGATGCAAGAACACGCTCATCACGGGCAAAAGTTTCATGTAGAATCGAGGGTAATTCAACGAAATCGGTTTGGCATCTTGTCCCTGATACATTATGTAATGCAGTTCTACCCAACATACTATGCATTGCATGACCCATTTCATGGAAGAGGGTTGCAACTTGCTCTAGTGTCAAGCAGATAATGCCAGAGTTGTTCTTGTTTCCGTAGTAGTTGCAAACGAGGGAAATTACAGGTAGTTGGTATGTTTTTCCCTTCTGAACAACAGTTTCAACCGTCGACGTAGTAGGCAATGATAGGTTGAAAGGGTCTTTGGAATCAAGTTCAGCATTATCTAACATTCTGGAACAACAGACCGTGAAGTGCGCAGGATGTGGTGTCTTTCCTACTCTATGCAGTAAGTCTAAATACATGATACCAACTTTTCCGTCCTTATCACTCACAGCATCAAAACGACGGACGCTAGACGACCACACCTCTCCGGGTTTCAACTTCTGGGGTATTAATTTGATGCCATAGATTGAGTGGAAAAGTTTAGAAAGTCCGGATACAACCGTTCCGAGAGAAAAATACTGAGTAATATCTTCGTTCTGAGAAGATTTTTGGGAAAGAATATGTTTCGTCAACAAATACTCTCTATCCCATGGTCTAATTGAATTCACAAGTTCTTCTGAAGTTGGATTTTCTTTAACTGAACCGGGCGGAAAATATTTGTAAAGCATCTTCAATTCCTTCAAAACTTCTGGTTGTAAATCGTTTATTAGACCTCTTAGAAATCCAACTACATTGTTTGAATTGCGGGCCATTTTATCTTGAAGAGCATACTCTGCGTAATTGTTACAGCCCATCAACTTTGCCAAGATCGCACGGCAGCTCAACAAGCTTGTCAGTAAAGCAGTTTGATTCTCAGGAACACTGTGCAAAGCGACCCAAATTTTCTGACGGATGATCTTGTTCGGACAAGATCTCAACAACTCAAAAGGTAAGTGGCCATAGATAGGAATTGTTAAGCTGCCATCAAACCCATGAGATATAGACTTGGAACATTCTGGATTGATATCACCCTCTTCCCACTCCGACGGTTCAATTTTTATACTATTGCTTTGAGGTATGGTGATATTGTTGTTAAACTCTTGGCCAGCAGTTGCAATATACGACGATAGTTGGACAAACTGTTCTCCTGTAGCGTCGTCCATATCAATTCCAGACTTTTTGAAATCCGAATAAAGCAATTCTCCGACTGAGATTTCCTCTTGCGATAAAGTTTTCCTAATGCCTAGCTTTCCATCATACAAAACTTTCTGAAGCTTGACAAACAAAGGCTTAGATGTATTCAACACGTTCATATGTTCAAATAGTTGAGCATGACATTGTTCTGCAGCTTTAACAAACGATGAGTTTGGGTGTGCTGCACGGACAAATTCACATAAATCGATAACTCTACAGAGCATATCGGAAAGTCTATCAAGCTCTTTTATGTAAGATTTCATACTCTTTTCAGATTGGTCTTCAATCATGTGGTTCGTCAATGCTCTAGCACGGTCGAGGGATTCTTCTGCAAAACGTTTTAGCCCCTTGGGGCTAGTCAAGTAAGGGTTACAGAATAACCCCACTGATTTTTGTCTCGAAGAATTAAAGTTCAGTGAGTCAAATATCGAAGCTGTTTGGTTTGAAGCGGTTTTATCCGAGGATTGCTGTTGGTTGAATTTGTTCCAGTAATCACTAGAATCAAAGATTTTCACTATTTCATCTTCATTGGCATCATTGCTGGTTTGTATGTGAGATGTCGATGTCGTGAGCGACCTCCTCGAGTTCACGAACGGACTTCTTATCGCCGCACGGAGAGAGCGAATAACTAACTTCATGAACGACTGAGGCAATGGATCAAACTATAAAGCAAGCGTTAAAGTAGTTTGGCTCATAACAAGTCTAGCGTAAAAAAGCAGGAGTAGGAGAAGATAAAGGTGAAACCGAGCAGTAAGATGAGATAGATCTCGTACTAGGCGTTATTTTTTCACCCTGAAACGGACAGCCCACCCGCAGCGAATGTTCTTCGGAACTTTACAGAAGACATGTTAAAGATAGAAAACCAACGACGGAGATGCGCTCTGAGACGTCTACTTCTCTCATCAATTGTGCTTGCTATTAAGTGCTAAAAGATAAAAATAAATAAGAAATGAAAGTAAGGGTGAAAAGGTAATAGTAAATAGGCCCTGAAAAGATCCTTAAGTGGGAAGGATAAGGAAATGGGCCCGATTGATCAACGTTTGGCCATACATGACTTCCATGCATTATCTGTCAAACAATCAAACAACTCCCTGTCTTTAATGGGATCACCCGACAGGGTCTGACTGTATTTGTAAGTGAAGGCACCTAAAGAAACAGTACCGGTGATTTTTTGTAACTTTGGCTGTTTATCTTCAGCATCCTGGCCAGTGACCATTATCGGAGTGTCTCCCATGGTGGAGCAAGTTTCCGCATGATTCGTGGCTTCCAGTTTGATGCTGTTCTCAACACCGTCCTCCTCGACGTGTTCGTCTTCAGAGCCCGCTAACGCAGATTCGTTGTTTGTCTGGTAAATATCAGAGACATTCGGAGACTGCACCTCCTGATGGAGCTTAGGGTACAACAAAGTTTGACGCTGAATATGCTGTCTTTGCAACTCTTCCGCCTTCTTTATTTCTGGCGAAGGATGCGCCGACGTCTTCTGTTTCTTCCTCGGAGAAGTCTCCTCAAAAGGGGTAGAGTCGGATGTGGTGTTTCTTTGCAGGGTCTGCTGAGAGTTCGCAGCCATGTTACACACTGCGGGAATGGTCGATAGTGTTGGAACCGCCACCGGAACCAACTGGCCATTGGCAGCCCGCGTGTAGTAAGTCTGTGGCCTGACTGGCATGAGAACCACTGGTTGCTGCTGAGGCTGAGGGGCAGCGGTAGTAGCACTAACAGCGTTCGGGTAAGAGAGCGGTGGAGCAGACATTGGAAGAGTGACCAACGTCCCGTTTTGTGGATTGTAGAACGTCTGTTGGTAGGCAGGCTGTAGGGCTCTAGCCTGTTGGTGATACTCGGGAGAGCCCTGTCCAAGTGCATTCAAGTAGTAAAGTTGTCGCTCCGGGAAAGGAGTGCCGTTTGCCGAAGGCATATTTCCAGGCGTGTTGTCCTGCGGTAATCCCGGCTGGGTGTCTGTCTTACTGATGCTGAACCGCTTCGGGAGTTTTAGCGACGGAGGGGCGTTTGCTTCTGTGTAACAATCCGTCTCTGTGCTCTTTCCGGACACTTGATTGTTTCCAGTGGCTTCTAGCGTCTGTATGTGCTTTCCTGCGACGAGCGGCTCCAGCGTCTTTGCACGTCCAGCACCTTCTCCTTCTAGTGGAAGGACCGGGAAAGACACAGACGCCGTAGAAAGGGTATCCATCGAGTTGAACGAGGCTCCATGGCTGCTTTTATGCAGTTCTGCACCAGAACCCTGAGCCGTCAGGCTCTGCTGCTGCAGTTCTTTTCGTACGTGGGAAGCCGACATGTCACTTATCTGGGTCATCCTGCGATCGCTTGTCCAAAAGTCGTGTTCCGCTTCAGTTCGATCGGCACGTTTCCTATTTTCTTCTAATGTGTTTTCCAGCACCAGCTTTTTTCGGGACACACTGGCCCCTAGTCCTTCCGTCCGGCCAGGTTTTTCCTCCCTTCCTCTTGTCAGTCTGGACGATCCTGCTGCTCCTGCCTCCTCTTTCCCTCTCAGTCTGGCAGGCCTCTTCAACTGTTTCAGGCGCGGCCGTGGGGGCGGAAAAGTTTGATGCTTTCTGCCCCGTCCGCAGTGGCCCCAGACGGCCAGTGCCGGGGAGCCACCTGCCGAGTTGTACAAGTTGCCCGTCTGGGCTACATTGTTGTTCTTTTCTGAGAGGTGTGGCAAGGTGGATTCTGTCCTACAACGCAAAACAGACAGCTGGAGTGCAACACTGGCTCTGGTGTAGTGCACGTTTGGAACGTGTCCTTTGAAAAGATGAGATCGTCGCCACATCGGCCGCAGCAGCAACAGCAACAGCAGCATCGGCAAACCCCACAGATCAGGGTTTCGGACCTGTCACATCTACATCTTACGAGCATGGACGACCTAGTCGGTGAATCCGGACTGGACGACTCCAACCTAAACCCGAAGTTGAAGCTGAAGTACTATAACAAGGCGCTCGTCTCGTATTTGGCACAGCAGGGGCTCAACATGAACCCGTTGAAGCTCAGTGCGAGACAGTTGAAGGAGAAACACACAAACGTGACGTCGTTGTTCAGTCATGGAAACCCGATCAACTCGGCGGCCAGCTCAAACAGTAGTATTGAAACTTTCATTACAGGGAACGGCCAGATCTTGTTTCTCCCGTTTAATCCGCAGCGCAAGAAGCGGCGGAGAGGCAACATCCGAGACGAGTACAATGACGACGACGACCACCATGACCACGATAACGACTCGGAGGAAGACCACGATGACGTGGACGCGGAAGCGGACGAGAATGACAACGACGAGCAAGACGACGACAACGAAGGCGACGAGCGAAATATGAACCCGGAAGCAGATGAGCCCTACGCACCAGAAGACCTTGAGTGTTCGCCTCGGAAACGCAGCTTCATTCTCGTAAAGGCCAACCGGAAGAGCAGGACGGCTCGGACACAAACCAACGCAAGCGCATCCGCGATTCCAAACGATCAACCGAGCCATGCCCACAACATCACCAACCACACCTTCAGTGTGATTGTGAAGTTGAACAAGAAATGCAATTTAAATAAAATGGTGAAGGTTAATTACCACACACACTCAACCGTGAAGTGGATTCCTCCGGAGTATTCCCGGAAGGAACCGATTGACGAAAGGTTTAGAACCTCTGATATGATTGATTGGGACTTGAACCTAACAAATCCGGACTGCTACATTCCCTTCAAGGAATCTGCTCCTCATACCCTTAACATGAACAGTGATGACACATACGGTGTTTCCAACGTTGACACCAACACGTTGGATGACTCGCTGGAATCAGACTCGATGTCTCTGGATTCCATCAATAATGGGAACCTCACACCTCTGAAAAAAGTTGTGGACGTCAAGTTCTCCAATGAGCCAACCCAAGAGATCAAAACTTTCAAATCTTTAAACCCAAAAGATTACATAAACGAGCCACCATTACTCAGCAGTAACGAAAACTTGGTTGAATCGAATCTTTTCAAAGGCAAAAATCACGAGCCCACTGATTCATCCAGTGATAGTAACGAATCATTTTTACCGGGCTATTACATTTTCCTTTTACCCGTTGTTTACCCACTTAATACCCCAGAATCCATCCAAGTACCAAATTCCCTGCTTTCCCACGAATTTACAATTCAGATACAGAAGGGTACAATTGTTGCCCCAACTTTACAAGCCCCCCAAAGTGCATTTCTTTCTACATCCCCTTCTCACCATTACAAGTACGACGACCAAAACTTCGAATTTGAGCAACGATTCACGCCTTCGCATACACAGAACATAATTCCACCACCTATTGGCACAAATTCGAACTCCAATAACACCCATAATTCGAAGTCATCCTTTTTTAAAAAAATTGGTATACACAAAAGCACATCTTCAAACTCCAAACTGGACTCATCAATCTCGAAGCATAATTCAATATCCCCAAGAGGAAGTTTCAGCTCATCTCATAACACTGCTGTCTCAATTAATGAAAATTTACATTCACGAACTAGATCCAGTAGTGCTTCTCAGGGCAATCCGATTGTGAATTTTCTACATCAAAGCAGCAACACTCCAACAATTTATAATTACAGCTATAAGTTGCCAGCAGTTCGTCTTCCTCCTTCCGACGCCACCTCCACTCTGAACAAATCAATTTATGTCAACAAAGTGTGGAACAAAGCTTTGAATTATGAACTTCTATTACCCAAAAAGTTCACCCAACTTTCTCCACCTAGCAATGTATCTGTTTCGCCTAACGACAAATTTCTTCATGATAATACGTTTTTGCTTCAGATGAAATTGGTCCCTCTAGTGAAAAACTTACAACTGAAGAGGATCAAGATAAACATTGTAGAAAAGGTTACATATACCCCAAAAAGTCCGAATTCCAAAGACCACAAGGTTCCTAAAAGCAGAACCACTGACAAGACGGTCACTATGCTAGAAATTAAGACTAAAGACAAGAGTAACAATTCAAACGTCAACAAGCCTAATGCACCTTTGAAAACTCAAATTATTAAAGGTTGTGTTAATGACAATTTGTTGACTTTTTGTTATAATAACGAAAAATCGAGCTGTTTCAAAGAGTCAGATTCGAGTCATGGCCTTTCTAATAGTGGTAGTATGAAGAGCTCGTCTGGATTTTTGCACGGATCCAAAAAAATGTCTAGATTTTTGGACAACTCATTGTCTATATCACATAATCCTATCACGGGTAATAATCATAATACTAATAATAATATTCCACAGAATCAGGATGATATAGTTATCACAAACCCCGTCAAGCTACAGTGTCCTCTAAATTTTGTTGCAAATGATGACTCAAAGTTTATTCAAAAAGTTTATGAGCACTTATGTACCGGAACGTCTGATCTGAACGGTCTTCATGATGGCTCAGATTACGTCGACAGGGGAAACGACACAATGTCCATTTTTTCTGTCAACTCTGCAGGTAACGACAAGAGTGATGTGTTTTCAGACGATGATCAAGCGGTTTCTCGCTCACCTGTTAGGCGTCAACGTAACTTCTCATTCTCAAGTACAAGTAACAATAATTTGGGTACCAGCGCAAGGAATAATTTAAGTAATCCCAATTGGAGCTCCGTTCAACATGAAGATAAAGCAAACTCTCATACCTTTTTACCGGATACTACATTTTCCAATCTAAAAGTGAGACATAGGCTTCAGATTTCGTTCAGAATTAGTAGGCCAGATCCTAAAATCAAGAACTCGGACGGAGAATTCAAGTTGCATCATTATGAGGTTATTGTTGACACCCCAATCGTTTTTGTGTCACCATTCTGTGTTACAGAAGCACTTGATCTTCCGTCATATGAAGACGCAGTGAGAATCCGTATGTTTGAGGTTGCAAAAAATTCGTCGAAGTTTGCAATGTCCCACATGAATGAAAATGATTCAAATTATGGGTCTGGTTATGGCTATGAAAGCAGTAGTAGTGACGAAAATGCTGTTTTCTCGCCATGTTCCCCGTTGATGTCGGACTCTAATGTCTCGCCAATGCTATATTCTACAACTGATGGCGCTAACAATAGTAGTGCGCAAGTGACCAACTTGCTTGCAACTTCAATTACATCTACCATGTCTTCATTGCCTGCTTATGAGAACCGGGATCCTAGCTTCAATCGCAAAAGAAGTGACAGTGGATGTCCTTCGCTACCTGGAACAACTCCAGTAAATGCATCATCTTTACTCTCGGCTGCATTTTCAAGATCTAAAGAATGTTCTACCAGTTTAAATTCTGTGTTGGCATCTGATTTTAGTAATTTGTCATTAGGGAATGCTACAGGCGTCTCCAACCGTAACACGATTGATGGAGTTATTGGAGTAGATACGGAAGCTCCTCCACCTGAATACACTGAAATAGGTTTCAATAATATCAAGGACATCAACAAAAATGTGGATTTGCACATTTCTTCGACCACCTCTGAATTCAGCACGCCAAGTATTTTGGCTTTTAGATCTGAGAGTACCACCAATGGAACTGACAACATTGATCTTACCAGCAAGGAAAGCAAGGAAGCTCAAGAAAATAAGGGAGACATGAGTGCAATCAAAAACTATGTGGCAGCAACCGATCGTAATAGTGTTTATGAAAAGGAGAATTTAAGTAAGAAAAACTTATCTTCTAGTTTTGTTGATAGTCCTTCGCTGTCTGGCTCGCGTACCAGTCTGAAGTCTGAAAGAGTGGCGTTGTTGAGTGGTGCAGAATCAAGTGGATTCAAAGCGAATGCGAGAAATAGCACAGTTGAATCAGAGATGAGTGCTGGGAATAGTTTTGATTTGGGAGAGCGAGATGATCTTGAGAGTATAATTAATATGAACATGGGACAGATACCTACTTTAAACCTAACACCTACGCAAAACGGCATTTAAATGACATTACATTCCATTTTTGTTCTTTTTAAAATTACTTAGTTATATACAAGCCTACTTTTGTTTAACCCTTGATTTTACAAAGCACTTTTCTTCCAGCATACATGGAAAGAATAATTTTGGTTACTGATGGATGGGACACCTACCTAGGAAGGAGATTGGAATTCTCGAAATTTTAAATTTTTTATGAAATTATTTACAGGAAGTAGATATAAAAAAACTCGAAGATATTCTATGAAGAGAAGTGTTTAGCTAATCCTTGTATTGGATCATTTTTTCTTCATCAGTTGGCTCTGTTCTGTAAATGTCTCCGTTAGTGTTCATGTATTCTAGCGCTCTCTGCTGGGAAGACACAATCTTGGACTCTAATTTTCTGTCCAAAGGTGCTTCAAAGACAGAGCCTGCCAAAACTACGTGGTCTGTATATGGGTCAATGTTGAAAGCCAGATATTCTATCATGTCTCTTTCGGTTTCTGTGAATTCGGTTTCGCCACGTTTCTTAATGATCCATTTTTGTTTTGTGTTGAATTGGTAGATGATTTGACAAAGTAGGGTCGAGCCGTCCTCGTGAGGAAAGGCGTTGAAAGACAAGAGCTTTGGCGGGGAGTTGAACTTGACAAGTTCCCACTGGATCAAAGCCTTTGGCAACGCAGCCTGTCTCTTGCCTAGTTGGAAGTACACGAATTCGGACACATCGCTACGAACGCTTTCCACTTTACGTTCCGCAAATGCCTTGTTAACCTTGACAAACTCGGTGATGGCACTATTTTTCCATTTCACAAACTGCGGCTTGTAGCCTTTGCCCATCCCGCTTTTAAACTGGTACACTTGCACCCAGTTGAAGCAGAAAAGCTTCACTCTGCTCCACAGAGCACGGAGGGTCTTGAGTGGGGCCGAAAGCGGGAGATGGGAGTAGCTGACAGGGATGTATGGATCATGGGGAACACCAACCTTGTTGAGGGTCGGACGCTGTTGCTGTTGCTTCTTCCTGCTCTTGGCACCTATGCCAACGGCAGGGTCTTTCTTGGTGATAATGTCAGTCGTTGAAGCAAACCTGACAAACGTGCATTGCAGATTCCGTGCAGCTGGGGAACGTACCCCCAATGTGATGGATCTCGTGAGCATGGCGGTTATATGAAGATAGTTCGTCTGGCGCTTCTCCAAAGAACAGCCTTTAATGATCTGCAATGGAGAGGTGTTGTATAAAGGTCGACTTCTTTCTTTTTTCTCCACCAAGATGGAAATGTTGTCTGAGTCGTTTTTTTGGCTTCCTCGGTGGAGGCGCGACACGGCTTTCTGTCGTGGCCACTCAGTGTCGGTATTCAACGTCAGAGTCGGAATCTGAGTTGACGGCAGAGGCGTTGATGTTTCTGTTGTTGGTGGTAGAGGGTCCATGGCGGGAAACGCCGTGCTCCACACGACGTCTCTTGGAAGTCTGGTGGGGTGCAGCGTCGGCTTCGACGAGCGTGGCGTCGTTTGTGAGGCTGGATGTGTTGAAGATGGACGAAGCATCGCCCGGGACGTCATCTGAGAAATGACTGTTCGGATGGCTAAAGGGCGTGTCCAGCTGAACGTGCTCCATCATGGAGCGGTTGGCACTCCTGTTGCTGTCTGCGCCATCTTCGTAAGCGGCATCCTCCTGCTCGGATCCCCCTTCATCCTCAGCGACTCTGCCGCCAGCATCCTCTTCTCCTTCGTCGTCCGACAGCGTCACCTTCCGCAAGTCACGGAGCGTGTTCATTGTCTGTAGCAAGAACGGACGAATCTCGTTGATTTCCATTAAACTTAAACCGGTTAACTCCAAGTACTCGTCGTCGACCATTGCAAAACCTTGACGTGTCTTGAGCATGCGAATCTCCCGCAGATCCTGGATGAGGGACCGTAGCTCATGCGGAGAATCGATGAAGTCGTCTGAGCACACATCGAGAAGAATCTTAGAGGTCGGGATCCAATGCCAAGGCAGCTCGCTGACTCTCTCCTTTCTTTGCTGCTCCTCGATATACTTGGCTTTCAAGAAGGGTACGCTGAGCCAGTCAGGAATGACTATACTGCACTTGTTTTGCTTCTTCAAAAGGACAGCAAGCCACAAAGACACCTCTGTTCTTTGCAATGCCTTCATCTTGGGCATGCTCGGTCCGATAAGCTCAGTTCCGTTCATCGTGTACCTTGGTAAAATGTAAATTGGCTCTTGTTCAGCCAAAAAGGCAATTTCTTTCACCGTCAGACTGTGTGCCGCTAGCTGACTCTTCATTGTACTTTCCCGGTGATAGTCAAAAGAGAGAAATCTTTGTTTTCGTCTGCATGGGTTCAGCAAAACAAAACTGTGAGCAGGTTTGTGTCAAGGAAAGACGAGCTTATTTCGTGGATGCTTCTTCTCAAAAGCGTCACATGTATTTCGCGTTCCATATGTTGAACATTTTTCAAGAGTTTGCGAGGACTCTTCGTCAAACACAAGGGAACGGAAACATCAGTTTCAAAGCGAGGGGGACACGGGCGTCATGGACTTCGATCCACTTTCATTCTTTGAACCGGAGCCCAAAATTGCGATTCAAAATACAGACAACGAAAACGTTGGAAAATTGCACAATAATGATATAACTGAAGTCGGAGGGAACTCAAGTGAAACATCAGAAGAAACAGGTGCTCGCAAGAATGAAGATTGTGCTTCAGGAGAAAAAGATGGCACAGTACGACTGCAGGTACTTGATCTTCCGATAGTCAACACAAGTCTACCAGCTGGGGTTCTCTCCACGCTTTTAAAACTTTTCGAGCCTGATCAAACTAAGAATTTTGGTCCAGCCTCTCAAGCTACACATCCAACCTCGGCACAAATGACAATGCTTGAACTTGAAAAGTACCTTTCCTGCAAAAGAATTACTACATTGCAACTTGAAGAGTTGTCAAACTTCTTGAAGCGCAATATCCAATCGACTTTGACATTAACATATCTTCCTAAACAAGATCACACTGGAATAACGTCTTTCCTGACCAAGGTCATATCCTTTCCCTTTTTGAACTACACAGAAGAAGAAAGGGACAGTATATACAACTTAGCCTCGCATGTAATGACGGCTAACTCCTCACCTGCTCTCAAGGGTGATACGACCAGAGTCGTGGAAATTGAAGGGTTATCGAAAGACATCTTGCTCTATGAACCAGCATTGACTGAAGATAAGATAGGTAACATAACGTGGGGAGCATCTTTAGAACTAGCGAAACAGATTGTTAAAGACAAAACGTCTGTATGGCTTCCAAAACCTGCAGCAGCTATGATGACTCCGATTTTAGAACTTGGTGCGGGAACGGGGTTGGTAACTATTGTTTTAGGATTACTTGGTTACAGAGTAGTTTCTACAGACTTGCCTGAAATTGTGGATAACTTGACAAGAAATATCGAGCTAAACCAATTAGAATTTGTGAAATCGAGTCCAGCGGAAAAGATAGTAACTGATTCATTGGTACATGTAACGTCTCTCGATTGGAGAGCGCCTAATGAATTTCTGGATAGGACAATGTGCCTCAACGGTTATGAAACCGTTCTTTTGTCGGACCCAGTATATTCAACGTCTCATCCTTACTGGGTGAGAGATGCAGTTTCTGCAGTTTTGTCCCAATCCGAAAATGCTCATGTGGTATTCATGGTGGGACGACGTGACAGGTTTGAAGATGTCAGGGAGTGTTTATGGCAGCTTATTTCTGATCTAGGACTCAAGCTGATATTATCACGAATCGTAGACGGATATGATGATTATGGGGTGTTGCAGTATGATTATAAGGTATACGGAAGGAAAGACCAGTAGATTGCAGCAAAAACATCCCTTTGTTGGGATTCTAATTATGCTCGTAGGATATTAAGGAGACTATAAATCTATCATTAAATATTTTTGTCGGACTCTTCTTCGTGACTGTCGTAGTGTTCCTCATCGTACGACTCTTCACTCGCGTTTTCAGGGTTGAACCCCATGTGAATTCCCAAAAATCCTAGGTTGGTTTTCCCGTCAAGGCCATCTTCGTTATCACTACCATCCAAACCGCCCTCTTCTTCACCATCGGTGGAAAACACATTGTCACCAGTTTTAAAATTTTGTTCACTGTCTTCGCCTTTGGAAACAAATGGCCCTAGTTCTTCCTTGGAGTTATTTTCTTTACCCAACATATAGATACTGTCATCATCAGACACGCCCATTTCTTCCTCATTCTCAATTATATGAGAAACCAAGTCAGGTGGAGCATCTGCTGTGGCATCAATGTCAATCTTAGAACTCTCCATGCCCTTTTCAATTGTCCTTTCGATGTTTAGACGGTGCTTTATAAACAACAACTTAGGGTAAGTCACTTTTTCACCATTTTTGATTATTCGAGCTAACCTTTCTTCACTTGGATCTGACAGAATATACATATAGTCACTGAGGACAATTTTGGGAAATAACGTTATCGTACCGCTGAAATTTTGCAAGAACAAATTGGACCAATCACTTTCAAGGAGATTGGGGAAGAGTTGAAACTCCTTAACGAGTTTCAACCATTTGATAATTTCAAGTTTGATTAGGTTTTCTAAGTAACTCAATATGAAACCACCTCTGAATGTCTTACCCTTGGATCTTACTATCGGTTTACCTATATCACCCCTATTTTTAAAAATCCAAAGCATGACATGAGGGTTGACCTGCGAGACGATTGAGAACTTGGTATTGAAATACATATTTAATGTTGATAGTGGAACATCTGTTCTCAAAGACCCATCTTTCCACTTGCTTCCTAATGAAAAAGGTCGAATAATATTATCTTTGGTTTTTTCCATCAACATGACTGGATTCAAAATACCAGGAACTGCAGCCGAAGCTAACATTGCAGACCAGATACAACAGTTTGGTGAAGTGATGTAGTTACATAGAATGGTTGGCGAATGAATATCGTTTGGAACTGTGGAGATGTTCAAAATCTTGCCTGTTCTTTTGTAAGACTCTTCAAACGTTGTTGATCCTGTAGTCCACCATTGTGCCTTCTTTGCCCATTCAACAGAGTCAAATCTTGCACCTGTATCCCACCATCTTTTCACCCATTTCCACATCGGCTCATCCCCAAATGCATTGATTTTGCAAGACAACTTCGGAGAAATGAGATTCAACAGCTCGTCATTATGCCTCGTGGCGGCTAGTGCCGCTATCATTCCTCCTCCGGACGTCCCACTGAGAATCTTTGGCATCAAATCATTTTCTATCAAGGCCTTCAAAACACCAAAGTGATTGTAGCAAAATGAAGCGCCACCACTCAGAACTAGGCATGTCCTGCCAAAATTCTTGTTTATAATTCTAAAAAACATCCGTTTTTCTCGAATATTTATAGCGTCTGATTCTATAACTAAATTCAAACACTTCACCACTTCGGTATTGTACTTTTCAATCAACTTTTTAGTCCCATAATGGCAATGGGAGTACATCAAAGGGTTTTCAGTACCAGCAAAATTTGATTTGACGCACGTCTGTAGGACAACCATCAGATCCTCGTACTTTTTGGCGTGCCTTAGCTTTCTCAAATTCCCTATGGTTCTTCTCAAATTTCTCCAGTCGTAATATTTGTATCTGTCTTCGTTGCACCATTCATCCAGCTTTAGGTATTTATCTAGGTTTCTCGAGTTTTCTATGTATTCGGCATAATTTGCCGAACCTCTTAACTTTTCCACTAACTCAGTTCTAGTTTTATCTCTAGACATCACTAACTTCTCTGAAAATGCAATGGACAAGCGTACCAAAAAGTAGAGTATTGACAAGATTGTTGTCCAACATATGATGAATGTCAATAGTGGGTATCTGAGTATAGTGAATGTAAGAGACGTCTCGTCGATGTTATTCCCGGGGGAGTGAAAAGAGGCTCCAGGCGACGACTCGTGACCATCCGACAGAAAATCGCTCGTCGGTTCAATAGAGGGACTTTTGGGTGTTTTCAAAGAGACTCTTGGGGTCTTCGGCGTGTCGAAGTTGCTAGCGATAGAATTCCTTTTCCTCGTTTTGTTGTATACTGGAGTCCAATCAGACTGCGACGAAATAGTTTCCACCCCGGAGCTTCTTTGTTTCACATTATTCAGGGAAACCGCTGAGTCTGCTCTCGTCAACGTGTCTTCCATTGATAGTGACCTGTCGTCATAGCTGAGAGCATCCCGGAACACCTTTATGTGTGTATCGTCAATGTAGTCCGTGTCAAATCGGGCACGGGGTCCCAAAACGTGATCCTGGCTGGATGAATTGTCGTCACTGCCTCTAACTTTCATTGTGTCGTCCATTATTAGCTCGCGGATCGTATTGCTCTAGCTTGCTTGTGTCTTATAAGTTTCACTCCTGCTCTGCTGTCAAGCCCTAGGCAGCCCTTCGTCATTTAATGCTCCTCAGCCATTGCTCCATCATCCGTTTATCGCATTCATCTGTTGCATGATAGGGAGCGAGGAAGTTCTTCGCGCGAGAAGCGGGGCTCTGCTGGAACATGAATGTGAAGGCACTGAAAAGTACCCAAAGAAACACAGGAAGATGCAGCCGGTATCATAGATGGTAGCAGAACAGAGAGTATAAAGTAGAAAACAAGAGCTAATAATTATAGAAAATATGGGAGACATTACTATTGACGCAGAGGAGAAAGCAGGCACGTACCCGTTGCCAAACATAGAGTACTTAAACTTCAACAAGTCGTTGATTGAAGGAGTGCACAACGACCTCCCAAACCCATACTACAAGCAGCAGGCGTACATCGCCAATGAGCGTAGTGACTATGCACATCCTACAGAAAATATCATCCGTTCGATCATCCGGGAGTACGGACCGTTTAGTGAATTGACCGAGGAGAAGCTAGAGAATCTTATTGAGAAGGATGCTGCCGCAATGGATGTGGACGGCGGCAATGAAGATAGTAGTGGTAACGGTGTCGGTAGAAGTGAAGTTTTGGAAATTTCTCCTTCTGCCGGTATGGAGAAGGAGGTGGAGTTCTACAAAGCGAGAGATGAGATATTGACGTGTGTGCGAGAGGCATTGGGTTCTTCTACTCTCACCCTTGACTTTGTGTCTCTCCTCTTGTCCTCTGTTCGGCCAGCTGCGGGTTCGTCGTCAATGTCGCCTCATTTGAAAGAGAGCATCAAAATTGGATCTCTCTCTTGCGACCGTATTGTGCCCAACATCGCTGACCCAGATGAGAAGCGGAGACAACATAACATAGAGTCAATGACGCTTGGTCGCGGTTTGAAGCTCCAGAGCTTGCAGAAGTCTGCCAGTTTGATCAAGGATTCCGTTCAGCAATTGAAAAAGAATTTGGATGACGAAAACACGTATTGGAATGAGGTCTTGGACGTGTTGAAAGAAAACGAGTTGATCACCACAGTGTCTGCTCCTATCACGCTTCCTGGATCGGCGGGAGGGTTTTCTAAGCAGGGGAGTTCGCTGAAGCAACGAAGAGTTCTTTCTGTCAAATACGGTTATGGTGACTCTGGTAGTGATTATTTTGACAATGGTATAGCCATCCTGCAGAAGGGTGAGGGGGGGCATATTGTCTTTGAGAAGTTGAATAAAAACGAGAGGGAGAAAACTTGGGGTGGCCCGAAAATAGTTTCTGTGAAGATATTCAAGAAACCAACTTATGCTAATGAGTCTCCACAACTTATTGGTCAATCTGATTCTTATGGAACTTTACAGAGGGAAATCATACATGAAGACGAATCCTTTGTTTCAAAAGTGAAAAACTCTAGATTTTTTATTTTCGAGAATGAGCTTTTCTGGCATTTGATGAAAGAAGCAGCCGGCTTGATAACCGTTCAAGTTAATGTTGTTGATTCGTGTATCAAAGTAGATCTTGTTGGCTGCTACCTACAGTTGGAAGCATTGAGCATTGATTCGGAAGAGGCAAAAACTCCGACACCTCAGCTGCCTGCAAACAACCGTGCAGACCAGATCATCAAATTCTTCCGAATCCTCTTATGTGCAAATAACTACAAAAACATCCAGAAACTTCGTATCCCACCCGTGGCATTAAGCAAGGAAGTTTCTGCTCAAAAAAATAAACACGGCGTTCTGATACGTCCTGTCATAATGTACACTAAACATAACCATATGATCGTTCAGTTCAAGGAGTTATTAAGGTCACTTCTGTTGGAGCTTGGGACGGATGATGCAAGGGCTACGGAAATAATAGAGAGGGATTTGATTGTGAAAAAATACGTCAATGATCCTAACCTGTTACAACAATTCCAGGAGCTGAAACGATGCTACAATAATGACCCATTCCTCAGAGTGTACTCGAAAATGGCTCCGAGTAGCTTACTTATTTTGAAGAACGGTAATTTGAAAGTGTGGATCGAGCTTAGCTCAAGCTATGCGACGCTTCATATTTCGATGAATGTCAAGGTGACCAAACTCGATAGTAAGGAAACCCTCCTTGAGTCGACATTTAATGCGAAGGAAGACGTAGAACAATGCTTATCGTGGATCTTAAAACAACATAAGTAAATATCTGAGACATCTTATTTACGTTGCATGCTATGTAATCTATAAAATTAAGTAATCTGTACTACCACCACTCTGAAGGGACTGTCACTGCTTCGACTTTAACATCGTCGATTGTTTCTGTTGCAACGTCAACTAGATTATCGTGGATTTGGGCTTTACCAGTCGCTTCTTCATCTCTATGATTGGATTCATCCATCATTTCAACGACGGTACCTTCTTCGATGTTCACCTTTGCCAGGATACACTTCAGCGCCAAGTTCGAATCCTTGACTCTTTTATCAAAGAGAGGGCGCAATTTTTCAATCTGTTTTTCTAATGCTGGCTTCTCCTCTTCCAAACAAGAATCGCCATAAAAGACATACATGTTTTCACAAATGAACTCTACTCTACCATTTTTGACCAACGGAAACTTTCTCGACTCATTTTCAGTCTGATTCCAAATATTAAAAAAGGAGGCATCTATGGTTTCTACTGTAACACCAAAAAAGACATCCTTGATTATTATTCCGTTAAAATAGATATGCTCGGGACTATCGGAAGCATGTTTTTCCTTCTCTTCTTGTCTAGAAACTCTTTCAAGTGACTTTTTCTTTTCTAAAGCCTTATATTTCTGATAGATTTCGTGAGCCTCTTGCAATTTGATATCTGGAATTTTAGAGGACTTTACAAGTTTCACAAATACCGAACGATGGGGCTCTGGATCATGAGCTTCAGAAAAAAGACCCCAAGACTCAGCAAGCTCGTGAACAAATCTTCTTTGGACTTCTCTCATGGGACGGAAATGATGAGATTGTTTTATCTCTGAGTTGGATAAAGATCTAAAAGAAGATTCCATGGTGTGTGCTAACAATTGACTGAATATTTCCTCAATGCCTTTACACCAAGCGGCTTGCTTTGCATAGATGTTAAGGGTGAATGGAGTGTATATTGACTCAACTGTTCGCATACGCAACATGACTTCGGTATCTTTAGCTCTTGCAGGATTGAGACCCAATGCATCAAATAATAAGCGATTTCTTCGTTCCTTCTCGCACATTTCATCGCATGCTATATGAGGAGTGAAAGATTCATCATCGATTGAAGAGCCATTAACTTCAGCATTATGCGAACTTTTTGATTCTTTGATCATATTTGCAACTGTATAGCAGAGCAATGGCTGTTTTCTCCTTCCACAGTTGCACGTCACTGTAACATGTTCTTGGCAGGGCAAAGCTTCATTGCATAATTTTCCAAAATGGCAAGTTTGTTGGCATTTGTGGCCACATTTTCTAGTTTTCAAACATTTTTCCGTGCACTTCTTTTGGCAATCACCCGGCTTATGGCAAACTTTTTTACATTCATGTTCGCCACATGGTAGCTTTTTCCCACATAATCTGAAGCAACTGACTCTATCCTGATAGCACATCACATTAGTGACCAAATTTTGTTTCTCACACTGACATCTCTTTGTAACCAGCATGGTGCACTTTGGACAAGAAACATCATCTTCGTGACAATGATGAGGTTCTGGTCGATGGCCACAAGTTGTCTGCCTAGCACACTGGAACGGGCAGATCGGTAACGTTGTACCACATCTGACTGGAGCAGGGACCACCGTACGACCACAGTTGCAGACCAAATCATCAGATGAAGATTCAAGGCAAGGGCTACATGAGCCAGGATGACAAGTGGCTTTGCACCGATGTTTGCCGCAAGACAACAGCTGGTTACACTCTTTCTGGCAGGTGTGTACATCTTCAAACTCAACGGACTCGGCTATTGCACTAGTGATGATGTTTTTACGCAAATGCTTTTTGATTAGTTTAGAACGATCGAAGGCGACTTGTCTGAATTCACAACAGACTCTGGTACAATAGTGGCGTTTGCAGTTGAATTTGGCGTTACATTTGAAGGTGCAGGTTGGAGTGTAGCCTTGTGTTATTAAAGCGCAGGCGATGCTGAAACTAGTGAAGCCACAACGGCATTCTGCGTCCACTGTCCTATAGCATGGGGAACAGGGACCATCGTGACAATTCCAATAGCACTTGTGTCCACACGGAAGTCGTTTGCCACACACAGACTCACACGTGGGTATTGGGTCCAGACAAGATTTTCTCGGACTATCTAAAAGAGAATCAATCTTGGTCTTTCCACACGGACAGTAAATGAGATTGAGTGGGCTGTTGGGGCATTTGTGGCTATCTTTGTTCACTGGGTGGCAGTTCTGTTCACACTTGTGAACACCGCAATCGAAAAACTCGCCGCAGGGGTCATTGCACTCGAAGTTTCCGATCCAAGCCACCCCGTTTTCTTCCGACTTGATGGGCAACCGCTCGTGGCAGACTATCGTTTCGCTTGCCTTTCCGCAGTAACATCGAACCGAGATCTCCTCCTCGCACTCTCCACAGAGGCCCGAATGGCACTTCTGCTTGCACCTGTGTATTCCACACGGTAGAATGTCATTGCAAACCTCGTCACACGACCAGCCACGGTCGTACGGCGTTAAGACGCACGGAAGCTGTTTTGAATGCCTCCCACAACGGCACTTCAAAACGGGGCCCAGCGCAGTGCACCTCTCCATATGCGGACCCGGGTGGCACTGCAAGGAGCACTCGTGTATGCATGTCTTCAGTGGGCTCCCGCAGGTGTTACCACAGCTGTGTGGCTCCAAGACGTTCAGTGTCGGGTTGATAGACTTTCCACACCAGCACGTGTACAATTTCGGGATTTTGCTGTGACTTCGGTTGCACGACGGACACCTCCACGACTTATCGTCCTGCGTGGAAGAGCCTCTCAATGCCCAGTCCTTGATGCAGTCCAGATCGAACGCACGATGGCAGTGGTCGCATGACCACACTTTCGAAGAAGGTGTGATGTAGTCCGTGCACACCAGACAAGTGTAGGTTGAAGCCCCGATTTCCTTCAGTATCGACGTCCGCAGATCATCTGCACCTCGTTCCGCTCCTCCTTCATTTAGCGGCTCTAGCATAGTAGTTGTTCTTCGTCTCTACTTCACAGATTTGTATTCCCAGAGCCACAACGAAAGATACAAGGGGTCGTAGAAGAAGGGCATCACAACTAAAAGGAAGGTGAAAATTTCTGAAAATTCATGTTTGGGCCGATCGTCTCCAATACACCCGTGCACCGGATCACCTTTTCTCCCTGTTTTCCCCTCTTGGCCTCTCGCAGAGGGCCAGACAGGGTGTAGCAGTGGCATTTGAGATACTACAGTCACCAGCAGAGTGGGGAAAACGACGGTCCGGAGCACCAGGAGGAGGGAAGAGGCTCTACAGCTAAGTCACAAACCACAGCAATGGCTACTTTATCAGACCCATGGAAGAAGAGGTATGTGCAGGCCGCGTGGGCCGTGTTGCAAGGCCGGGAAGAAGCACAAGGAGCTGCACAGTCTTTGGACGGGGGTGCCAGCAGTCTTCAACGCCAATGTGATGTCAGATGTCGACGCTACCGGAAAGTGCATGAATACTAACATGTTTTGAACCTGTGTGCGGTATTTTCTGGTTTCTACCGGATCTTATCGTTATCACGCTTGTGTTTGAATCCCATTTCTTTTCTACAGAGACGCATGGAGATACCAAGGTGTCTTCTCGAAGTCGCAGAGATTTAAGGGCCTGTTCCCAGGGTTCTACATTGGCCTTGGTGCGTTTGTTGCATACTCCGTCTACGAAGATTATCTTGCGCCAAAGCCTCACCATTAGCTCGAGAGGCTCCCCACGATGTATCTATAGAATGCGAACTCATCTTCTGGCCCCAACTTATTTATTACTACTTTTATCGACAACACCGTCATTGTTAACTACTTTGTTTGTTTAATAAAATTTACTTAATAAAATTCTTATTATTCTCGTACAGAACGGACTTTTTCGATAACTATACAGAGGGTGATTAACGTCATACTGTTTTGTTTTGCTTTGCTTAGCTTAGCTTAGCTTAGCTTAGCTTTGGCTTCCTCCTCAGCTAATTTCTTTGCGGAGAACGGTCTCTCCTGCTGGTTCTTTTAGCTTCCTCCCAGCAGGTCCAATGCCAGACCCTTCCCTTCTGCTCCACCGCGTTCTTCCAAATCCAGTCTCCCGAATCCTCGTCGAAGGCACCCACAAGTTTCTCTCGACAAATGCCACAGACAACCTCGTTGGACGACGACTCTGGAATCGTCACTGTGTGATTTGGTGCATCGCTGAGATCGATCTTCTCGTCCCGGTCTCTGTAGTCTCTGCCGGCATCGTTTCTGTCAGTGGTGACGCTAACGGACGTGCTAGCCAAGGCCAGACGGGCGTCCTTCTTAGTCTCATCGGATTCCCTGTAGTCGTCGAATTCCACCCATGCAGATTCTGTCAAGTACCATGATCTATTGACAACACCGCCCAAGCCGCTACCGCCCATGGTCAACCTCTGCTCAACACGGTCATGCCACTCGTTGTGCTTTCTCATTAGTGAGTCCCCCTCGGGAGATGCTGCAAATCTCTTCGAGCACCTGGTACACTGATTGGGTTTGAAATCGTACAGTAGAGAGATTTCTTTTTGTGTTGGGTTGTGATTGCTGATCATCGACTGTGTCAAGGTGAAGTCCTCAATAATGGCTTCTTTGGTAGGTCGAATAAACTTGAAGTCGACCTGAGGTCCTGAAGGAGAAGAAGACTGGGTCTGTTGTGATGAAGTCTTCTTTAACATGTTCTGGAGAAATGAAATGTCCTTCAACCCCAACGGATTTGTCATGTTGTTGCTGTTGTTATTACCGTTGCTGCTGCCGTTGCTGCTGCTGTTGTTGTTGTTGATGTTGTTGATGGCTTGTGCGTTAGAACCCGATGCAGGTGGACTTTTCCCTATCACCGAGCTCATCATATTGAACAAAGCTTGTGCACTAGCGGCATTGTTTGGGGGAACTCCAGATGTCTGGTTGTTATCTTTACCGAAGTTTAGCAGGCTCTGTAGTTGTGATGCAGAAAAGTTACTTTTCTGCTGCTGCTGCTGTTGTTGTTGTTGCTGTTGCTGTTGTTGTTGTTGCAGCTGCTGCTGCCTTAATATATTCAACTTCAAGATTTCATCTTCTCTGATCGACTGTAATTGTTTTGCTACCTCGTCGAGCTGGGATTTCGGAATTGCCGAATTTGAGCTGAGAATGCTCTTCAACTGGTTCAACAACTTGTGTCTCTGCTGGCCCTTTTCATCGGATGGAACGGATTTCAGCCTCGAGCTGACCAATGCTAAAAGATCGTCAGTTTCTTTGATCAAATTTGGTTTCAAGTTGACAGCCATGTTCATACTCATCGGGGTGGAGTTCGGGGTGGAGGCGTTTGAGTTCGAATTCGAATTCGAATTCGAGTTAGAAGAGTTTAGGCTTGATACATAATTTATACCAGGATTCGAAGCTGCCGTGACCTTCATCAAAAACTGCTCGATTTTGTCCAACTGGTTCGAATCAAACAAGGGCAACCCGGTCAGGGCGGTCGGAAGCTTCCACGTCTTGAACAACTTGATCAACTTGCATCTCGTCTGATCGTCGACTAGTCCGTATGTTCTCGTGAATGTCTTGAAGATGTTGTTCGAGAAGAGGGAGGTGTAGGGGAGGCCGATGTTTTTCGATATCGAGTCCAGCAAGTACAGCGAGAACAACTTCTGCGACGGAATGGCCTTATCGATTCTCTTCTCAATTGCAGCGGTGATCTGCGGTGCAAACGTGCTGTTTTCCTGGGCTAGGTTGGTGTGTGACTCGATGATCGGTCTCGAGTTGAACGTGAGCGATTGCAACGAGTTGTAGTAGTCTTCCGCAAACTGGTCCGCCGTGACATCAGGCTGGCTGGTGGGGAATTCGCCTAGTGACATGGTTAGTCTCGCTAACGGCGTTGTGGGTGTGGTGGTTGTGATGGTGCAAGTACACGTGGACGAAAGCTGTTCCGCACAAGATAAGTCTATACCGTTATAAAGCGTCCTTGCGGCGATGTCTCCGGCCCGTGGCTAGCTGCAGCGGTCTCTTGAGCTGTCCTACCGGCTTCCACTCTGCGATGCTGTCCCAGAGAGCCCTTTCCGGAGCCACCTCCCCCTCCTCTCCTCTTCTTGCTCCTCTCTGTCTCCCTCATCCGTCTTTACCCCCGGTGTCTCCTCCACCTCCTCCCTCACGCTCAGCTTGCAAGTCGAGGGCGAAAACTTTTTCGGCAGCGGCGAGGATGGAGAGCTCCCGAGGACGAGTGGCCACAGACAGTCTGAAAACAGGAGAAGAAGAGATACTGTTCTGTGTGGCGTGGTTGACGGGTATGGAGGGGAGGGACTGCGACGAGGGCCAAGCCAAGTGTACACAAAGCCAAAAGCACTCCCACCGCAACCAGACCCACCTATGTTCGTGCAAAAACCATTCGCCACAGCGCTAAGAGCATCCGCCCGTTGTGCCGCCAGACAGACAAGAGCCGGCTACGCCGTGACCAGCTACAGAGGATTCGCCTCAACGAGATGCTTCCTCAATTCCGAGAAGGCTGCCGGCAAGGAGACGGCGGCAGAGGAGGCCAAGGAGGCCGTCGAAGAGGAGCTGTCGCCGATCGAAAAGGACCTGAAGGAGTTGAAGGGCAAGCTCGAGAAGAAGGAGAAGGAGCTTGTCGAGATGAAGGATCTGTACGTGAGATCGATTGCCGACTTCCGGAACTTGCAGGAGACGACTAAGCGGGAGATTCAGAAGGCCAAGGACTTTGCGCTCCAGAAGTTTGCCAAGGACCTGATCGAGTCGATCGACAACTTCGGCCATGCGCTCTCTGCCGTCAAGGAGGACTCTGTCAAGGCGAACGACGAGATCAAGCAGCTCTACGACGGTGTCAAGCTCACCAGAGACGTCTTCGAGAAGACCCTCACCAGACACGGCATGAAGAAGATCGACCCGATGGACGAGGAGTTCGACCCCAACAAGCACGAGGCCACCTTCCAGGCTCCGAACCAGGAAAAGGAGCCAGGCACCGTCTTCTTCGTGCAGCAGCCGGGCTACGAGTTGAACGGCAGAGTCTTGAGAGCCGCCAAGGTCGGCATTGTCAAGGCCAAGGATTGAGCAGCCTCTGCACCGTAATGACGTTTAATGACTCTGTTAGATAGAAAGATACCGCGTGTGTGTCACGTCTCCTGCACGTCGCCAGTATCCTAATTTTGTACATACATATCCTATCTTGTTCTTTCACACAGTTTGAATCCCCACCTCGTAAGCTATATACACGAAGCCGCTCCGCTCACACGATGAAGCGGTAGTGGTGCTTCTTGGGCTCTGCCACATGCAGCCGCAGCCTTCGTCCGCCCACGCTAGTTCCCTTCAGCTCCCGGACAGCCCTCTCGGCAGCCTCTGCCGACCCAAACCGCACGTACCCGTACCCCAGGCTCTCCTGGGTCACCGGCGAACGTGGCAGGCCGACCCGCAACGCCTGGTACGGCCGCAACACCTTCATCAGCTCGTCCTCCGAAGCATCATGCGGCAAGTTTCTCAGCATCACCACGTCGTACCTCGTTGCCTGCCCTCTCCGCTGCTCCGACCCGAGCGTCAGCTTGATAGGCATGTTGTTCAGCACGTAGCTCTGCATCTGCACCGCAGCCCGTCGGGCATTCCGCTCGTCGGCAAACACCATCCGCCCGTGGCCCTTCGTGTGTTCCCGATCCGCCGCCATCTGCAGATGCAGCTCCTCGATGGGCCCGTAGCGTTCAAATGCCTGGCTCAGCTGTTCCTTCGTCACGTCGTACGGCAGCTGCGACATGTACACCACCCGTGCCAGCGGTGGGCTCGTCTCGGGCCCTGTCTTTTGCAGTAGCCTCCGCCCACTGCTGAAAAGTCTCTGTGTAACTGTCCTCATCTCTGAGCCCTCCTTACCCTACCTCTATTCCCTACTCTTCTACTTCCCGTCTCCTCCTTCACTGCTCTTTCTTCTGCTTGTGATCTTACCTAAGCCGAGGGAGGCTCGCGGAAGCCTTTTCCGTCATCACCAACCTCTTGGGCTCTTCTTGACACTGCGGTGATCTCAGGCGGTTTTCCGCTATTGTGCCTCCTCCGCCCTGGCGTTGGCCTGGGCAAGCTCTGAGCCGTCCACCCTGCACTTCGGCACCGCATAAGACACAGCACATAGACAGTAGCATGGCAGGCCCGCCTCCACCTCCGCCTCCGCCTCCTCCGGGGATGCCTCCGCCACTGGGCGGCACTCCACCGGCGCCTCCTGCCATCACACCGGACAGAAACGCACTCTTGGGAGACATCAGAAAGGGTAAGGCGTTGAAGAAAGCGGTCACCAACGACAGGTCGGCTCCAAAAGTGGGTAACTCCTCAGGGTCTAGCAGCAACGCGGGGTCTAGCATGCCAATGGGCATGGGGATGCCTCCGTTCGGCAATGCTCCTGCGTTGCCGAAAAGCAGCAACGGGAATTCGTCGGGGGCACCAATGGCCCCCTCTTCTGCTCCCCAAGTCCCTCAATTGGGCGACATCTTTGCCGCAGGCGTGCCGAAGTTGAAACACGTCTCGTCCTCTGGTGGAAAGCCCGCCAACGCACCACCAAGCGCCCCTGCCCTGCCAGCCATGCCAGCCGGCAGGCCAAAGAGAAACTCCTCCAACTTCTCTGCAGCACCACCCTCAGCGCCTTCCACAAACAACCTCCGATCTGTCAGCAGGCCATCTGCGCCCTCTGCAGCGCCTCCGGTGCCGTCCGGAGCACCACCCATCCCAACGAGCCATCCGCCAAAGACAACCTCATCGGGTCCATCCGTGCCTACACAGAGACTGAATATACCTGCAAACCCACACAGGAGAACAGACTCAACGAGTTCTCTGGCGTCCGTTGTTTCGGGGAAGTCGAAGCCGAAAATGCCCTCTAAAAGACCAACCATCTCATCTCCAACCTCTTCATCTGCGGCGCCACGGGCGCCAGCCCCGTTCGGTGCTCCTGCGCTGCCAAATGCTCCACCTCCAATCCCAGGAGCTCCTCCTTCGCTTTCAAACATGTCTGCTCCTCCTGCGCCACCTCCGCCGTCTGCTCCACCACCTCCAAGCTTTGGGGCTCCGCAAGCGCCAGCGCTTCCTAAATCAGCTGCACCTCCGGCTCCTTCAGTACCTCCACCTCCACCGTCATTTTCATCACCATCGCCGGGTTCTCCTCCGCCACCACCACCCGCTCCTCCTCCGCCACCTTCATTTTCATCACCATCGTCAGGTCCTCCTCCTCCACCTGGCCCACCTCCTCCACCTTCCTTTGGAAGTGCTCCCACAGCAAAGAAGTCGTCCACACCTGCCCCTTCAGGCGGCGGATTACCTTTTTTGGCTGAAATCAACCAAAGGAGAAACGAGTCTTACGTTGTTGATGACAATGCGGTTGCCAAGAAGTCATCTGCTCCTACCAGTGCACCTATCGAGCAAGAAAGAATAATTGCATCTGCTCCTGCTGCTCCAAGTGCTCTTGCTCCAAATACTCCTACTCCAAGTGGGAATCCACTGCTGGATGAAATGATGCGGAGGACACACAAATCAACAATCAATTCTTCGTCTTCTAACAGATCCTCATCCGCTTCAACTCCTCCTTCGGCACCAGCACCTCCTCGACTACAAGCACCAAGCATCCCAAAAATGCCTCCTCCTGTTGCTGCACCGTCTATTCAGTCATTCAATGCTCCAAAGGCACCTGCTCTTCCCACATCAGCTGCACCTCCGGCTCCGCCAGGACCCCCACCTCCACCATCATTCCAATCAGCGTCATCATCTGGTCCACCTCCTCCACCTGGCCCACCTCCTCCACCTTCCTTTGGAAGTGCTCCCACAGCAAAGAAGTCGTCCACACCTGCTCCTTCAGGCGGTGGGTTACCTTTTTTGGCTGAAATCAACCAAAGGAGAAACGAATCTTACGTTGTGGACGATAATGCGGTTGCCAAGAAGTCATCTGCTCCTACCAGCGCACCTGCAGAACAGGATATGGCAGCGGCATCTGCTCCACCTGCACCTGCTGTGCCTAGTACCCCTGCTTTGAGTGGGAATCCGTTAATGGATGAAATTATGAGAAAAGCTCACAAATCGTCGCCGAGTTCTGCATCTCGAATCAGCACCCCGGCTCCTCCTTCTTTGCCTCCTACAACTCATCCAAATATACAAGAAAACATCCCACCTGCATTTGCCATGCCTGGAATGGGTATACCTCCAAAAGTATCACCTTCTCCTCCACCGGCTCCTCCTCCTGCTCCCTCGCTACCACCCTCTGCTCCTCCTTCCTTACCAACTATTTCCGCTCCACCAGTACCGCCAAATCCACCTTCTAATTTTCCATATAACGATAGAAACTCGACACAAAATGATACATCCGATAATTCTAGTATATTTTCGGAGTCTACAACCGCTACCTCATCGTTCAGAAAAAAGCCACCACCTCGTCCTCCATCCCAACCACCATCAGTACAAAACGATTATACTTCTCCCTCCAAGTCGCAACCCCAATTGTCGGTCGATACCAATTCATTAAACCTTACCTCTGCTCCAACTGTTTCACCTAAAACCTCACGATCGAATTACCTCAGTGCGGTTGAAGATAGCTCACTGTTCACAAACATCAGATCTAAATTTGGAGGAGGCGTTTTCAAGCATCACCATCAAAAGTCGCCAGGAGGGGCACAAAGTAGCGATCGAATTGTTCAAACTCAGGTTGCAGGTAACGAAATACGTAAAATTGATATTTCTGCTTACACAATCACAGGCTCGGCTGGAGGCACAGCAGCATCAGCTAATGGTAGCTCTGCATCAAATGGACATCTTAGAATGGAAAGTTCAAGGTTCAAATTTTTAGATCAAAATGAATTACCAAAACCACATACGTTTGAAGGACGGATTAAGTTGTATCCTAGCGGACGAGGGAGCAGTGTTCCCTTGAACTTGAGTGGATTTTAATGATATATATAACCGATTACATGTACAGTATTATTTTTATTGATAGTCTAATGACACAAGTATATAAATTTTTCACAGCAAAACGTGTTCTCATAACAGTCATTCATATTTACAGGTGCAACTCATTTTTCCACTAATCGCATCTCCCATCTTTCCAACCATCCTTCCATCTCTCCTTCCACAAGTTACAGTCAAATTTTGGCTTGCCTAGTTTGACATTTACCTCATTGTGGGCATTACATAACCACTTACCAAACTCGTCTCTATTGGTAACCTTTATTTTATCCTTCTTTATGTGCTCCCTAAAATCATCAGCACAATGAAAACATGGATATAAGTTCGAGAAAGAATTCATGAATTGGGAAAGGTTTTCCTGTTGGCTTTTTGTGGGTTTATCAGGATACGTGGCAGCAATAGAATGCAGTAGGGTCCATGTTGATCTTCCTAACTCCTCGACATCCGGAGGACAGTTCCTTGCGTTTGCAGCATCATTTGCCACAGCAGCAGCCGCAACTGCTATCCCAGAAGCTGCAGAGCTAGATCCTGATGAAGAGGAAGGACTGTTTTTGTTTGTAACCATCCGGAAATCAAGTAATGTATTGCAGGCACGGCATGGCTTGCCATTTTCGTCGTAGACTATCTTCCTGCCGCTTGCGCCAAAATTTGGCTTCGCTGGGTTTTTAACAGGATTATCTTCTTCAGACATTCTCTGAGTAGACCGGGTTTTAGCTCTAGTGACAGGCCAACAGGCTTGCCAAAGATTTTCTACTCATACTTGTTAAGGAAGATACACAAAGATGAAAACCTACAACTTTTTTTAGATTTGTCATCCACAAACATTTCTCGCGGAAAATGTTGTAAAGTGGTATACAACTCCGATGTTCGGCTGTTTCGAGAAACAATGGATAAGAGTACGACCAGGTGATGAAATGATAAAATACAGTCACTATTAATACTAACAAAGGTGGAGGGGGGGAAGGAACAAAAACGCATAAAACGGATATATGAGTTGCTTATATAGGATACACGTAATTCTCAGATGTCATGACAATATTGTCAATTTCCAGCAAATGAAGAGCGGCTTGACTCTCGGCAGGGCCAAATCTATCCTCCTGAGGCAGCTGTTCGTTGATTGAATTGATCAACTCTTGTATTCCGTACTGGTCTTTCTTATTATTCCGAAGCAATGCAGAAAGGGTTTTCTTGAACGTTTGGTAACGATTGTCAGATATTTCCCCATCGAAGTTTGCGTTTTCTTGAATAGTCACAGGCTTTAAGGTAGTTTCCTCAGAAATACTCAAATCATCTTGTTGAGCATCATTCATTGGTTCTTCGGTAGTTTCAGTTGTGAGCTCTGTTGATGCAACTGTCCTTGTTCTGCCGGCAGACGGAGAAGTGTCTAAGTGTTCGAGCCCTTTTCTCATTGATTCCACCTGCTCCTCTGTATCCTCATGAATCCTCACATCTTGTGATCTAGTATGCACCCTACGACGACTTGGAGTGATGGTGTATCTTGCATCCTCTTCTCCCTCTTCATCCTCTTCTTCGTCTGACGAAAGTCCTGTTTCATCTGTTTTTCTCTTTTTACGTGGTGACCTGTCTGATGCAGTTTTCTTCTTAACTTCTTTGAATAGTGAAAAGCGCAGAAGCTCTTCTGCAACCCTTACATCTTTGACAGAAATGGTCGCACTGAGTTTAATTTTCGCATGAGCAGTTGCTAAACGGATAAGAGTTTCTAGAGTTCTAGCCGTTATGGGTGTTGTCCTTGAATTCTTTGTATTCTCATCGTTTCTCAAAGATGCGTATATATCAACAATCAAGTTTTTTGCATTTTCGGTCAACATTGGCTGTTTCGTTTTGGCGTACTGTACGTATTTCTTCAAGAAAGGCATTGATAAAACTAAAGGCCTGATTACTCCATTACGATCAGTTATCGTGATACCGGCATGTAAGTTAGGATCATACTTGAGAAAAACTTTGGATGTTTTATCACCATTTGACTCTTCGACATCGAAATCACCAACTGCCAATCTGATGCTAGATTTCTCCTTTATTGGCTCACCCTCAGAATAGCCCGCTGGGACGTACCTATGCATGTTCATCACATGCTCACTGATTTTTCTGTCTCGTTCGTCATTGATGTCATCGGTGACAATGAATAACAAATCGAATCTGGATAGTAAAGAATCAGGTAATGCGATATTCTGCTGGGGTGTCTTAAATGTATCATACTGGCCATAGACCGGATTAGCGGCTGCAATAACCGCACATCTTGCATTCAACGAGGTATGGATACCAGCTTTCGAGATCGTTATAGTTTGTTGTTCCATCACTTCGTGAATAGCAACTCTGTCAACATCGTTCATCTTATCAAATTCATCGATACAAACGATACCTTGATCTGCCAAAACCATAGCACCCGCTTCAAGCTTTCTCTCACCAGTCTCCTTATCTGTGGTAACAGCAGCTGTCAAACCCACACCGGAAGAACCTCTACCTGTTGTGGTGATGGCCAAAGGAGCAGTATTCAAAACGAAACGTAGCATTTGAGACTTGGCTGTAGAAGGGTCACCAACCATGAGAATATTTATATCACCCCTCAACCTTGCACCGTTATCCAAAGTTTTGGAAGTCCCTCCCAAAAGCATCAAGAGGACTGCTTGTTTGATGTAAGTATGACCATAGATGGAAGGAGCTAGAGATTCAGCCAAAAGCTTGAATACTTGCTTTTTTCTGGAAAGTCTTACAATATTGTCTATATCCTTTGCAGTCAAGTTTTCAGTGACTCTCGTTGACGTCGATAACGCGTGGAGCTGATAAACTGAGTTTGCTAGTATAACCACCTTGAAGGCACCGTTGTCGTTCAAGCCACCACCCAAAGATCTGAAAACACCGATGACTTGGATTCTGTCACCAGGTTTCGCACAATCGGCCAAGTCGTCATCCAAAATCACATCCAACGATCTTGGTAGTTGACCAGGTGGTGCCAATTCAGGCAATTCTTGGATAGTTACCACTTGATGATCTCTGTATTTGCAATAGCCGTATTCAGTTTCGAGTTTGTTACCTTCAGCATCTTCGGTCGGATATGTGACAACGGTATTGATTGGGTCAAAACTTGTTGTCTGATCTCTATATTCTCTCGAAAAGAAAAACTTCTTGGCTTCGTTGTAATGAACTGACTTGACGATCTTTGGACGCACTAAAGAAGCTTTGGTGATGATACCTTCAATCGACACCATCTTGGAAAGGTAGGACGAGTTTATTGTTCTTGGTGACAAACTGTATGCACCAAAAGAACCCACAAACGAGAGATAGAACTCGTCATCTTCGGCAAGTGTGATTCCAGGTGTTTCGACGGGACTGTAAATTGCATGAACCATTTCATTCAAGGCCTTCAATGCAGCTGGAAGAAAATCTGCCGGGGTATCTAGGAGACCAGCTGCAAAATTGTTATCAAAGTTTCTCAATTCATCAATGTTTACAGATAATCTTTTTTCTCCCTTCTTAAGCATACGTTGAATCTCCCGTTCGTATATTGGAATTTCGTTGACTCTAATACTGAGGAAGTTCTGGAATGTCCTGACACGGTCCTCGAAGGCCATGTCAGTAGACGCGGACGCAGCAGTAGCTTCCATGACAGTGTGTAGTGTGGTTTATGTTCCTGTTTCTTGCTGACTGCAAAGCCAAGATCAAGGTGAATAACAAGACGCTATAAGGCTCAACGTTGGCTTTTTTTGTATCCATTTGCTCATGCAAATAATATACCTGTTTCAGGAAGCGGCATCAGGAAGACGAGAAGGAGGAGGAAAAAACCGAAAGGACGAGGTTTTCCGCAAAGGTCACCAAAAAGGGAAATCTAATTGATTTTTTGGCATTTCACGACGTGTTTGTCTGTCGCGGTGTGACTTAAAGGTTGTTGCGACGCATCAGAGATTTTGGTTGTACAAGTTGGGAGGTGTTTTCCAGTCATAAAGATGAGCATTTGAACTGATATGCAGCAGTTGGAGAAGCAGACGTTATTGAAAGGTAGTGAAATATTGTACAATAAGTGAAAATGGTATATCCGGAAGTTTTGAATGAAGGGGGAGGCCAAAATGGAAAGGATGTGCAAGGAAAAGAAGGAAATGAAAATACAAATAAGGCGGACACAACCTCGTTTGCTAATATTATGGCGGCAGTGAACCGAATGAGAAGTGAGGCGGCTGGGAACGCTAGTGTGGGCTCAGGTGCTGTACTGAATGATAAAAGAGTTGGAGCAAGCGCAGAGGAAACGAGCAAGAGACAAAAACTCCCCGAAAGAGTGAAACCGCCTTCATCACTGCCCCCCCACACAGCCAATCGTGAAAGTAATAGGTCAGGCGATGCGTTGCCTCCACGTGTAAGTAGACCTTCGTTACCTGTTGGAAGTCCAGCAGGTCGAGGTAACGATGCTAACGACCACACTGCCCCAATTACTATGCCCACTCGGGTACCTCCGGCGGGCATGGCAGAAAGGTACCAGAGGCCACCCCCAATGGGCACTAGAGCTGCAGATATGCATACCTTCAACCAGATTCAAGTCTCCCGGTCGCAGGCGGGAAATCCTTTATTAGAGCACTTGACATTTTACCAGACAAACAGCAAGATCAAGGACGTCGACTACGTGATCAACTCCAAGTGCGTTGCGCTGTTTCTCTCTCTTCGGTATCACAAGTTGCACCCTGAGTATATCTACAACAAACTCAAGAAGGTATCGTACAACCACGAGGACACTTTGCGGGTGTTGCTCGTGTACGTCGACATCGACGACTTTCAGGACACGGTGCGGGAACTAAACAAGCTCTGCCTCTTCAACAAATTGACGCTCATTCTCGCCTGGACAAACGAGCAGTGCGCCAACTACCTTCAGAACCTCAAATACGTGGAGAAGGAGGCGAGCAAGCGTATCATCCAGGGGAGCCGGACTAAGGATGAGGACGTGCTTGCAAATGACGGCAAGTATCTCGAGCGGGTCGTCAACACTGTCTCCAGCGTGAAAAGCGTCAGCCAGAGTGATGCCAAATCTCTCCTCGTCGCCTTCGGCAGCATGCGGGGAATTGTTGAGGCCGACACCGACCAGCTATCGGGCATCCAAGGTTTAGGCCAACTTAAGGTGGACCGGCTCCTGCGGGCTTTCAACGGTTCCTTCACTGAGAGATGGAATTAGCAGCACAACAACCAACCACCAAGTATGCGCATGTACAATGTACTAAGTGCATTGTCTCCAACTGGTTACTATCAGGTACTCCATCGGACGCCCATATTTGGGCGTCCGTCTGCACCAGGGCACCCAGGCTTCGCCATGTGGATTTCCCCAATGTGGTTGGTCTCGTTACTGCTTCCCGCCTTTTCGATGGTGAAGCCATGGCATGTGGCTTGCCTGAAACGGGAAAACATAAATACCCTTTAGCGCGCTCGTCCGCGGGCTTGTTTTGGTTTGGCGTGTTGCGGGTGTTTGTTTACCTTATTTGTCGATATATCGACCTCCGGCTGGGATTGTTGTTGTTGTTTGTTGACAGCGGGCGGTGAATCGGTGGGTCGGTTCTGCTCCATTTTTTTGGTCTGCAGTTTCAGTGTATCTTTCTGCATCTCCATCACTTACGTCCTGCTCGGCCTTGGCTTTGACCTTGTCTTGATCTTGGACCTACTCGGTGGCTGACTGAACGATTTACAGACTCTGTAGCGCCAAGTTTTCCGTCCACATTCCGCAAGACACCAAACGAAAACTAAAAGCACTACTTCGTTGCACGCTTCGTCGGTGTCAAACAACAATAGCAAAAACAGGTTACTGGTTCTGCTTTGCATTTAACGCACACCATCGCCTCTTCTTGCTCAAGTATTAGCAATTGTTTCTTCACATAGAAGCTTTTGAAGCTATTTATACACATAGTTTAGCCACAGGAAATTGAGACCAATCAACTCCATTTTTGACTTGTGTTTGTGATAATTCTACAACTATCTTTTTTTGACCAATCATATTCCCCTGACAATTTTTCTCATAGCTGATACTCTTATAAACGCACAAGTTTTTCGTTTATCAGATCAAGTATAGGCATAGTTGTTACCACTAATACTATCATCCTTGCTAAACCATTTCCTCCTAAACTACAAGATAAGAAACACCATTATAATACTACAAAGCAACTTTAGTCCCGTTTTCTGCAAAACTAGCTTACAATGTCTAGCTCAAAACAATACCCTAAACAACAAGAGCCCATCCCGCCCTCTTCCTCCTCATCGTCCTCTTACTACAGCAATGTTCCTAATCATTCAAATAACAAAGACAGCAGAAGATCATTGGACATCTCTGGAAAGCGTAGAATTCCAAGGGAAGTCAGATTTGGTAACTATGTCCTTGGTTCAACATTAGGTGAAGGTGAATTTGGTAAGGTCAAACTAGGCTGGAGAAAAGATGGAAAGCTACCATCACAAGCCGCAATCAAATTGATCAAAAGAGATTCCATTCCAACAGGCTCTGAAAAGGAGGGAAAAATATACAGAGAAATCACAGCTCTCAAAAAACTAAGGCATCCAAATATTGTGAGGTTGGTAGAAGTGCTCCAAAATGACAAATATATTGGTATAGTATTAGAATATGCATCCGGTGGTGAACTATTTGACTACATTCTGGATCATAGATACCTGAAAGAATCATTGGCTTGCAGACTATTTGCACAATTGGTTTCAGGCGTTGACTATATGCACGCAAAGGGTATTGTTCACAGAGATTTGAAACTTGAAAATCTACTTCTCGATAAGCATAAGAACATCATAATCACAGATTTTGGTTTCGTTAATTCTTTCCACAATGCTAACAACGATCTAATGAAAACAAGCTGTGGCTCTCCGTGCTATGCAGCTCCTGAATTGGTTGTTAGCAACGAGCCTTACGAAGGAAAAAAGGTTGACATATGGTCATGTGGTGTTATCTTGTACGCAATGTTAGCAGGTTATCTACCTTTTGATGATGATCCAGAAAATCCTGATGGCAGTAACATTGCTCGATTATATCATTACATCACACATACTCCTTTGACGTTTCCTGAATACATCCAGCCAACTCCAAGAGATTTATTAAGGAGAATCTTGGTTTCAAATCCGAACAAAAGGATAAATCTGAAAGATATAAGATCCCATCAATGGTTAGCTCCACATGCACCATTTTTGTCAGTAACTCCAATGGAATGGGACAGAAATTACAGATCTACCAAGGTTTTGACACAACAGGATAAGATTAATAGAAGAATGTCGTTGATGGAGAATCCAACCTCTGCATCATTAATGCTGAATAAGCAAAGTGTCAGGTCATATAGTACTCAAAATGTGCAAGCTGCTTTATATTCAAATCCAGCAGCACCTCAGACTTCTCACACTGTAGCAATTCCATCAGCGGAAGCTTCACCTGTAACATCTCCTGTCAGACAAACAAAGGTTCCGTCAAGCTCCTCCAGCAATAATGTCGTTACGTCCTCTTCGTCTGCTAATGGTCCAACGAGGCATTCAAGGTCAGGTTCAACGGCAAGTATTGCATTGCAAGCTGTTGTTGATGCAGATGTTGAAATTAAAAGGCGTTATAGTAACGGTTCAGATGTTTTGACAACTCCAGTAAGGAACACAAACCAACGTCCTATTTCATTTGTGCCGATCCTCTCAGATAACAAGAATTTTGAAACCATTAAAGAAAGTCCCGAGCACCAGAAAGTGCTTCCACCTCCAATACCTGTATTCAATAAACCTGCTAACTCCACTATGAAACTACCGTCATCAAGAGCTAACAAGCCCCGTCCTACATCATATCATCCATCATATACCGCCTCAAATGTTTTCAATTCCTCCGAATTATCATTTATAGCCACTACAAATTTTTCAGAAAGTTCTTTAAAAGCTACTGGACGTCCAAAGATTGGCAACAGCAGTACATATTCTTCCACTACTGAGTCACTAATATCAAATTCTCTCCGGGATATATCACCAGCAGAAACAGATAATACAGGGGTCAAGTTGTACGAGGTGAATGAGGGCAAAACTCCATCTGTAACAGAAAACACCTCAACAACCGTACCAACTATACAAGAAAAGCAGAATAATGGAAATTCCTATGCTATGGATTTATTAACGAATGCAATGGATACTCTATCGATGATATCCAAAGGAACAACACAAGCTTCACAAAATGCCATTAGTTCGTCTACAAACTTGGAAGAAAACCACTTGTCACCAGCAACTGCAAAAGCAGAAAGTATAACTGATTCACCTGATAGAGCTGATACCACAATCAATAATAACGCTGATGGCGATAATAAAGACACTACCCTATTGGAATCTGATGATTCTGAAAAGGAAAACGTTGAGGAAGGTAAATCAGACTCTGCAAAGTCAAAAAATAACTCACCAACAAACAACCATAAAGTAACACAACCCACGCCCACTCTATCTACTGCATCTGGAGTTGGTGCTAACGCAGGTGCAGCTGGTACTAAATACAAACGTTTCAGTTTGCTCACATTTTATCAAAGTATTCCAGAGCCTACAGCTCCAGGCAACTACGTGATCAATAATGTTGATTCTATTGCAGAAGATGTTGTAAAAAGTGTTGATACTATTTCTGCGAAACAAATATCGACAGCAAAAGTGGCATCACTTCCAAAGGTGACACCAGCTCCAAAGGTCTATTCCGAGCCTTCCTATAATCCACAAGAGTCAAATATAATACATAGACAAAGGAAGGTAACGCCAAATAATGGGGGTCATCAAAGTGTCCATGCAAAGGGTAAGACTGCAAGAAAACCGCTGGAGCCTTCCAATGTCAAATCAGATCGTAGAGTGTCTAGTGTCTACGTGCAAGATAAAGCTGAGAGAAACGAAAAGGAAACATCAACTGCAAGGAAGGTCATGGATTTTTTCAAGCGTCGGAGTATGCGCATTTGAAATTGTAAGTTAGATTCACATATTTTTGAGATAGCTACCGGTTAAACTTTTGAGGTTTACGGCTTGATATTACCTTTTCCACTTACTTGTTTGTATATTATTATTGACGATCTCTTTTTCTACTTTCGAACTTCAACTTTCATAATCAAAATCTTTATTATTTTCTTCATTTTTACTTTCACTTTAATTTCTTATTAGTTTATATTGTTTTGGGAATTTCTATAAAAACAAGCGTTTTTAGCATATACATCTTATCGATTTAGCCATAGAATAAATTTAGGACGTAGACTGCCCTGGAAAAATGCTTATAAACAGGCCATCGAATTTTGCAGAGATATGTATTAAGAATAATAATGAGAAATCGATAAAAACATATAAAAATTGAATAAATAATAGATGAATTTAAATAAGAGTTGTAGAACTAGAAAACAATGATGGGATTGATGTCAGGAATGCAATTATTTTTGCATACTTCTCAAGTAGTTTTCCTTCACAGCTTCCCATTGTTGTTCTCTTTCCGAGTTGTACTTCTTCATCCATTTCGAAGGAGAGTTCTTCATGATGATGTGCTTTCTCAAAACCCATGGCTTCAATGTGTTAGAAGCAAAGACAACGGAGTTTGTTTCGAAAGCTTCCTCAGCTTCAGGCTCTGCCTTTTGACCTCTGAAATTACCAGTTAGTCTCAAATCACGAACTGCTAGATATTTATCCCATTGATCAGTCTTTGTTCTCGGTCTAACCCAATCCTTTTCTTCAGTTGGAACAGAATAGTTGGACTCGTGGTTTGGACCTTGTGCATTACGTGTCAGAGATGAAATGGTGATTGCATTCATACCACCACCGGCAAGTGCAAAAAACTAGATTGAGAAAGAATAGTTGTATGGGTTGTTTCCAAAAATAATGTTAGTAATCCAGTTCTACATGTTTAATTAAACTGCATATCAAGATGAAGCATGCTGTTTTGACCTTGAACACTAATATCCTTCTCTTCATTGTATATTTGTTGCACAAAAGCAAAGCAATAATGCATGCTTCATGATCAAAACGAAGTGCAAAGAACGCTTCTTGCAAACTAGCTTTTCTATGCTTATATCCTGCTAACAATTTTGACTTTATGAACGCATTGAAGCTGTGAAGTTGACTTGTGTAACTGTAAATTGGGGAATAGTTCAGATATATCTCCTCCATTCAAATCTTGTCACTACTTACACTTAAGATAAGACCATATGGAATCAAACCCTCCCAAGGTATCATTGTGGCTATGAATAATATATGTCAGTTGCCTGCTTGTGTGCTAGAAGCTTTAGTGACATGCCAGGATCAACTTAGTACATACTGGACTCTTCTTCATCCTGTTCTTCTAAACATTCGGTGTACAAAAGCGAGACAATTTCCCCTCACAGCTGCCAATTTTAATATGCGTGCCATTATAAGCTTACGTCACCCGTGTACGGGTGTGTTGATTATTGCTTACGTAATATCACGTGATATTTTAGCCACCTGATTCAAGTACTTGCTGGAAGCACATGAAACACATCAATCAAAGTATTGAAATGGAAATGAAAAGTATTACAGCTAAATTAACTATGTGGATAGTTTACATATCACATTAGACTTATAAATTTTTGAAGTATTTATTTATAGAAGAGATATTATTGATGAGGTTTAGATGTTAGATGGGTAGAGCATAATTCTGACGGAAGCACCGAAAGTCTTAGCTGGCAAGTTGTTCTTGAATTGAGCTCTCACTAAACCGTTGTTACCGTGAACTCTGGTGACCTTACCCCAGATACATCTGATCTTTGAACCTCTGACTTCCTTGGAAGCCTTGTAGACGTATGCGATTCTCTTACCCAAGTAGAACTTAGCGTCATCCTTACCGGCAACACCTTCAATCTTGATCAAAGAAGTGTTTGGGTTGGTGACATTCTTGGATCTTTGATATGAGACGTGCTTACCCTTGACGTACACTGAAACAAAAGAAATGGTGAAAAGAGGAGAAAAAATAATGTTAGTATCAGTTTTCAGTTGGAAACTTGGAGAAATATGCCTGGGGCATAACAGAAGAGATAATGGAACGATGACCAATTTGAAGTATGCTATTGAGTTCTTCTCATCTAACTACCTCCTTGAGTTATTTCTATTCGGCATATAACATTCAGCGTAGGGCGCATTCATTCGACACCAGTGCAGGCTATCGTATATCAAATAAGCCAGCTATATACGGTGAAAACAGAATACCCTGTTACTGGTTTGAAATGGAATTCACAATTGGAGAATATTGCACCCTCTTGTTGCAGAAGATAAGAGAAGATTGCGTGCCCCTCATTTCGTGCTATGCCGCTTTGCGTTTGATGTAGATATGTCCAGTTCAAAAGCGTGCTTCACTTGGGTTTTCTGCGTCATCTGGTAATATGTTCAGCATACTTGTGTGTTCTCTTTCGGTGCTTTTGTTGATTTTCGACATAATCATCGTGTATCGACATCTCGTTCCGTTTATCTTCAGCCATTTCTGTAATTGGAGTCGGTTGATATCTTGTACTTACATCTGTGAGATTCAGCCATTTTGTTTTATCTATAGTATCTGTCCTCGGAAGTTTTCTTTGATGTCACACTTGAGAACGTGTTGGTCTTGCAATGGTGAAATAACCAAAAAATTCATTTTTTTGCATACCCTGTGCGTCCTGCTCCCCTCGGTCTCCCTCACCCTGACTGTCTCTCGCTCCCTCTGCTCCTCTTTCTCTCGCCTCTCCGCCCAGAGCGACTGGCAAGTTTCGCGGTGACTGTCTTTTTCCTTCTACCAGTCCACCTGCATAGCATACCGGATCCAATAACAGAGTGCGGTGCGCGGGTTATTTGTACATTAGATTTATTCTAGACCTGTTTACAAGCACGTGGGTAAAAAGGGTTGGAGATAAGAAGTTGCTCCCTGCTATCTACATTTGGGTGAAGTTCATGGGTGTTATGTGAGGGGGTTTTATGATACTGCTAATAAAATTTACTATAAAGATTATAGCTAAGCAAGTTTCTTTTCATGAACTTAGCGGCATTGCTTTCACTTTTTCTCCCACATCGTGAAGTGGAAAGTGAACTCGTTTTGCTGATTGTCGGCGAGTTGGAACTCTTCATGTAGTCCTTTGAGTCTTAGTCGATTTGTCAATTCTTGCTGATCACACTTCTTCCAGAGGTCAGTGTCCAGTTTGAAAAATGCGTCCATATCTAGCTTGTTATTATGCGTGATTTCTGTTAGATAGATCGTGTCAATTAGGTCATGATTTTGGGCCATGAGCTGATTATACACTTCTGCACCGCCAATAATGAATATCTCCTCGATTTGATCAGCTTCGGTTAGACTTTCTAAAGTATGTTTCAAGGAATTGGATAGTCGCAGAATGTCCCCGTTGGCAGCTAGCTCCTCCTTCATTTCCTCCTGGAGTTTGGTGATGTTTCTTGTCAGGACAATGTTAAGCCTGTTTTTCAAAGGTCTGAACTTCTGAGGTATAGAGTAGTACGTTTTTCGGCCCATTACAACCGCATTCTTTTTCTTGGGATCTACTGTTGCAGTGGTCACCTTTCTGAAATACTTCATTTCCTGCTTGAGACTCCATGGTAATTGGCCGTTGTACCCAATTCCAAGTTCTGGCAATAGGGCTGCAACAATAAACGAGACTTTTGGACTCGTAATGAACTTTGCAGTAGTCATGGCTTTGTTTCCTGTGATATTGCTTGCCTGAAGGATACTTCAAGCTTAAGCTACACAGCTCCCTGGTTCCAAGATACCTGAAGATATGTAAAGATTAATCAGAAAAGTAGTAAGCTAAAAAATATTACGCGTCTTCATCTTCCCCAGCCAATAGTATACAAAAATCAGTTCTAACAAAATTTAATTTTGAGCGTACACATGCATAAAAAGTTATATGTGAACACGTAGAACCCGATTAAGTCAGTATCTCAATGTGTCCATATACGAACAGACTTGTCTTTACCTCCACTAGCAACTCTTTTACCGTCGACACTCCAATCTACAGTGTAAATTTCGTCTTGATGACCTGGTAAATCAGACATCAATTTCCTAGTCCTAACATCCCACACTTTCAAGGTTGTGTCCTTGGAGCAACTCACTAATAGTCTACAGTCAGAAGACCAAGAGGTTTGGTACACCGGAGCAACGTGTCCACGAAATGTGGCTATAAATTTACCATCTCTTCCATCCCATAATTTAATCGAATTATCAAAAGATGCAGAAGCAACATACCTTCCATCAGGAGAAAATGAGACGTGATTCACAAGCTTTTGGTGTCCCGTCATTCTGCATAATGGCTTGTTTGATTTGGATGGTTCCCATAAAAACATTGTAAAATCATCACTGGCGGTTACCAATCTCTCGACTAGTTTTCCACCAATTTTAGCAACTTTTTCAAAAATTTTTTTGGCTTTTTCTTGTTCCTCTTTCTCATTTTTTGGTTCTTCTGACTTGTAGTCGAATGCACCTACTCTTAGCGAGTAGTCGGTAGATAATGCGAGGTGGTTTACCCAGTGAGCATGAGCCTTTAAAACTTGTAAGCATTTACCATCTTTTGCGTCCCAAACTCTGATAGTCTTATCATGCGATGCAGAGTATATTAATCCCATTCCACCCCACTTCACACAAGAGACAGAAGAAGAGTGTCCTGACATCGTCATTATGCAGTGCATCGTTCCGGTATCCCAAATCTTAATTGATCCATCTTTGGATGCAGAGACAAGTCTGGGTTTGTTACCAGGTTCGACCATGTGCACAGGCTCCCAGGACAAGTAACTGATCCATTTAGTGTGGCCTATTAATGTACCCAGGCAGTTTCCATTGTTGGCGTCCCATAATCGAATAGTTGAATCCATCGACCCAGTAGCAATGACATCTCCTCTTGGTGACCACTGAGCACATAATACCCAGTTGCTGTGTCCATTTAGTGTCTTTTGGATAGTTTGTGTATTACAATCCCATATTCTCGCAGTTGAATCACCAGCACCGGTAACTAACTTATTGCTTGTATTAGGTGCAAACTGTGCAGCCAATATTGTTGCCCCGTGGCCGGTGATAGTAGCAGATGCTCTTGTCACCGGTTTGACTTTGAAAACTGCTCGTGGTGTATAGACAAGAGTCATGAAATCTTCAGTTGTTTTTAGTCCCGGTTTGAGTACTGATGTGTATAAGTTGTCTCTAATATCTACCAAGTCTTTGTCCGTTTCCAAAGAAAAGGTGTAAGGAATAGGATCATCAGCTGTTCCGCTAAGTTCATTAAGTAGTTCTTCAAGTTGCTTTTCTGTAATTGCTCCAGGAACTCTAATAGAACCACCAACCGATTCTCCAGTATCCGAAGCTTGGAACTTGATCAAGACATTGGGAAGGTCAGTGGGTATGAGGTCAACTTCACGTGCTTGCTGTGCATCTTTCTTTTGTCTCTTCGAAGGAGGAGGTATGAGTGTAGCCATTTTGTGTTGTTGTTTGCTATATAATTATCTACTGAAATTTTACTGAATAATAAATACAAAAGGTGCTTAACACACTGAAAAAAGAACATAGAAAAGATGATAATATTTTTTTTTCAAAATTGTACTTTTTTTTTACAGATTCATGTTGCACAGCCGTAAACTCGCTATGGTTCATTCACATCTTCCGTGACGGAAGCAGCTGTTTGTAAGGCCTTCCCATACCTAATCTCCTTTTCTTTCTAGGAGCACCATTGACATTCACAAGTGCCCCCGTGACTGGATTATATATTTCCCCATTTGTCCCCACCAGTTTGGGAGCTGGCTTCGGGCTGTACAAGGGGGATCCAAGAGAAGGCTTTCCGACGAACTTCATGCGTGATTCAGTAAACTTCTTGTGATCTCTGTAAGAGTTCAACGAAAACTGTTTACTCGTAGATATTGCAGTGTGGGCTTTTGGACTTATGTCATAGTAGCAGTCTCTGGGTATCTCATTCAAAAAGCACGAAGGCGAAACTGGCTGGTATGAGTTTTCATCGCCATGATAGGTGCTTAGATACAAATGATCCTTGCTTCTAGTCAAAGCCACGTAAAAACACCTCCTTTCCTCGTTGATTGACATCTTCTTCTTGTCTGGATTGGTTTCTGTGAGTGAAAACCTCGAAGGAATGATATTGTTGACCAACGAGGGGAGGAAGACAACAGGCCACTCCAATCCTTTAGAGCCGTGTATTGTAGTGAGTGTAACTCTTCCCAAATCGTTCCCCTGAGAAGCTTGGTCATCTGAAGCAATACTTTCAGCAAGATATATGTGGTCCAAAAATGCAGATAAAAAAGTTTCCTTTGAAGGTTCTGAATCATTTTTGATGCTTTCTTCTTTGATGTATTGTGAATCTTCTGTTTTTTCCGGTAATTGTTGAAATACATCCTCTTGGGCTTTTCTCAACTGTTCATCTTCTTCTGGATTATATTGCTCTAACTGTTTACGAAGTTCGGATAAGTTTTCTGTAATATCATACTTTAACTCATCATCACCTTTACTGCTTGTTTTTTTTTTCAATGAATTGTCCACTAATTTGAACTTTTGCGTGACAAAATTGAAAAAGTCAGAAATATCACTACTTATTAGTTTGGCACGACATTCATTAATTAATGACAAAAAATGAATAAGAGAAGCTTTTGCTTTCGTCGACGCACCTGGCTTTATTCCCGTGGCAAATTCGGTTACAATGTTGTTCACAACACCATTTTCCACACTGGAGCCTGAGGTAAAAATTGCACTTTCTATCTTTTCAATCATCTTGGTTCCACAACCCACTGCTAACCAGTCAATTGTACGCTTATATGCAAGCCAGTCATCGTTTGCAATAATTCGGAGGCAATCTATGGTCATTGAAATCTCTTTCAAATCCCAAAAAGATTGGCCTTTCACAATTTTATAGGGAATCCCTTTCCGAGTCAATTCTCTCTCCAACGATAGAAAGGTTCTCGAAACTCTAACAATTATAGCAAAATCTTTTGGAGTATAACTATTGTCGCTATCGTTCATCACGTTTGAGATTTTGTCAGCAATAAAAATAGACTCGTCATCATGTGACTTATGGCAAATATAATGGACCGGATCCTCCTTATTATTGTTAGACAACAAAATCTTATCTTCTCTGCCTTCTTGATGTCTCATCAAGCTTTCTGAAATCTTCAAAATTGAATTAGTCGATCTATAATTTTGATCAAGAGTTATTTTGATGAAGTCTCGACGATTTTCCAAAGCCAAACTCTCCAAAATTTTGAAATTTTCATACGAAGCATTTCGAAAAGCGTAAATACTCTGATCTGCATCTCCGACAATGGTTATATTGTCCTTACAATACTGTGTGAATTTGAATATTAGTTTTAGTTGAATGGTGTTGGTATCCTGGAATTCATCAACTAGTATGTGTTTCACATGCGAAACGCATTCCGGTCGAATAGTTAAAAGCTTGTATGTATGTACTAAAATATCGTCAAAATCAATTAAAGCATTTTGCTTCAAAATTTTTTGGTATTCCGAGTATACTTGAAAATGCTGTGCTTCTATTCGATCACTCGGATCAGCAATAGTGACATCCTCTGGATGTAGACCTAGAGATTTCTGCTGAGAAATGTAACTTTGGACGCGTTTAATCGAAGATTTGTCGGTCTTTACGTCTTCTAGTCCCAAAGAGTTTATGGCTTTAAGAAGTACGTCCTTCTGATCTTTGTTATCCGCTATGGTAAATTTGTTAAGTCCAATACTTTTTCCAAAGAATTTTAAATAACCAAAGCATATAGAGTGGAACGTTCCTATTTGTAATTGCTTGAGATTAATGCCATCATAATTCTTTAACACCGAAGAAAGACGCTCTATCATTTCGTTAGCAGCTTTTTTCGTGAAAGTTGTCACAATAATTCCAGAGGCTGGAAGTTTGTGGTTGAGAAGTAGATAGGCGACACGGGAAACGAGTAACTTGGTTTTGCCCGTTCCCGGACCAGCAACGATTTCAAGAACGCAATCATTTGTGGTGGTCAAAGCGTTGGTTTGGTTTTCGTTCAGAGTCCCAAACAACCTCTCATATTCCGTCTGAGAGATATCCATTCCACTGTATTGTCGCCAAGGGAGCCCTCTGTTTGGACAAATAGTTTAAGATAAATAGACTGCAGCTACTAGATTCTTATCTTTGAAGATCTTTTCATGTGACATCTTCTTCCGATCAAGAAGGATTACGTAACACAGAATATTGACTATGAGATTACAGCCAAGTCCGAGATTCGTCACTACATGAGTTGTGTAGTAGTCAAGGTCACCAGTAGGTGTAGGTGCTGATTATACTGACTCATTACAAACAACTTCAAACATGTTTGTGGCAGGAAAAATAAGAGAAAATAAAAATAACAAACTTAGGATGTTTCTGCAGATGTATAGAAGTTTGCGCCTTTTTATCATGTCACGTTTAATATCTTCATTCCTCCCCAACACCAATAAAGTACGTGCCTGTCACTGCACCAATATTTGGCAGTAAATGCATTCACTACAGTATGGCTATGGAAAATGTAGTGTAACGCGAAGGAAGAAAGCGAATGAAGATGCTCAGAGCTTGAAGCTGTGCTGCCTTATATGTAGTAACTGGTAACTTTGGAAATTGGGCCTCCTCTCTGCAATAGAGCCAAAAGCACCAGCCAATATTCCACCAGTGAAGACTACATTGTTCACTCTGGTTATCAACGACGTGTGGCTCAATTCTCGGAAAACTCCAAAAGCGAAGCAAAAGAACCTGTGATCAATCGATCATGCGGAGAGGAAAATTGTGCCAGGTTTGAGCCCCCCTCTCAACCGGGCATGGGCTGGATAGGTCTATTTAATTGTCAGGGGCTGCTTTTCTACCTTCTGGTCAAGAATTGCAGGTGCTTTGCTTTGGCTGATCTCTGTTTGCAGATACTAAAGCATTGGTTTGGAAAGTTAAACGATGGCGATGCTGGTGACACCAAGAAGGTTTCCCCCTGGAAAGGGACAAGTTCTTTACGCCAAAGCCAAAGTTTACTTGCATTTGACATCGGCCAAAAAAGATAATGTTGCTGGGTATTTGACAATAGTGAAACCCTATCCGGACTCGAAAAACGACGAATTGATCATCTCCTTCATAGCGGATACCGACTTATCAACAGAAGACAAGAGTTCATTAGATTATTTTGATCTTTACGGACTCGACGGAGAGAAATTTGATTTTTACTCTTCAAGTTCCAACGATGCGATGGACTCTTCAGTGAAGGGTGTTTCCAACTTTCCCAAGGTGAGCCGATTCATTGACAGACCGCGTCTATCCTCGATATCCTCGTACTCTTTTGGGGTAGTTATAAACCAATTGTTTACTGTTCAAGTTAGACCGAAAACTACTAATTTATGGCAAGGCTCGATAATATTACATCCAAAGCAAGAAGGTGATCGTTTACCGGCTCTATTTTTTCATGACGATGAGTCTGCTGGAACGAAGCGTGAACAGAAGCTCAAAAGCCAGACATTCAACCCCTTTTCCGAGAATCAGTTTGGTGGTAATTCTCTCTACTGGGGAGGTGATCGTTTTATCAGCTGTTTGAAGAATTACGCAACGTTGACTGAAAGTACGCTTGAGCCAGGTATGTTGTTGGTGAATTGTACACCAGAGGATGCCCTGAATTTTGTCCCCAACATATTAGATTCCAAGGGCAAAACTACTGAAGATTACGATTTAAATGCCGAGATCGGACAGGCTTTGACAACTGCGAAATGGACTGTTTTGACTGGCCTAGCGTCGATAACCGGGTTTGCTAAGAAAAAGATTAACAATGCAATTGAGAATAATGTTTTACCCAAATCCATTCAACGCTTTGTTGATAGGGCTGAGGTGAAAAAGATCACAGATGATTTTGATAGTGCTAATGTATACTTGGCTAAATGGGCATTAAGTGTTCAGGAAGAAGCTGAAAAGAGTCGGAAGATGATTATTGGGAACGACTATTATAAAGAATTGATTAGGTCCGAGCTTGGTGACAGCTTTGTTGAGTTGACCCCGCTCGAAGTTTCCAAAGCTACAAGGAAAGAGAGGATTAACAAGGAAAAATGGAGTTCATTTTTCGATTCTGCTGGCTGTTTGCAGTATACGGTAGATGAGGTCTTGGGAGAAATTTTCCACTCTGGCTTGGAGATGGATGTTAGAAAAGAAGCGTGGTTGTTTTTGTTGGGGGTGTATCCTTGGGATACTTCTGCAGCTGAGAGAGAGCAACTTGCTAAAACGTTGGAGAATAATTATTACGAGTACAAGAACAACTGGATGGCGGATTTGGAAAGGCAAAGGAACGATGCTTTTTGGAAAGATCAGAAATCAAGGATCTACAAGGATCTCAAACGGACAGACAGGGAAATCGACCTGTATGAAAACAAAAAAATAGCCGGGCAAACTAATACTCGCGGAGAGGATATCCTAGATACCAACGGCAACGATGATGACGACGATGATGGCGATGACGACATTGATAGTAATGGTAATAAGAGTTTATTCAACAATCCCAACTTGGTTGTTTTGCGAGACATTCTTTTTTCGTACAACGAAATCAACCAGAATTTAGGATATGTCCAAGGTATGAGCGATTTGCTGTCGCCTCTCTATTACGTTTTCCAAGATGAGCCGACAACTTTCTGGGCCTTCTGTAGGTTTATGGATCGGATGGAGCGGAACTTTCTGCGGGACTTGGGAGGCATGAAATCCCAAATGTTGACGCTAACGGAGTTGGTCCAGTTCATGCTTCCCGACTTGTATGTCCACCTAGAGAAATGCGACTCTAGCAATCTTTTTTTCTTCTTCAGAATGCTTTTGGTCTGGTTCAAAAGAGAGGTCACGTTTTACGAGACCATGGACTTATGGGAGATCATGTGGACGGACTACTATTCGTCGCAGTTCATATTGTTTTTTACGTTGGCGATTTTGCAGAAACACAGCAAGATCATCATCCAGACGTTGAAAGGGTTTGACGGTATACTCAGGTACATCAATGACTTGAGCGGGAAACTTGACATCAACGACTTGTTGACTCGCTCGGAGCTATTGTTTTTGAAGTTTAAGCAGATGATCGAATTGATCGACAGAAGCAATAGCGGCGTCGGATATCACTCTGTGGAACGCAAATCCACTGACGGTACTACTGCCGCCGAGCCGATCAAGGTCAGCAAGGAACTACGAGGGTTGTTATCCCGAGAAGTTGTTGTGCAGAAGGAAGAATCTCGGACTTCGGAGACGCCTTTCGGGTAAGTTCTAAATACTGGGTAGGTAGATAGTTTGTGTTTTTTGCGCCAATCGGCTCGCGTAACTTTTTTTCTTTCCTTTTGTCATCGCAAGCTGACTCTGATTTTTCCCGTTTGCCTTCCCAGCTGGTGCACATGTTTTTGGTGACGGAAACATCACAACACCACCAAAACATCCAGAGGGACACGTCTGTTGATAAGGATAGGGCTTTAAAGTTTTTCGAAAAATATATCGGAGCTCTTTACCCTTTAGGCACTATGGCTGGCAGAGACAAAGCACACAAACAGCGTGACCGTGCTTCGCAAAACAAAGCCGGCACGTATGGGAACAACGAGGGTGAGACTGCTGCAGCCCTACAAGAGAGTAACATCGAAACCCAGTTTCAGAACCAGATCCAGTCGCAACTACAAAACCAGTTGCAAAATGAGCTGAGCCATACCTTTGAGAACCACGAGGAGGCGGATGGCCATAGCACGGCGAATGTGAACATTCTGGACTCGACTAACATCGACGATGAGTTGAGAAATTTGGAGCAGCTGGACATAAACAACATTGCGAAGTCTGCAGTCGCAGCTGCCGCCGTCTCCTTTGCGCAGGCTGCCACCGCTGACGATATCAATCATGCTATCGAAGGTGGAGACGCAGAGAATGATGTGGAGGGTGCCGAGGAGGAAGAAGTGGCGGCAAAGACAGAGATCAATGAAGGAGATGACAGAGGGATGACTGACGAAGATGAGGTGATCAAAGAAGTTGTGAAGGAGCAAGGTGTTGAATTATCAGCAGATGGAAATCAGGATGATGACGATGCTGACATGAAAACGCCATCCAGCACGGATTTTTCCTTGCTGTTGAAGGGTCTTGTGTTTTCCCTGCCTGTTTTTTCTGAAGAAAACGACCACTTGAAGACGATGATCACCTCATTAGGCGGTGAGGTTGTCGATGACGGTAACTTGGATGCGTTGGCGCTTGTCCCCTCCAAGGAAAAAAGTAGGACTGATTTGGCCTACCAATATTTATACCAATATATCCATGACACGTTCTCAAAGAAAACGCCGTTGGATATCAACAAATATCGGGTCGGCAAATCCAGTGGGCAGTCATTGAATATCAATATCGGAGAATTCCCTATCAAACCTGTACAGGACGAAAAGTTGAATGAAAATGGAGACGGCATTGACGCAAACCCCTTTGATTTTGTTTCAGGAGATTCGAACGCGCTGGACTCTAAACCTTCATCCAAGAAGAAGGTCACAAAAAAGCACGATCCTACAAAGGCGAAGAAGTCCAACAAGTTCACGAAGGAAGAAGACGATTTCATACTGGATTTGGTGAGAAGAAACCCTCACCTGAGATCAACTCATACTTTTTTTGCACGGATCGCTCAGTTGAAACCATTATCTGAGCACACAGGTAATTCGATTAGATACAGATATCGAAAAGTTCTAGCTCCAAACTTGGCCTTCGTTTACAAAATTGACCCTAAAACAGGCAAACCAGAAATAGATGCTGCAACAAACCAACCTAAGAAAATAGAAGACATACCTTCTTTAATCAAGTCGCAATACACCTCTGAAGAAGATTATGCTTTATGTAAACACATTTTATTGTACAAGAACGGAGAGATGGTTTTATCTGGCAAAAAGAAGCATGAGGTCTCACAAATCCCGGAAGCAGTTTTCCAAGAGCTGCATAAGTTGAACCCTAGACATTCCACCATGTCCTGGAGAGATCGCTATAGGAAGTTTGCAGCTAAATTTGGCTTGAGAAAGTATATTGCATACTATGAAGAGTGTCAACAGCGAGATATCGAACCTGAACCGATGAAGAACATGAGTTCCAGAAATGATCGTAAAGATTACAAAGTCGATGTCTTCGGTAACGAAAGTGAGGAACGACCTTCGAAGCGGGTCAAGCATGAGGAAGACAAGATTTTGGCAAAGGCAAAAACAGTCGAAGATGGCAAAACTTTCGAAGGTTCGGATCAGCTTACCGAGTCTGATACGGCCTATATGGCTTTATCTAAAGCTAAAGGAAAACTTGGTACCGAAACTTTTGCTGACGGTTCATTGTCCGAAACTTCTGCTGCTGAAGGAGCATTAGAAGCTTTAGCTAATGTATCTGCTGAACAAACTAAGGCAAATGAAATTAGCTCGAATGATAGTGCAAATGTGCAAGATAACCTCAAAACTGATGAAACGGAGGCTGCGGATACCAAGACTTTGTCGGCCGGTAAAAAGTCTAATGCTAGAAGTAGCAAGGCGGTGGATGGAGTCAGCTACAAAGTTTCACAAACGGTCGAGTCCGTCTCCAATGATGATGGTGCAAACCTCTTTGCTGCTGCAACTGAGGATGAAATGAAGCAGTATGATATCGCTTTGGCCGATTCTCAATTAGAGGAATCTAATACGAATACCGATAAAAAGGATGCAGCAGAAATCATGTCAGAACATGTTAGTCCTGAAATTTCTGAATCTACCGCTGCACACCTTGGTGAAGAAGGTGATAATGATCTGGAATTGGTGGATGTCAAGGCTGACGATGGTTTAATGGATTTCAGACAGTTAATAGATATCGATCCTGAGCCATTGAAACATCGTGGTGAAATCGATCTCTCTACTATGATCAGTAACATAAGAGAGTGTTTCAGAAATTTTGGAGACGGGAATACGCCATATGAGTTGTTTAAGGATATCAGTGATCAAACTGGTATTTCTATGCTCTGGTTGAACTACTGGTTCGATTGCTCTTGTGGTATGTTGGGCACTTTCATACAAGCTATTATCAACTATTTGAAAACTGGAGATCTTGTTATGAACGATGTTTCAGGGTTTTGGACTGAAAAGGATGACGAACTGCTCAAGGTTGATCCAGAAAATAAGGATCTCTTACATTTACATGGTAAAGATAGTGTCACCAAGCGTAAGGCAGTATTGTTCCGTTATGTGTAAGAAATGACCGTTTTCGTTGCTTGAATATGTATAATAACTGAAATAATTTTGTACATTAGTGAATTTACTGTTGGAAGAATCTGTGACATGCTTTAAAACCCAAATTATCGAGAGATGGTAGGTGAACCAAACAAGAAAAAAATAAAAAGAAACCGACCGGAGTGAGGGTTGAACTCACGATCTTGCGATTAACAGTCGCACGCCTTAACCAACTTGGCCATCCAGTCAATAACATAAAATTATTTTGTATGTTTTACCATGGCATGCACTATTGCATTAGAAAAGATATAGGCAGCGTTTCAAAGATAATCAAGGAAACCACTCAGAACTTTCATTCATCTGTACTCAATTCTGTTTTTGACATGTCTACTTTCACGTGTTCTTGTTGAAGTTTAGCTATTGTTAAATCAAAATGCCGAAGTCAATAAGTATCAAGAGATAAGTGTTGTAATCTAGCTATTCTATTATGAATATCCATTGTATATGTACACGTTTTCTTATGTTTGTTACTTAGTTAAAAACAACTTATACAACTCTTAATAACTAATGATTCTAAACACAGATAGGAGACAAAACCTCTCCTATTTATACACTCATGACGTCGGCTAATCTTTCCAGTTTTAGATTACTTGATGCCTTGTCATTACAAGGCTCTTTTTGTTGAGATAAGATGCCGAAGTCAATATCAATAAATTAGAGAAAGAGGCTTATTAAAGACAAGGCATCAAGTAATCTAAAACTGGAAAGATTAGCCGACGTCATGAGTGTATAAATAGGAGAGGTTTTGTCTCCTATCTGTGTTTAGAATCATTAGTTATTAAGAGTTGTATAAGTTGTTTTTAACTAAGTAACAAACATAAGAAAACGTGTACATATACAATGGATATTCATAATAGAATAGCTAGA